GTTCCTTTATTTTCTTCTTAGACTTTCAGTACTATCCAGCTTCGATTTTTTTTGTCGTTTGTATTTTTATTGATTTAGTTGGCAAATCTACATCTGTGTAAAGAAAAGGAGAACGTGCACCTTAAATAGCCTTAAGCATTCCAAGATGCCGTCCGGCATGAAAGACGCTGTATAAATGCAAGTTGTTGTTGTTGTCATCACAAGCTTGCAATGTGTAGCCTTGAGCTGGAGCTTGGAGTGTCAGCTTTGTTACCTGTATTGAGGGTCTCACTATTACACAACACGCACTTCTTAAGTTAAACAAAAAACAAAAAACAAAACAAAAAGAAAAATAACAAATTGGTCATTTCAATCCACGACTGTTTGTGGGACATTGCTGTGCGCAATTGGCTGCCGCGTTTCACCCACAAATATACAGTCAATTCACTTTACAGCATATTCTGTGAAGCGCTTTGAGACTTCTAGAAGACGTGGAAAGTGCTGTATTAAATTATTATTATTTATTATTATTAAGCATTTAAGAAGCTTCACTTCTTCCGCCTTTACTTCTCTCCCAGCGTTTTCTGCTTCCCTCATCTCTGTTTCTTCCAAAATTACTACTCGTAACTTTTAGTTCCCTTATATAAAGTTTCTCCCACAAAATATACCATAAATGCTGTGGAGTATTTTGAGACATTCTGCTGCTATCAAAAGTGGGATATCAAAAGTATTATTTTATTATTATCAAATACAATTACTATTTCTTTGCTTCTTCCAAACACCCCAGGCTAGAAAACACATACGTTTATAATCAGTCGCTGACCGAATTACGAACATTAGCCCTGAAGAGAGTCATGGGTTAAAAACTGCTCATTTTCTTTGAGTTAAGTCTATTTTTCGAAGTCTTAATTTGGAAGCCAATTTTCTGCAATTAAAAGCGTTTCTGAAATTGCCATTCTGAGAGTTATTTGAACAGACATTGAATACGTAACCCCAGAACAATGCCTTAGGACGCAACAAGACAGTAGAATAAGAGGACACAGGTTTAGAATTGTAAAGGGCAATTTCAGGAGAGACACCAAAAAGTTTTTGTTTACCCAGAGGCGAAACAGGTCGCCGGGAAAGATGGTAGAAGCCAGGATATTGAATTAATTTAATAAGCAACTTGATGCTGTGATGGGTGGGATGATAGGATGGATGTTCTGGAGGGATGAGGTTGGATGGGCCAAAGGACCTTCTTCATCCAGACCAATCTTGTGATCGTGTGAAACAGTTCCGTGGAAGCTCTGGATGATGCAGCAAAAGAGAATGAACTACCATTGATAGGAGATGTTCACCAAACCCCTCCAGCTCATTGATTTCAGTTACGTTTCTTGTCACAATTCAATGGTGTTTGTCCGCTTGTCCAAACCATTGTAAAATGCCCGTGAAAAGTAAAGGGTTAGGGTTAGCTATTTGGGATGATAAACCACCTGCAGAGGATGTATTAAAATCGAGGTCCTTTCTGACTATTCAGGCAGATAGTAAAGATGCTGTGGCGCTGTTCATAAAGAGAAGGGAGTTTCTCCCGGTGTCCTGGCCAACAACAACCCCACATAAAAATTGGTCACTCACTCCATGGCTGTTTGTGGGAACATTGCTGTGTGGAAATTATTTCCTGCTTTCCCCTACAAACAATACAGTCACTGCACCTTACAGTGACTCCTGTGAAGATTATTGTTAACCTACCAAGGTATTTAAAAGGCAATTAGGATCCAAGACGAGAGAGTCGATGCACTAGAAGAAATAGTGTCTGTGGACTCAGTGGCCTTTTTCAACTGGGGTTTATTCCAGAGGGATTTAAACTAGTTGACCCATTCTTTAGAGCAGAATTTCCCATCATGATTCCTAGTGTTTGAAAAACATTTGATTTAAAGAGCATTAATAATAATAATAATAATCCTTGCATCTGATATAGCGCCTTATCACATCATTGAGATGTCTCAAAACGCTTCATAGGGTATACTGTAAGGTGTATGCATTTTGTGGGTGGAATGCACCAGCCAATTGTGCACAGTAGTGTCCCACAAACAGTCATACAGTGAGGGATCAATTTTTATCTGAGGGTTATTGCCCAGGACATCGGGAGAGCTCCCAACAGTTTTCGAACAGTGCCATGGGAACTTTAATGCTCAGCTGAACAGGGAGACAGGACCGCAGTTTACAATTTTTATTATGCATTAATCATATTTTAATAATATATTAATAATACTTAATAATAATTATATATGACCGGTTTGTGTCTGTATCGTGTTTGTAGCCACTCACTGGATGCTAGACTCTGTTTCCGAACAAAAACACTATTCTTCTAATAAATTTTGTTTGTTAAATTTTACGCCTGTCTTACTTCCTCTCTATCACCCTCACCATGGAGCCAACAGCCTTCCTCATCCAGCCCAGGGCACTGGGAGTGACAACACAGCCCAGCCTGGCTCGTCGGCAGGACTCAGAAGGGCAGACTACAAAATCTACAGTCAATTCACTTTACAGTCTATTCTGTGAAGCGCTTTCGGTCATCTAGAAGACGTGAAAAGCGCTATATCAAATGCAAGGATTATTATTATTATTATTTATTTACAAAAGCTTGTGGAGCCTGGTTTGGTAGCGAGGGTTACTCCAGTGGCCCACTTACAGCTGAGATGTCATTTCCTTGTGGACTGACGTTTAGTGGTTTGGGAAGAGCATTCCAGTTCTTTAAAGATTGCAGATATTAAATAAAATCCGACTGTCAACCTCCGCTGCCGGCATTCGGATGATTGGAGAGGTAAAGTTTTTTCTGCTTTTCTTTAAACGTGTGTGGTCAGAAGTAGTCATTTTTTTTATTAATAGCTTTTAAAACAAACAGTGTTACCAATCCATTAAGGTCAATACAAATTGACATTTATACAGCGCCTTTTTACGTCGGGAGTAAAGTCACAAGGTGCTTAACAATGATGGCTCGGGGTAGGAGGTAGGAGGGGAAAGATGACCTAAAACGTGGTCAAAGAGTTAGGTGTTGAGATGGACCTTCATTGAGCTGAGGGAATGAACAAGTCGAATGGACTCTGGGATGGAGTTCCAGAGAATCGAACAGATAGATTCATCCAATAGAATAACTATTCCTGAGTAAAAATTCTACCTGGATCTAGATTTACTCTATTAACATAGAATTTTTCAATGTAACAGTGGAATCTTGTAGCTTAGTGGTTCGAGCACTCGCCTCGCAAATGAGAAGATCTGGGTTTGATTCCCGGCAGCACAAAACGTTGGGCAAATTTCCTTACTCCACATGTCTGTTCATTTGGCAGTAAGTAGGAACCCGGTTGTTAGTCGATTGGTTGATCACGTTCCGGGGGATATAACCCCATCAAACAAAATGAAATAAGTAAATAAAAATAATAATAATTTGGTCACTTCAATCCACGACTGTTTGTGGGACACTGCTGTGCACAATTGGCTGCTGTGTTTCACCAACAAAATATACGATTCACTTTCCAGTATATTCTGTGAAGCGCTTTGAGACGTCTCGAAGACGTGATGAGGCGCTATATCAAATGCAAGGATTATTATTATTATTATTATTTCAGAGTGTCCAGAACTTGTCACTCTTTAATTTTGAAGCTGGTGTTCAGTATGTCTCTTTTTAAGAAATTTACAGAAAATGGGCTTCAAAGTTAAAACTAAATTCAATTTCTGCTAACTCTGAAATACTATTAGTACAACAAAAATTACATTTGCAAAGCGCCTTTCACGTCTGGAGTGACAAATTCAGGACACTCTGAAATACCCAGGACTAGTTCTTCTATTGGATGAGTCTTTTCCAGAGTCTGATTTGTAGAGTTCACTTGAGACACAGGTGCAAATTTCCTTATAAATTGGTGACTTTTTACCACCAGTTATCTGCCAGTGGTCGTCTATGGTCTTTGTGTACTTTTACAGACTCTTGTGCTCTGCAGAGATACTGTCACTCTTTGTACAGATTCATATCCAGAGTTTCCCAGCTCCACTGACTCCCCATCCCACAGAGGATTGAGTTCAAAATCCTCATCCTCACTTTTAAATCCCTCCCCTGTCTTGCTCAACCCTATCTCTGTGACCCTATCACTTAAACCCTACCAACTCCCAGCTCCCTCCACACAGCAGGCACTGGTCTGCTTCATGTCCCTCGCCCTGCTCGCCCCACTAACGGCAGTCGGGCTTTCAGTGTTGCTGCTCCACACCCTATGGAACTCCATCTCGGACTTCCTTGGCCTCACCCCTTCACCCGTCTCATTCAAGGTCCATCTCAAGACCTTCCTCTTTGACTGCATCTTCGTTCATCTTCCTCCCCCATCCGCCTTGGCCCCACCACTCATCCCGAATCCAACCCCCAGCTTGAGTACAAAGCCTTGACAACCAACGCTATGGGACTTCCTCCCGATGTGAAAGGCGCTATGCAAGTTGAATTTGTTGTTGTTGTTGGATGTTGTATTCATCATTGAAATATGTTTCATAGTAATATGTTTTGCCTCTGTAACTACAGCGTTCCCGGCAGCGCGAAACGTTGGGTAAGTTTCCTTACTCCACCCGCCTGTTTACCCATGTGTGAGTAGAAACCCAGTTGTTAGGCAATTGGCTGATTACTTTTCCGGGGATAATAATCCCTTCAAAATAAATGAAAATAATTTGATGACTCAATCCACGACTGTTTGTGGGACGCTGCTGTGCGCAATTGGCTGCCGTGATTCGCCCACAAAATATACGGTCAATTCACTTTACAGTGTGTTCTGTGAAGCGCTTTGAGACGTCTCAAAGAGGTCATAAGGCGCTATAATCAAATGCAAGGATTATTATTATTATTATAATGGGAATTTTTGTGTATTATTACAGATTCACGCAACTCCACTACAACAACAAATGATATTTGTATAGCGCCTTTCACGTCGGGAGGACGTCCCAAGGCGCAACTCTAGTATTGAGAGAAGCAGCCTTGGCGAGGGGGAGGGAGAGCTGAGGTCAGGACCATGGAGCAACATAATGAAGCCACAGCTCGGGTCAACGTGACTCACGCAGCAAAAACCGCGCTCACGGTGGTGAAAATAGCCTGTACGCTGCCGCTAGCCTGTGGCTCCCTGTACTGCGCTGCTCTCATGCTGTACACCTTTTGCTCCGACCTGTCTTTCCGTGAGAGTTCCCGTTACATCTTATTCACGTACATGCTGCTGAACGACGCCGTCGAGTTGGTGGTCTCGGTGTTGCTGTTCCTGCTCAGCAAGTTGCACATCCCCATACCCCTGGGAGTCTGCTCCCTGTTTGTTACCGTTTCCGGCAGTGCTTACCTAAGCACGCCCGTGATCCTGGCCGCCATGGCGCTGGAACGTTACATTGCCATCTGCGTCCCTTTGAGGCACGCGGAAATCTGTACCGTGCGGCGAAGCGCGGGAGCTATCGGTATTATTTGCGCGTTGGGATTACTGCCCCACCTCGTCGAACTCGTAGCTCTATCCACCACCCACTCGCCACGTTTTTTCAGTCGTCTCGCCGTGTGCTCAAAGGAAGCACTGATCACTAACCGTTTCCTAAACTTGTTTAGGATGACGGTGTTCGCCGTGGATTTCAGTGTTGTCACGCTGACCATTTTATACACCTACGTCAAAATAATTCTCGAGGCCAGGAAAGCCTCGGGTGATCAGTCTTCCATTTCCAGGGCTCGGAAGACGATTTTGCTGCACGGCATTCAGTTGAGTTTCTGCATGACTTCGTTCACTCATCCCATCACCGAGAACCTAGTGAGGGATCAGGGCTTCCTCTTGCGATCCTGGGTGATTTACGCCAATTTCTTTCTGTTTATCCTGCTGCCCAAAGCCCTCAGCCCCGTCATTTACGGGCTGAGAGATGAAGCCTTCAGAAAGAAAATGAAGAAACACTTTATTTTCTGTCGTTCTTCAAAAATACAACCAACTGTACTTAGTACTTAGAAATGGCACCCTGATTGCAGCTGGCTATTGAATGGTAGATTATATAGAGTTACATGAAGTGACATGCCATGGAAACAGGCCATTTCACCTAACTAATCTGCGCTGGTGTTTTTTATCTAAACATTCCCTCCCCACACTCCTACTATTCCCTGCTCTTATATCCCTTTTTTTTCCTTCTTCCTCACGTTTGCCAGCACTTTAGGATGTCCTCCCAACACGAAAGGCGCTATATAAATGTAATTTGTTGTTATTTTATGTATCAAGTTTCCTCTTAAATACATTGATGGTTTCTGCTATAACCACAGCTTCCGGTAGTGAGTTTCACATTCTCACTGGCCTCTGTGTGAGGAAATTGCTCCTAAACTCCCTATTAGATTTACAGCTAGTTATTTTACATTAAGCCCTATCATTTTGGAGTCACCAACAAGTGGAAACAGCCTGTCAAATCCTTTCATAACCTTCAATGCCTCTATCAGGTCTCCTCTCGATCACTGTGCTGGGACAGCGGCAAACCTTGGTTCATTTGTTCATTTGGTTCAACGCACTGCATTACTGAAACGCACTCCTCGCCGGTCTCCCCAGCTCCACTATTCAAAAGATCAGCCCATTCAGAACTCTGTCACCCACATACTGATCCGGACCAAACTCCGTCCCCACATCTCCCCAGTTCTGGCTCAGGCTCCAGTGGCTCCCCATCACCGAACGGATCGACTTCAAGATCCTCACACTCGTGTTCAAATCCACTCCCTGGCACCTCCCTACCTCCTCACTCCCCAATCCACCACCCAGCGCCTCCGCTCGACTGACACTGGCCTCCTGCTTGTCCCTCGCACCCTCCGCTCTACCATTGGTGGTTACATATTCAGCTACTACATCCTGGAACACTCTCCTTCAATCCCTCCTCCTTGCCCCCTCTCTCTCCTTTTTCAAGTCTCACCTGAAAATCTCCCGCTCTGAGACGCTACCCTGGGTGGAGGGCGCTATATAAGTGCAAATTGTTGTTATTGTTTGCATGTTCGTGTACACATTGGGATCTAAACATGCAGTGTTTCATAATAAGAGATGTAAGATTATCAAACTTCTCAAAACAATAAAACTGCTGAAGAACACAAGTTTTGGAAATGTAAGATTATGTTTTTCAGTGCACTCCGTGTCTTAGAAACTACTACTACTAATAATAAACCTTACACATCGGGTGATGTAACTGACTATGATCCTTGTGAGTGAAACCCAGCAAACAAGTTGCACACAGCAGTGTCTCACAAACGGTCGTGGACTGTTTCCCTTCTGCCCCTAATGGTAATTGGGCTGGGATTTACATATCCTAGACTGCGTTAATTATATTTGCTAAGCAGTCTAATAACCAAAGGAATTGCTCACGTGTTTGAGGCTCAGAGGTGCCTCTGAAGGTATGATCAATCAATACCATTAATTCAGCAAGCTAGCATCACTGGGGTGGGCCAGGGAGTCTTCGAAGAGGAGTCTTCCTCCCTGGCCTCGCTCCCCACTAGCTCTACAACCTCCTAAACGCTTACCAACCTGTCCGCTCCCTCCGCTCAGCGGGCTCCAGCCTGCTTTACATCCCCTGCCTCACCCTGCCCACCATTGGCGGGCAGGCCTTCCACCACTCTGCCCCCAACCTCCGGAACTCCATCCCACAATCCCTCCGCCTCGCCCGCCCCCTTGCCTCTTTCAAGACCCACTCAAGACCTTTCTCTTTGTCCGTACCTTCCCCGGCCCTGGCCAAACATTGCGGACAACAAGGTGGAGTATTGATTGGAAGGTGTGGAGGCAGATCATGAGGATGATTGCCTGTAAGAGGGGATGCAGGACATCGACCATAAACCCAGATGTCTGCACCCCTCCAGGACTGTATAACATGTCACGATAACAACGACAACAACTTGCATTTATATGGCATCCCTCACGCAGGGTAGAGTCCCTGAGCGCTTGACAGTGGCGGAACACGATGCCAAGCCGGGGGGAAGGGGGAGATGACCCTAGGCACGGTTGAATAGGAAGGTCTTCAGGCGCGACCTAGATGGCGAAGGAGGGGGTAAGGCAGAAGGATAGAGTCAGAGTGTTCCAGAGTTTGGGGCGTAGTGGCTAAAAAGCACAGCCACCAATGGTGGAACAGAGAGTATGAGGGACATGCAGAAGGCTGGAGCAGTCAAGCGGAGGCTGTGGATTGTGGATTGGGGGGTAAGCAGGTCAGAGAGATGGGGAGGTGAAGGGATTTGTAAACGAGTTTAACGATCTTGAAATCAAAATATGAGCTGTTGAAGTTTGGTGATTATAAACCTGTGCTTCTTGAGCCACGTGTTTGTGTGTGTGTGTGTGTCATTATCTGCCTTGCTTGGGTGGTCTGAGCTCACATTATAAAAATATTCCAATAACCTCCACTGCAGTGTGTAAAGAGGTTTCAGGGACCATGAGTAAGAGGATCTGGTATTAATTCACAACATTTCTCTCAAACCGCACCATTCTGAATAAAACAGTTCAGAGATCACCTCCTCCAACTTACAAAACATAGGAACAGGAGGAGGCCATTCAGCCCATCAAGCCCGTTCTGCTAGTTTATTAGACCAGGACAGATCTTTCAGTTCCTTTTCCTCACCTTTCCTCCACACTCCTCAATACGCTTAAGTGTATCTATCCCTCCCCGCCCCTACCCCATTCTCCTGCAAACACACAGTCACTGTACATTACTGTCTATCCTGTGAGATGCAAGGATTCAAATGCAAAGTTTATAAATATCTAAAACTTTAGTTCTGCCTCTTTGGCTTCATGGGGTGGGGGGGAGGGGTTAATTGCATATAAATGCAAAAAAATGCAATTTGTTTTTGTTGTGTTCACTTTTGATTTTCACAACCCTTTGGGTGAAGATGCCAGAATACTGATCCTTGCACTTGATACAGTGCCTTATCACGGCATTGAGATGTCTCAAAGAGCTTCACAGGATATACTGTAAAGTGGAGTGACTGTGTATTTTGTGGGTGAAAGGCGGAAGTCAGCTGTGCACAACATTGATCCACAAATAGACAAAGAGTGAGTGAGTAAATTTTATTTAGGGGGATTGTTGGCCAGGACACCGGGAGAAACTCACTTCTCTTGTCCAATAGTGCCGTGGGATCTTTAACGTCCACCTTGGGACCTCAGTTTAACGCCTAATCCAAAGGACAGCCGTACAACAACAGGATCTTTAACAACAATGGCAACTTGCATTTATTTAGTGACCTTCAGCTGGGTACTGTGGGGTGAAATCCCAGAGTGCCGATATATTGTTAAATGTAATCGCAGCGTAGGCAAATATGACAGTCATTTTACGCACAAAATGTCCCACATACAGCCACAAAGTGAATGAACAGTTTTTTGTGGGGGGATTGTTGGCCAGGACACTGGGAGAAACTCCTTTTATCCCTTTCGAATAGTATCATGTGGCCTTTAACGACCACCTTAACAGGCAACAACAACAACAACAACTTGGATTTACATAGCGCCCTCCACCCCGGACGGCGTCTCAGAGCGCTTTACAGTATCGGATCCAGGATAACGGATCCAGGCAGACAGGACCTGGGTTTAAAGTCTCTTCCAAAGAATGGCACCTCCGACAAGGCAGTGCTCCTCCAAGGCTATACGAGTTCAAAGTGCTGACGTGGGATTTGAATTCCCAACCTTCTGACTCAGATGCGATAGAGCTTCCAATGGAGCCAAGCTAACCTGGAGTGAGGATCCATTTTGGTCTGTGTTATCATCAATCAACTGGTTAAATTCTAATTTTCTCTCCCGCTACAGCATACATTTTAAGGGAAATAGTGCCATCAGCTGTTAGAGGCCACGAATGACACTGACAATCCTGGAACAGGGAAAAGTCAGCTACTTGCATGTGAGGAATGTTACGTAGGGTAGAAAGAGTGTTTGAACTAATAATAATTCTTCATTTAATATAGCGCCATATCATGCAGTCAAAACTTCTTAAAGCGCTTCACAGGATTTACAGTAAAAATATACAGTCAATTCACCTTAGAGACGTTTTGACGAAATAATAAGGTGCTATATCAAATGCAAGGGTTATTATTATTAAAATGCAGTGACTGTAATTCTACATGAACACGACAGCCAATTAGCACAAAGAAAAGTCCCGCAAACAACCATAAAGTGAGTGACCAATTCTATCTGAGGGATTGTTGGCCAGGACACCAGGAGAAAGTTCTTTTTTCGAATAGTGCCAATGGACCTGAATGTACAGTTTAACATCTCATCCAAAGGACGGCACCTCCGACAATGCAATACTCCCCCAAGAATGCCCTGGAGTGTCAGCCTAGACCGTGAGCTCAGAGTCCCAATGTGGGGCTGCAACCCATAATAGCACTACCAACTGAGCCAGACTGACAGACACCCTGATACTATTCTCCTTGCAAAGTGGCAAGTGGGGTCTCCTTGGAGCTGAGCTGCGTCCGAGGTGACGTGCTCGCCAACAGAATGTTGGAATCGAGTCAACCCTCTGGGGTGGTCTCGGAAAGAATGTGCAAGCAATCTACATGACGTAATTGAGTCAACCCACAGAACCGAGGAGAAATTCCACCTGACTCGGCTTATTCTATTTTTATTTGCGGTTCAGAGTGTGAAGAATTTAGCAAATTGTTGAATTCCGTCTCAACTTTGAAGCCCGTTTTCTTTCCGTGATTTCAAGAACCAGCCAGCCTGCAATTCCCATAATTTGAGATTGTTACATAATTACATCAGCAGGATTTGAGAAAATGGTGTCATTGCACCTCCTTTACTGTATGTGTTTCGTAAGCCTGAAAACGGAGGTAAATTATTAATCAGATACGTGAAGAGTTGCAACTTGAAAATCCGTTCTCTGAGGATGATTAAATATTGACTTATACTTTTGCCAACATGTTTAAATATATATAACTTGCTAGCACGCAGTCAGTAAGGAATTGGGAAAGGGAGGCTGTATTTTATTTTAATTTAACCTGTTGGAGTTTTGGAGAGATTTTGCTGTGGGTGATCATAGAGTCCCATAACATAGTGGTGAGCGCATTCGCCTCACAAGCGAGCAGTAAGTAGACAAGTTTCCTTACGTAAGTAGGAACCTGATTGTTAGAGGATTGGCAGATCTTTTTCTGGATGTAATAATCCCTCCAAAAAGGAAAAAATGTGGTCATTCAATCCACGACTGTTTGTGGGACACTGCTGTGCACAATTGGCTGCCACATTTCACCCACAAAATACACAGTCAATTGACTTTACAATATAATAAATGTAAAGACGTCTCAATGATGCACCGTTGAGACATCTCAAAGTGTTTCACAGAATATATCGGAGTCCTATAGCTTAGTGTTTAGAGCGCTCGCCTGACAAGCGAGAGGACCTGGGTTTGATTCCCAGACAGGGCGAAAAGTTGGGCAAGTTTCCTTACCCAACGAGTCTCTGTTTGCCTAGCAGTAAGTAGGAACCTGGTTGTTAGTCAATTAGCGGATCGCTTTTCCAGGGGTAATAATCCCTCCAAAAAGAAAAAATTTGGTCACTCAATCCATGACTGTTTGTGGGACACTGCTGTGTGGAATTGGTTGTCGCATTTGGCCCACAAAATATAACCAATTCGCTTTACAGTATATTCTGTGAAGCGCTTTGAGACGTCTCAAAGATGTGATAAGGCGCTACATATCAAACGCAAGGATTACTACTGCTATTAATAAGAAAAATGCAGTTGATATATATACTGTTCATGGATTTTGAGAGAGTTTCAGTTCAGTTCAGGATTAGTGACCTGCATGAATTAGTTTGAAATACCTGTTAATGATTCCTATATTTCAGTTCCATGACCCTGTAAATGAACTTGAATAACATCAATACTTGCCTTCAGTTACTTCCTTCATGTCAACCAGAGTTCGCCTACAGAACGCACAGTCACTGCACTTTCCAGATGAGAAGGATACTGTACCAAATGGAAGAATTATTATTATTAATAATGTAACAGATAATAATAATGTTTATGTTTTCATCTTTTTACGTTGGAAGGATGTCTCAAAGCACTTCACATTTAATTTACTGTAAAGTGTAGTGATTTGCACTTTGTTGGTGAACGCAACAGGGACCTTGGATTAAATATCTCACCCAAAGGACGGCACCTCAGACAATGAAACACATCCCCAGCGCTGCATTGGAGTATCAGCCTTGACTTTATGGGTTCAAAGCCTCGTTGTTGGATACTTGAACACTAGCATAGTGTTGTTGTCTCTGTTGTTCCTCTCGTTTGACTCCATTCTCTGTATTTTGTGAGTTACTTTGCCCTATTTTATTGAAAAAAATTAACTCTTTATTTTTGATATATGTATTAAAATTTGACTTGTAGAACAGTAAATGATGTCTGTTTAAATTTGACAAAAATCACTTGAACCACTGTAACTCTACAAATCAGATCTTTTTGCATAACCATCAAAAATAAAGACATAAATCGAAGACTTTTAAGACAAAATAACATGGAGTGGCAGAGCTATGTATAGTTTTTTTAAAAAAAACATTCAAAAGAGTTGTTTTGAAGAGCTGCAGAAAAATTGCTAAGACCTCGTTGTAATATTGTAAGAATAAGAAGCGTGAAGAGGTGTGGAGATATTGCAGGGCAGTGGGATTGACTAAACTATGTTATGAGAGCCAGTGCAGACTTGATGGGCCGAATGGCCTCCTTCTGTGTTGTCAATATTGATGCACGTCAGGAAGGCATCCCAAAATGCTACATAGGATTAGGGATTTTGCAAGGATTTTTATTATCGCCCTTGGAGGAGGGTGGGGGCAGCCATTTTTGAAGCTGGCACGGAGCCTGAGCAGTGAGGAAGAGGGAGGGGGAGGTAGCTGTCTATCTAAAGCTCACCTCCACAAAAAGGTGAGTTGTAGAGAGATTTTTAGGTGGTGGGGAGGTTAAGGATGATCAGCCCTCGCCCTTGCCTAACCACTTGCAGGATGACACCAAATTAAGAACAACAGAGCCATAGAAATTCACGGCATAGATTACTTGCATTTGGTCCATCAGGTCTAAATGATGAACCTCAATTATGTCAACATCAATAATTGACACAGCTACTTCCTTCATGCCAATCAGATAACAGTTACTTGCACATTGATATGTGACTTTGCCTCCGTGGCTTTTTTTTAAAGTGAATACGCAACTCCATTTCTCTGCCCTTTGCTCTATGCACCATGCAGTGCTATACTATATAACCATAGGCATATAAATAACTATATATTTGGTCATTCAATCCACGACTGTTTGTGGGACACTGACCACAAAACATACAGTCAATTCACTTTACAGTATATTCTGTGAAGCGCTTTGAGACGTCTCAATGACATGATTAGGTGCTATATCAAATACAAAGATTATTATTGTATTATTATTATCTCAGGACCACAGTAGTTTTTGGAGCTCTTGTACAGCTGTGATATTATTGCAACTTGCATTGACATGGCGCCCATCACACAAGCTAATATCTCTGAGAACGTCATGGTGATGGGGTTGAGCAAGGGAGAAGGAGCAAGGAGAGATGAACCATTGGCATAGTGAAAGAGGTAGGTTTTAAGGTGGGATTCAAAGATGGATAGAGAGACGACAAGAGGAAGAGACAGGGAGTTCCAGAGGTTCCAGAGGTTAGGGTGGAGTGACTGAAGTCACTGGCACAGAGGGGGCAGCAGATGCTCTTGTTAGTTGAGCGGAGGAGTTGTAAGCTACCTATCAACAACAACTCGCGTTTATATAGCGCCTTTCTCACGGGGCATCATCTCAGTGTTACGACACTCTGCCATTCCAACAATATGACACCGAGCTGGGGAGAAAGGGGTCAACTTCAGAGCATGGGTCTATTTTTGCCTCACTGTATACTATCCTCCAGTTCTCTTCTTCTCCTGAAAACATTTGACACAATTACGCACAGCAGTGTCCCACAAACAGTCATGGATTGAGTGACCAAATTATTTTTTTGTGTGTTAGGAAGGACAATGGGGGATCGAACATGACACCTGTGATGTGCACAGGTTCGGTGAGTCTGAGGGACAGTCCGGGGAGTTAAGGAGGTCGGAGCTGCAGGTGAACTGTTGCACTGTTACCAACAAACCCACCTCCAGGAGCAAGCCAAGTGTCAATTTCAGTCAAGACAAGGTTCGACATGAGATTGATTGCCATCTATTTTAGCCACTCTACTCCACTCCATTCCATTCCATATTTTCACATTTTAAAGAACTAATTGTCAAATTACTTTTTTTGATCAACTCGGGTGTCTGACACATGCGGAAACCCATCACTGTGCTTAAGGGTCTCCAAACCAAACTGAGAATTCCATACATCCCACCTACACCTTGAAATCCCAGGGATAGATTTTTGGAATGGAATGCGCCCTCTCTCCCTGGAGGGACCCATCCTGTTTACCTAATTCTGGAAAGTATTTAGGCGCAGGTTGGCAGGAGCCTAGGCTTGGGGACCCCAGAGGGTGCTTTGGGGTAACTGCTCGAGTCTAACCAGCTAAAACTGCATAGCTTGCAATTGATATCGCTGTCTGGCAAGCTTTCCCGTTGCTCTAAGATCACTCTATTCATTAGGGCTTTGGCTTGCAGGATTACCCAGGTCCTGTATGAGCCAGGCTGGCTGTGCTGTCAATTCCTTGTGGGAAGACAAAATGACAGTGAACCTTTCTGTAAAAGAGTAACTAAGCCGAAAAGCTATTTTTGCAATTGAAGAAATATTTTACTTGCGAAACGCAAACACTCCTATCTGAAATCCCTGACCTAGGGGTGCTGCCTGGAAGAGTCAAATTCTCAAGTTCTGTATTGGTTGAAATATGGTTTTGGGCAGATTCCCAGGGTCACAATCAGACACCACTCTTTGAATGAAATGGTGCAGGCTGCCAATAAATCTAAACATATGATTCACCAAAGCCAATGGATGTCCTCAGTTGCGTAGATACATTTGGATGATGTCAAGGCTGAGCCAATCATTGCTAAACTCTGCGCTTTCAGGTGTCAATGCTTGTGTGATTTTTTGAACTGACCTAATATGTGGATCGAACTCGAGTAACATCAGGCTCTCGTTAACAGTATATAAGCCCGACAGATTGACTGTTCTGCACTGCCTCTGCTCTGTTGAGTTCGTGCATCTTTACACCCATTCCAGCACTGAACGAAAAGCACCATGCAGTCCCTTGCAACACAGCACCAAAAGAACTTCCTCGCTGTGGCAATGAATAAATACGTTTCTTCAGTGAAGAACATGGAGAACACAGTCATGTTACCCAGCCTCCTCCGAGACGTCCCCATCGAGGATGAAGATGAAACCAAAATGGCCACCATCAGTCCCCAGAACCTGTACGAGTGCTACAGCCTTCTGAAGTCCTTCAAGAACACGGTGGAGTCCAGCATTCTGCCCTTTGAGCCGCCGAAAAGGAAAAACAGCGCCGGCGATTTGGAGAGCGAAGAGGAGAATGAAGAACAGCCAAACCTGGAGAAACTCTTCCACATCCACTTGTTGGGGCTCTACACTGTGCTAGATGAACTGAGCAACAAGGCCAACACACTAACTAAACGTTATAAGGAAATCATAGGCCTTCCTCGCTAACCGCATTGGAAAGATCACCGAAACTCTCACCCAAGTGTCCATCCGAGGTTGCAACGTGAAACAGTCAACAAAGCAGCTGGGAAGAAAGCAAAAGATGTGATTCTGCTTAAGTTATAAGCATGTGGAAATGCCAATTGTAAACCTGCTGAATACATCTGAATAAATTGGTTATAAAGAATAGTACTGTGTTTATATTGATTCAATTTCCACAAGTCTTTGAGAGAGAAAAAACTTTGGCTGTAAGTAAATTTCCTAACAATAAGCGGATGGAGAATCCAGCATGGAACATCATCACTGGTTATTGTGTCTACCAAAAATGCAATTAATTGTAATAAATAATAATCCTTGCATTTGATATAGAGCCTCAGCACATTAATCTTAATTGCTCCTCTCTCCCTGTAATGAAAATGTTAAAGTGAAGTCAAGTACCAATTGCAAATTTATGGAATAATGTGCCAACCAGACAACAACAACAACAAGATTCCATTTATTGAGCGCCTTTCATGTCGGGAGGACGTCCCAAGGCGCTGTACAGTTGGGTCAGGACCCGAGCAAGGGGGGAAATGGTCAGGGTGAGAGGAGGGAAGGGAGGAAGCGAGGAGCGGGTAGAGAGTCGAGAGGGGAGCTGAAGGCTGAAGGTCAAAGAGAAACGTCTTGAGACCGGCCTTGAAGGAGGAAAGGGAGGAGGCGGCGAAGGCACTGGGGATAGAGTTCCAGAGCCTCGGGGCTGAGAGGCTGAAGGCCCGGCCAGACCTTGATATACTGTTAGCAATACATCTGTATCACTGTTGTATTGCATTATGAATGTAAATGTGTGTTTTTTTTCCAAACTGTACTTGTTTGGTGAGTGCATGTGAACTATTGCCACAATTATTTCGATAATAATCCCTAAAAAAAATTAACAATAATAAATTGGTCTTTTTCAATCCGCGACTGTTTGGGGGACATTGCTGTGCGCAATTGGCTGCCGCGTTTCGCCCACAAATATACAGTCAATTCACTTTACAGTATATTCTGTGAAGCGCTTTGAGACGTCTCGAAGATGTGAAAAGTACATGAGTACCTGGAGTCCTGTGGCCCAGTGGTTAGAGCACTCGCTTTGCAAGTGAGAGACCTGAGTTCAATTCCAGGCAGAGGGCGAAACCTTGGGCAAGTTTCCTTACTCCACACAGAGCCTAATAATAATCCCTCCAAAACCAAACACAATAATAAATTGGTCATTTTCAATCTACGACTGTTTGTGGGACATTGCTGTGCGCAATTGGCTGCCGCGTTCGCCCACAAATATAGTCAATTCACTTTACAGTGTGTTCTGTGAAGCGCTTTGGGACGTCCTCCCGACGTGAAAAGCGCTATATCAAATGCAAGGATTATTATTATTATTATTATTACACGAGCTGCAGAGGTTTGGATGATCTGCAGCTTGTGAAGGGAAGAGTTGGGAAAGCCGATGAGGAAGGAGTTCCCGTAATCGAGCCTTGAGGTGACGTATGTGTGGGTGAGGGTTTGGGCTGCCTGAGGGGTGAGGCAGTGGCGGAGTCTGGCAATGTTGCGGAGGTGGTGGTAGGCAGTGCCGGTCATAGCGCGGATGTGGGGGAGAAAGGACAGTTCAGGGTCAAACAAGACACCCAGGTTCCTGACTGGCTTAGTGAGGTTGAGTGTGCAGCCGTGGAGGCTGATGCTGCCGGCGCCACAATATAATAATATAATATAATATAATATATAATGCCACACGGAGGCACAATATAAAATTAAATTACAATTAAATTACAATTTTACAATTAAATTACAATTTAAAATTATATTACAACTTGCATTCCATTCAAACAATCTATCTCTGGAATTATCATGTGGAGGTGGGATGCAAGGAATTTTCAGTTTGGTTTGGATACACTTAAGCATGGTGAGTCTTTCCCTGTGTCCTGGCCAATAATCTTCCTGATAATGTTGTTCACTTCACAGCTGTTTGTGGGACATTGCTGTAGGCAAATTGCCTGCTGCATTTTTTCCTACAAAATATACAGTTACTACACTCTACGGAAAAATCTTGTGCTCGTTAAAGTCGTCAGTCACAGCATTTATGGGCGAGAGGAATTCCTTGACCTTAATTTCCAATCAGTAATTAATGCACGGGTTATTATATTAACCCGTGGATTATACAGGACTTATACAGGAATCCTGTAGCTCAGTGGTTAGAGCACTCGCTTTGCAAGTGAGAGACCTGAGTTCAATTCCAGGCAGAGGGCGAAACCTTGGGCAAGTTTCCTTACTCCACACAGAGCCTAATAATCATCCCTCCAAAACCAAAAACAATAATAAATTGGTCATTTTCAATCTACGACACTTTGTGGGACATTGCTGTGCGCAATCGGCTGCCGCGTTCGCCCACAAATATACAGTCAATTCACTTTACAGTGTGTTCTGTGAAGCGCTTTGGGACGTCCTCCTGACGTGAAAAGCGCTATATCAAATGCAAGGATTATTATTATTATTATATTATTGTTATAATAGTAGTCAGTCTTTGTGAGAGATTTATGGGACATTATTGTGTGCAAATTGGCTGTTGCATTCACCTGCAAAATACAGTCACTACACTTTACAGTGAAGCCTATGAAGTGCTTTGAGGCATCCTCCCGACATAATAATCCTTGCATTTGACATAGCGTATTATAATAATAATAATAATAATCCTTGCATTTGATATAGCGCTTTTCACGTCGGGAGGACGTCCCAAAGCGCTTCACAGAACACACTGTAAAGTGAATTGACTGTATATTTTGTGGGAGAAACACGGCAACCAATTGCGCACAGCAGTGTCCCACAAACAGTCGTGGATTGAGTGACCAATTTTATTTTGAAGGGATTATTACCCCGGAAAAGCGATCCAACAATCGACTAACAACCGAGTGCCGACTTACTGCTGGGTAAACAGAGGCGTGTGGAGTAAGGAAACTTGTCCAACGTTTCGCCCTGCCAGGAAACGAACCCAGGGGTCTCGCTTGCGAGGCGAGTGCTCTAACCACTGAGCTACAGGACATGAAAGGTTCCATGTGAAATGCAAGATTATTATACAGAAATCACTTCTCCTCTCCTCAGATAAATGCCAGCAGTTAAGATTCAGTACTTGGGTCAGAAAAGTGAATCGGACGAGGGTTTAGGACAGGATTGGTTCACTGTGATATTCCCACACATCCCCCCACTCCAGTTTGAACAGCTTGCTGACAAACTATTTACTTTGGTCAGCCTGACAAATGCAGAAACCTGTTCTCATACTTAATAGTGTCCAAACCAGACTGAGGGTTCAGCATATGAAAACCACCTACACATGGGAAATGTCTCTCTACCTGGAATGGAGTGCGGCCTTTCTCCCTGGAGGAATGTGTCTTCCGACCTAACGCTGGAGAGTATAAGGCGCAGGTTAGCAAAAGCCCAGGTTTGGGGACCCTACATTATGCGTTTACCAACCACCACCTAAGTTCTCTCGGATTGGATAACACAGAACGCAGCCCTCCGAGGAGAGAATGCGCACTTCATACCAATGGAAACCAGACATACATGGAACTCTGCCCTGATCGCATCGCGTCAGCGCCTCCGCACCTCAGGCGCTGACAGCATCAGCATCCAAGGCTGCACTCTCCACCTCTCAAAGCCAGTCAGGAACCTCGGGGTTCTGTTCGACCCTGAGCTGTCCTTTCTCCCTCATATCCGCGCCCCAACTGGCACTGCCTTCCATCACCTCCGGAACATCGCCAGACTACGGCACTGCCTCACCCCTCACGCTGCTGAAACTCTGGTCCACGTTTTTATCACCTCAAGGCTGGACTATGGGAACTCTCTCCTCGCCGGCCTTCCCGCCACCTCCCTCCACACTGCAGGTCATTCAGAACTCTGCAGCTCGTGTACTGTCCCGCACCAGACACCGCGACCACATCACTCCCACCCTCGCTCGCCTCCACTGGCTCCCCATCCCCCAGAGGATCGAATTCAAGATCCTCATCCTCACCTACAAGGCCATTCACGGCCTCGCTCCCTCCTACCTCTCCGACCTACTATCCCCCTACTTACCTGCCCGTACCCTCCGTTCCTCTGGCTCTGGTCTGCTCCACATCCCCCGCCCCAACCGCCCTACCATCGGTGGCCGGGCCTTCAGCCTCTCAGCCCCGAGGCTCTGGAACTCCATCCCCCAGTGCCTTCGCCGCCTCCTCCCTGTCCTCCTTCAAGGCCGGTCTCAAGACCTTTCTCTTTGCCCGTGCCTTCAGCTCCCTTCTCAACTCTCTACCCCCCCTCGCTCCCTCCCTTCCCTCCCCTCACCCTGACCATTTCCCCCCTGCTTGGGTCCTGACCCAACTGTACAGCGCCTTGGGACGTCCTCCCGACGTGAAATACGCTCTATAAATGGAATCTTGTTGTTGTTGTTGTAATTAACCCTTTGGTAAAGAAATACTCCTGATATCTATCCTGAAATTGCCAATTGCAGCTCTAAACAGTTCTGGGTTTACTGTTTCAATCCCATTTAAAATATTATTCATTGCTATAAGGTTCCCTCTGAGACATATCCTTTCATTGCTTAAGGGCCCCAGCTTGTCTAATCATTGCCCGTACCTCATTCTTCTAAACTGGGTATTATCCTCATTACTCTCCTCTGGACAGTGTCACTGAGACCCGAATTGTCACTGAGACCAGAATTGTTTGTCCTGACAAGTTGTTTGAACCCACAACAATTTGACTAAGAGGTGAGAGCGCTTCCAACTGAGCAAAGCTGGACTTAAAACAATTCATGTATAAGATAGTGAACACATCAGTCTTCCATACCACTTAGGAATTGGATTGGCCTCTGGTTATAATCAATATTTCACCTCAGATTGGACTTTATCATTTAAAGATGCAATAAGCACTTTTGATATCTAAAATTACAGTATTGCGTTGCAGCCATCGACACATGGGAAATGCCATCCTTCAAAGGTTATTTAAACATCATTGCAATAATCTATTTACTGTCTGTTTTTTACAGACACGAATGATTGTGGAAACTGACCTGACTGCAATGTGAACTTCAAACTAAAATCAATTTTATATTTTTCTGCCAATTTTCCGACCAAACCACCAACGCAGCACAAAGACATTTAATTCATTTTTAAAGACCCCACAAGTAATTATTTCATATAATTTATTACAGCAAATCCATTTACATAAATCTATGAGAAACACTGAGCATACACAGATTAACATGGTTTATACCGAGCCTGACAAGCGCTCAGACTGGTGTATGGTTATAACAAGAACCAAACATTGCCAACAGAAAGTCGTTGCCAGGTGATTTTAGCGAATTGGAACAAAATCCTCCAGGATTTCAGCGTACTTCTTTTTCTCTGAAAATAAAACACAGAAACAAGAAAATTATCACCTCAATCATCACAAAAATAAATGTGATTTGTATTTTCAGTGTTTATTTCTCTCAAACCTGGACGATTTTAACACAACAACAACAACTTGCGTGTATATAGCTCCTCTCCCTGAGTGCTTGACAGTGGTGGAGCCGGGGGGGGGGGAGGTGAATGTCAGTTGTGTAGAGTGTTGAAGTTAGTTTTTTTCACTAGAGCTAAGGTTAAGGGATGACCTGATAGAGGACTTCAAGATTACGAAGGTATATGATATGGCAAATAGTGAGACTATGAAATGGGAATATTCAGATTTAAAACTGGTTGATATTCAAGGGTTGGTTTGATTCAAGCTTATCAATGGTGATATGCCATTTTTTCACCCCAATAATCTGCTTCAACATCAAGCCCATTGGGGGAGAAGTGCCCGGAGTGGGGGAGGGGGTGGGGGTTACAGTATCGGAGGTGCCGTCCAGATTTATATGCTGAACCGAGCTCCTGCCTGTCTGTTCAGGTGGATGTTAAAATTCCCATGGCACTACTCGAAAAGAGAAGGGAGTTTCTCCAGGCCAACAATTTCCCTAATAAAATTAGTCACTTACTTACTTCAAGGTTGTTTGTGGGGCATTGCTATGGGAAAATTGGCTGCTGCCTATAAAATACAGTCACAGTACTTTACACTGTAAATTACACACAGTCAAAGCACTTTACTGTGAAGCACTTTGATAAATAAGACAGCTTGTATTTTTTTTTACATTTCTTTGGACCCATTGCTCAATGAATACTGCTTGGCCAATACTACTGTCCTGCCTTCATGTCCTGTCAGCCCCACCATCGGTGGTTGAGCCTTCAGCTGTTCTGTTCCTGCTCTTTATCCCGAAGTTCCTCCGAATCCCTCCTCCCTCCCTACTTTCATAACCTGCCTCAAGGCTTATCTCTATGATCATGCCTTGCAATTGGCTGCTGTATTTCATCCACAAAATGCAGTCAATCTACTTTACAATATATTCTGTGAACCGCTTAGAGATGTCTCAACAGCATCATAAGGCGCTATATCAAATGCAAGTATTGTTATTATTCAGTCATCTTCATTCCCCCACTTTCTCCCAGCTCTGGTGCCCACCCTGAAAGATGTGATATAAATCTAAATTGTACTGAATTCTTATCTTAAATGTTTATTGTCTCCTTCACATTGTATTATCTCTTTGAACACTGTACCTTTTTCAGGAAAGTCCTCTGGATGGAGTCTTATGTATTCAAACATTTCATGCTCTACTTTAGCTTTCTTGTAGTTTTCCAACTTGGTGAGGTAGTAGCCAATATACCAGGCAACGCTCGTGAAAAGTATCTGTCGATGGATACCTTAAAAACAAAGCAAAACAGCTTTTCACTTGTTTCTGTCATCTGAAATAAACACCTAGATTTAGATAGTCTAAGCTCACACTCCAATGCAGTGCTGGGGGAGTGTTGCATTGTCAGAGGTACCGTTCTTCGGATGAGTTTTTAAACCGAGGCCCATTTGCCTGTTTAGGTGGATGTTGAAGATCCTATGGTACTATCGAAAAAGAGAAGAGTTTCTCTTGGTGTCCTGGCCAGCAATCCCTCAAATAAAAATTGGTCACTCAGTCCTTGGCTGTTTGTGGGACATTGCTGTGGGCAATACTGGCTGCCGCATTTCGCCCACAAAATACAGTCATTTCACTTTACAGGGTATCGTGTGAAGCACTTTGAAACGTCTCAACTGCAAGGGCACTATTTCAATGCAAGGATTATTATTATTAATATACCGCAAAGTGTAGAACCAGAGGGGAGAAGTGGAGATTTTTTTTTACAGAGAGTTGTTACGGTCTGGAATACATTGTCCGAAAGGTTGGTGGAAACAGATTCATTAACAACTTTCAAAGGGAATTAGATAGATATTTGAAAAGGAAAGGTTTGCAGGGGTATGGGGAAAGAACGGGGAAGTGGGACTAATGCCTAATAATAATAATCCCTCCAAAAAAAATAATAAATTGGTCATTTTGAATTGGCTGCCGCGTTTGCCCACAAAAATACAGTCAATTCACTTTACAGTATATTCTGTGAAGCGCTTTGGGACGTCTAGAAGACGTGAAAAGCACTATATCAAATGCAAGGATTATTATTATTATTATAATTGGGTAGCTCTTCCAAAGAGCCAGCACAGGCACGATCATAGAATCATAGAATGTTACGGCACAGAAGGAGGCCATTCGGCCCATCGAGTCTGTGCGGCTCTTTGACAGAGTGTCACTTTCACTAACCCCAATCACCAGCTTTCTCCCCATAACCCTGCAAACCCGTCTTCTCCAGATACCTATCCAGTTCTCTCTTAAAAGCTGTTATCGAATCGGACATCACTGCCCTTTCGAGCGGATCATTCCAAATTCCAACAACTTGCTGAGTGAAAACATTTCTTCTAACCTCCCCTCTGCTTCTTTTGGTAGATATCTTAAGACTGTGACCACGAGTCACAGACGCACCTACCAGCGGAAACAGCTTTTCCCTATCTCACCTGACGAAACCTTTCATGATCTTGAAGACCTCTATCAGGTCCCTGCGTAACCTTCTCTGCTCTAATGGGAAAAGTCCTAACTTCTCCCGACTGTTCTCATAGCTAAGGTTCCCCATTCCTGGTATCATTCTCGTGATTCTCCTCTGCACCCTTTCCAGTGCCTTAATATCCATCCTGAGGTAAGGTGCCCAGAACTGGACACAGTACTCCAGCTAAGGCCTAACCGATGGGCCAAATGTTCTCCTTCTGTGCTGTAATATTCTATGATTCTATGATGCTGTGTATTTTGTAGGAGGATAAAGCAACCGATTTGCGCATATCAATGTCCCACAAACAGCCATGAAGTGAATGACAAATGTTAGCTGGGAATGGTTGTCCACAACATTAGCAGAAACATTTTCCTCTTTTCGTGTAGTGCAGAGGTTCTCAAACTGTAGGACGGACCTCCCAAACCCCACCTCTGCCTTTCTAGACTGCAACCCTGAATTGCACTACATTGTACAGCGAGGAGACAGGCTCACTCCTCCCTGTGATGGGGTGGGACTAATGGATATTGTACAACATGATCTGAAGTTGTTTGGTGTTGTGATTTCCCAAAGTGTTTGAGCAGTTTGGTTTTGGCTGCTGTGATTTGTGCTCTTTTTGGGCAGAATCTGGCACGGAGGGGGCTTTGTGAAGTCGAAATGCTGCTTTTCACCCTCATATTCTTATTGTATCTGTATTGATCGGACCCCTCCTACTTTGTTGCTCGTTTTCTTGTGGAGTATAGGGGGGGGGGGTTCGGTTCTTTGTGTTGTCTTCGTGAACCGTGGAGAGGTGCAACTGTGTTTTTTTGTTGGCTTAGGTTGGCTCACTGTGACAACGTCTGAGGACCCCTGGTGCTGTAACATCCACCTGAACAGCCAGACGGCACCTCGGATTAACCTCTCATCTGAAGGACAGCGTCTCCGACAACAGCGCTCCCCCAGAGCTGCACTGGAGCGTCAGCCTAGACCGATGATGGGTCAGGAGTGTCCAGCCGAACGTTCGCTCAGCTCTGAGCCTGTTCCAAATCACCGCCTTGTTGCCGCCGAGCCGAGATGCCCGTTCTGCAGCTCGGGTGTTAACCTTCGATTGTCCAGCGCTCCCGACCTGAAAAGCGCTGTATAAACGCAATCTGCTGTTGTGTTGCGGCCACAAATGAAGAAATATTGCATCAAGAAGACCCCTCGGTTCGATTCCCGGGCAGAGCGAAACCTTCAGCCGGGTTTCCTTACTCCACGCGCCTCTGTTTACCGAGCAGTACAACAACAACAACAAGATTACATTTATAGAGCGCCTTTCACGTCGGGAGGACGTCCAAGGCGCTGTACAGTTGGGTCAGGACCCGAGCATTGGGGGGGGAAATGGTCAGGGTGAGGGGAGGGAAGGGAGGGAGCGAGGAGGGGGTAGAGAGTCGAGAGGGGGAACCTGGTTTGTTAGTCAATCGGAGGATCACTTACTGGGGGTAATATTCCCTTCAAATTAAACTGATCACTTCCACCCACGACTGTTTGTGGGGGACGCCGCCGTGCGCCATCGGCTGCCGCGCTTCTCCCGCGAAACATAACAGTCACTACGCTCGGCAGCGTGCGCCGCGAAGCGCTTGCGGGAGACGTCTCGAAGTCGTGATCGGGCGCCGTGTCGAGCGCGAGGGCCGTCGTCGTCGGGTCCGGGCCACGGCCCTTCGCCGGGTCGGGGGGGGGGGAACCGGGGGGGACGCGCCCTCTCCTCTCTCCACATACACGCTGCCCGGACCCGCTGAGGGCTCCCAGTGGCTCTCTCTCTCTCTGTGTGTGTTTCTGCTTCAGATTTCCAGCGTCTGCGGCAATTTTACGTTTATTATTATTAATATTAATTATTATTATTATTATTATTACTACAAGAGGTCAGAACAACATCAGCCCCGCGGCCTCCCCCCCCCCACCCCCCCCCCCCCCTCCCTCAGGGCCTGAAGGTCACTGCGAAGGCCTCGAAGCCTCGGGTTTTCCTGGGCCTCCGCTCCCCGGGGTGGGGGTGGGGGGGACGGGGACAGACTCACCCGCCTTGAGGGGCGGCCGGTGGTTCAGGGCGTTGTGGAGGAGGGACGAGGTCCAGCCCAGGAGGCCGAGCCACACCGTGTTCCTGTTGACGATGGCGGGAGGCGGGAGGCCCCGGGCCTCGGGCGGCAGCACCAACTGCATCTCGGCCGCCGCCTCTACTCCGGAAGTGGGGGGTGTGTGTGGGAGAGGGGGGGACCACACAGCGAGGGCACAGCGCGCAGGGACACGTGCCCCGGCTCCACTCCGCCGGGTGGAGCGACTCGGCTCCCGACAAACGTTCCGCCCCCTCTCTCTCTCCCTCTCTCTCTCTCTCTCCCCCCTTTATCATTGAAACAATACACACAGAAAAAAAAAGGATGTGTTGCTGTTGGTGGGTTATTGTTGTTGTTGTTGTTGTTGTTGGAGTTGCTCCGGGTCGCAAAACGCCTGTCACGTTTCTTACAGACTTAAGCGGTTATCGTGACAGGGTAACGGCCCCTCCCTCTCCGCCTCTGCACTGCTGCCACACCTTAAATAATAATAAATAGCAATAATAATCCTTGCATTTGATGTAGCGCTTTTCACGTCTTCCAGACGTCTCGAAGCGCTTCACAGAATATGCCGTAATGTGAATTGACTGTATATTTGTGGGCGAAACGCGGCAGCCAATTGCGCACCGCAGCATCCCACAAACAGTCGTGGATTGAAAATGACCAATTTATTATCGTTTTGGGTTTTGGAGGGATTATTATTAGGCTCTGTGTGGAGTAAGGAAACTTGCCCAAGGTTTCGCCCTCTGCCTGGAATTGAACTCAGGTCTCTCACTTACAAAGCGAGTGCTCTAACCACTGAGCCACAGGACTCCATTTAGCATTGATCAGGACTGACCACTGTGACTGACCCCCTCCCCGCAGCAACGTTACAAACAAGTTTGTGGGCCACTCATAAGTACGTTGGCTCAGGGATATAACTTTTTTTGTAAAAAAAATATAGGGTGCATAAAGTACCAGTGAATGTGTTTTCATAGCGCTCACAGCATGGAAATGGGCCATTCCGTCCCAATAGTTCAATGTCAATGTATTTTGAAGGCAAATGCAGCAGCCAATGTGCACACAGCTGTGGAGTGGCCATCCGATTTCATTTGGGAGGATTGTTGGTCAGGACACCGGGATAAACTCCCTTCTGCTTTTGAATAATGCCGCGGGGTCTTTAACATCCAGCGTAACAGGCATCCTCGGTTAACGTCTCATCCAAAGGACGGCACCTCCGATAACGCAGTGCTCCTCCAACAATGGTAAACGAGATTAGAGACAGACAGAAATGCAAACTTTTTATTTACTTTGATTATATAAAAACAGGTTCCAGGTTTCCACATAATCCTTAGTTGTTCAGGAAATCACATTACTTCCATTGCCCATCATTACATTAAAAAAATATTTTTCCACCAACCATAATTTTCACTGTTATGATTATAATTCAAAATGAGATACATTCGTGTAAACATACACAGAATCTGCGTTCTTGATGAATGAATTCATTTTGGTCCCTAAAACTGAATGTAAATATCTTTACCATATTTTGGGGGAATAGACGAATATGAAAAATCTGGCGATTCAGGGAATTCTACTACTGTTGTTTTATCATCGCACTGCAATATTGCAAAGCTGATACACTTTTGAAGAAGCATCTCGTCCGGTGAAAATTCACACTTTCAGAATCAATTTCCACATGGATCCTGCGATGAACCGCAACTCAATCTCACACCTCAAAATACAGCAGGTATTTAAACCAACATCCTTGGCATATGTCATTTCATACTGCATTGACAACATTTTAAAAACATTATAATACACAGCAGAATGGAGGCAGGTTCTTAAACAGTAAGAGGAAATCCTGAATGTCAAAATTGATTAATATCAAAAACAATATAGAACACAAGGCTGTACCATTACTGTTAAAGATACTCAAAATACTCCAGCATTTAATGGTGTCATGCCACCCCCAACTCACTGGTGGGTTTGAGGTTTGGGTTGATTGTCAAATGGTGGATCGTAGCATGATTCTTGTATTATTAAACCAAGTTGATTACTAGCACTGCAAATGTCCAGTTCTGGTATTTCTACCACAGCAGCATGGACATTATTGCCTCTTCTTCTTCTTGGTTAATGGCTGTGTCAGGATTGAAATGTACAGCTTAATCCAAGAGTAGGTGACCCCTATTGCACAGTACATAGAGGTGAGCAGTAGTGGCACAAAGGGGAAGCTCAGCTGCCAGGGTGATAGAGGATAGATGATTTCACAAATGACTTCTAGAGGAACCAAGCCAATAAGGTAGATGGATTCAGGCCAGTTCAGAAGTGGTCCCTCTTTCCTGGAGAGTTAATAACAGATGAATTTTTAATCGTTTATCAAATGCACTTTTTAAAAGTTTCAATAAGATGAACATTTGAAATCAAAAACATCTGAATCTTTGTTGGTAGTCGCTTTGGAACTAATAAAAATTGGTGCCAATTATGAACAGACTATATTAATTATCCAACACAACTTGCATTTATATAGTGCCCTTCACTGAGTAACACCTTGGAGCGTTTGGACAATGTTGGATATCGAGCAGGGAGGGTGGGAAGGATGAGGGAGGTGACTATAAATTGTCAAAGAGGTTTCTTTTTAGGCTGTTTTATAAAATGGATAGAGGGAGTGAAATGGAGGGAGTCTATTTGATGAGGGAATTTCCAGAGGGTGGATGGATTGTGATGGCTAAGCCAGTGATGAACAAGCAGGTTTGCTGAACGGAGGGGAGTGAGCAGAAGAGTGAAGCTGGAAAAGACCGCAAAAGTTGGGAGGAGTGAGGACATGAAGGGATTTGTCAGTGAGGATCTTGAAATTGAACTGGGAGATAGGGAGACAATGGAACGTGACAAGGATGGGGGTGATGGGCATGCAACATTTTGTGCTGATGAGGAGAGGGTGGTTTTGGATGAGCTGGAGGAACAATGGAGCGAGAGGAGTACATTGAAAAGTAGAATCAAGGGGTGAAGGAAGCATTAATGAGGGTTTTGGCAATATTGGGCATGAGGACAGGGATGGAGGGGGGCATTGTGGAGAAGATGCAGAAAAGCGTCATTGACCAGGGACAAGAAGTGACGGTAGAAGGAAAAAGAGATAAGTGTTGAACCAAATGCCAAAGTTGTGCACTGGTTCAGTGAGTCAAAGAGAGAAGGAAGAAGTCGGAGTGAGGAGACGTTGACGGGAGCAGAGAATGGCTTCCGTGTCGCCAACGTGGGGCTTCAGTTCTACACTCACAAGATGTGAAATTAACAGAACTAAACATAAAACCGCTTCAGCACTTGCCTATAAAAACAGTCACTATGCACGACCGTAATTATCTGTGAAGCTCTTTGAGATGGCCTTGTTGTTACAAATCCTATAATGATATGCAATAACTATTAATTGACCGTAAGAGACCTCCACTTTGGCTAACACAGTGCATTTCAACTCACCTGAACAAAGAGCGCAGAGCAGAAAAACTATAAACGGTGAACAGCAACATGAGGCATATTTTGAGAGGCAATTCTGAAATGGCAGAGAAATAAAATCATAAAGTAGGCAGTGAGTGAACGCAATGTGCTTATGATCCACGTAAAATAAATCCGTTCAATCTGTCAACATAACCTGGATCTCCCTGGAAAAATAACACAGGGCCAAAATAAAATTTGTCACCAAGAATTGGTTGATGACTGAATATTGGGTAAACAATCACAACACATTGCACAAAACTAACAGGAAGAGAATTAATTCATAAAATGTAACCATTTATTTAATACACAAAAGCACAGGTAGTTTTAAAAAAGTACTCTTACAATAAGACCTTGCAGTTATATAACGCCCTTCACACAGGATAGTGTGAATAATTTGGTCACTCAATCCACGACTGTTTGTAGGACAGTGCTGTGTGCAATTGGCCGCCGCGTTTCACCTTCAAAATTCAGTCAATCCACTTTACAGTATATTCTGTATCACGCTTTGAAACGTCTCAAAGATGTGATAAAGCACTATATAAATGCAAGAATTATTATTATTGCTGTCTCTTACCTGGGCCTGTGAAGAGCAGCGGGAAGAAGGAAAAGTGTCCAGTTGTTACTAAGGTAAGATATATCCCAGCATCCTTTCTATTTTCGACAGCAAGCAAACTAAGGATGAGAAAAAATAAAGTTTTCTTAGATAGAAATAGGCCACTCAGCCTGCTGAGTCTGCACTGCTGCATTCCAAAGTAAATAGTTAACTACTGTAGTGATTATGTTGTGAGCAAGCGATTAAAGCCATGTATTGTGCTTTTGACTAATCATGGGATGGAAAAGCAGATTGAACATTTAATCTCTTTCTTTTATTCACCTGCTAGCTTCCCCAAAAAAGTACTTAAATAAAATGTATTTATTATAAATATATATATTATTTACTATATTAGATAAGGGGATGGAGAAGGAAGTGGATAGAGGAGATTTATGAGGAAGATACCAAAGGCTACAATTATGAGGAAAGATTGGAGAAGTTGGGTCGGGTTTCATTGGATTAGAAAAGGTTGAGATAGTACCTTATAGAGGTGTACAAAATTAAGAAGGCTTTTTACACAGCAAATAGGGGAATGAGTTTCCACGGTCCATAGTTATAAGGTATTCACAAAGAGCAAAAGGAAAGCTTAGGAGAGGTGCTCTGACAAATAAAGTGGTGGAAGCAGAGTGGATCTATTGTGGGCTTCAAGAGGAAAGTTGACAGATACATGAAAGCTGTGAAAGCTAGAGGCTTGGAGGCATTAGGATAGGGCAGGACAGTGGGACTGAATGGACACCTTGCTCTAAGAGCCAATGCAGACTCGATGGGTCATATGGCCTCCTTCTGCCCTGTAAATTTCCATGATCCTATAATAATAGGTCTGATTCCGAGTCTGTAACAAATAAAAGATTGAAAAACAGCAACTTCAGTACAGACGCATGAAGCTTATTAATTAAAAAATACCTCAAAGGCAATAAAGCCATGAGGATGGCCTTTTCATGTACGTGCCAGCCAAACAGGAAGGACCCCAAAGCACAGAGAATCAGGCACTGTAGGAAGCCTTTGGCTCCTCGCGGGCTTCTCCATAGATGCAGGACAGCCGGCTAGAAAAGAACACAACACAAGAGATAAAATATAATGACAATCCTTATATTTAACACAGCATCTTTCAAGGGAGGGTTTCTCAAAGTTCTTTTACGGAATATACTATCAAGTGCAGCGACTTGTGTATTTTGTAAGCGAATGCAGCAGCCAATTTGCACACAGCATTGTCCCACAAACAGCCATGGAGTGAGTGGCCAATTTTATCTGGGCGCTTGTTGGCCAGGGAGAAACTCAACAGTTCTTGAACAGTTGAACCTGAACAGGCAGACAAGACCCTGGTTTCACATCTCATCCGAAGAATGGCACCTCTGCCAATGCAACACGCCCCCAGCACTGCAATGGAGGATTAATTTAGATTATGAGCTCAAAATCCCAACATGGGACTTGAACCCACAATCTTCTGACTCAGAGGTTCTCCAATTGCTCCAGGCTAACACCTGCCACAATACCCAATAAATAAAAAAACCTTTGCATTGGATACAGTGCGAAAGGGTAGGACATTAGGATTAAAGGATATGACAAGATCTAATAAGCTGTTGGAACAGGCTTGATGGACTGAATTGCCTCCTCCTGTTCCCGTTTTCCTATAATCATATGATAAATTCACTGATGAGCAAAGGATTACACACTCGGAATATCAAGAATTACGGAAGGTTTTTAGCATAGAAAAAATCATTGACCCCATCGAGTTTGCTGGCGTTCGCTTTTCATTGGAGCTTCCTACCATAAACACCTTCCAAAGCACTTTTCTTGACATTTCATTTTTCTTTCATTAATTATTCAATTTCCCTTAAAGGTTGTTATCGGTTCATTTCCAACAGATATTTGTGATGATCTAAAAGTCATCCGTGTAAAAATATTTCATAATCCTTGTATTTGATATAGCGCTTTTCATGTCTTCTAGACGTCTCAAAGCGCTTCACAGAATAGACTGTCAAGTGAATTGACTGTATATTTGTGGGCGAAATGCCAATTGAGCACAGCAGTGTCCCACAAACAGTCGTGGATTGAAATAACCAATTTATTATTTTTTTCTTGAGGGATTATTATTAGGTGTGTGGAGTAAGGAAACTTGCCCAAGGTTTCGCCCTCTGCCTGGAATTGAACCCAAGTCTCTTGCTTGCAAAGCGAGTGCTCTAACCACTGAGCTACAGGTCTCCACAAACAACCTAACAAGTGATAACCGTTAATTTTACACCGTTGCATTATTGAATTGTCGATTAGTGAAAATGATCTTTCTCTATTTGCCTTATGAAAACCATTCAGAACTTCGAAAACTCTTAGATTTTATCTCCCGCCACAAACCATCTCTGTTCCAACAAAAAACAATTCAAGTCTCTCCAATACTATGCCTCTCACCCCTGGTATCAGCCTAGTGAATCTCCACTGTGCCATCTCCATGACTGCGATGTCCTTCCTCCCTCAAATTACAGAACACGGAATTATTTGGAAATCCTAGGCTGGAACTGACCATTATAGAGAGCAGCGTACAGACTAAAGTTGCAAATGGTGTCACAGAGGGTAAAACCGTGTGCTGGTACCCCTGAACTAAGCCTCCCGTCATTGTTGCTTTTGAAATCTTCTCAGGATCCAGGAATTTTAGCCTTAAACCTGCAGCAATCACAAGAAAAGTTAGTCATCAATTCAAATGGGGCATATTCCACGAGAGTAAAATAAGGCTCTTGAAAATCTTTCCGAGGTTTGTGATTCGGCTTTAGTCAGACTCTAGCATAAATAGCAAAAGTGGCAACAGAGAATAAAAAATTCAGATTTGGCAGATACGAATCACATAAAATATTCTCAGTCTGGTTTGGATACTCTTATCCCTCACTCCTACACCACCCCTCCCCTATGCTCGGGCCCCGACACCTGACTGTTCAGCGCTTTGTGCTTTGGGACGTCCTCCCGTAGTGAAAGGCGCTCTATAAATGTAATCTTGTTATTTGTTGTTGTTGTTGTCTTAAGGGTGGTGATGGGTTTCTGCATGTGTCAGACACTCGGCTGATCAAATTTTTAAAAAATATTAGCATTATAGAGCAATGTAATTATAAGGTACCTTGCAAGAGTGCGAGTTTAATCAACGGGGCATCTGTGAATGCTGGAAGTGACGCCAGTGACTATTTTCTGCCGTGGCTCATTGTAATCCGGTATGTAATTTTATGGACCCAAGACACAAATCTTAATGTCAGCAGTAAATGTCAATACATTAAATGTCTCATCAACGCTACTATGATCTTACCAATCAAAGACAGTGCTTTATCAGCCCCGTTGTACAGAGCCCAGAAATTTGGAGCCCAATATGCGTGGCACAGACCCCGCTTGAAGGGGAAGAGTCGGGCAAGCACCTGAGGCAGGTGACCCTAAGAAAGCAAACAGATATGACTTTTAACATTATAATAATAATTCTTGCATTTGATATAGCGCCTTACATTTCTTCGAAGCGTCTCAAAGCGCTTCACAGAATATACTGTAAAGTTGAATTGACCATATATATTTTGTGGGCGAAACACGGCAACCAATTGTGCACAGCAGTGTCCCACAAACAGTCATGAATTGAGTGATCAAAAAAATAATTTTATTCCTGGGATTATTACCCCGGAAAAGCAATCTGCCAATTGACTAACAACTGGGTTCCTACTTACTGCTAGGTAAACAGAGGCGTGTGGAATAAGGAAACTTGTCCAATGTTTTGCCCTGCCTGAGAATTGAACCCAGGTCCTCTCGCTTACGAGGCAAGTGCTCTGCTCTCCAGCTACACCTGCTGGAATATATGTGCACATAATAAATAATAATAATAATCCTTGCATTTGATATAGTGCTTTTCACGTCTTCCAGACATCTCTAAGTGCTTCACAGATTGTACTGTAAAGTGAATTGACTGTATATTTGTGGGTGAAACACATCAATGTTGGGCAAGAAGAGAATTTAGCTTGACTCTTTCCCCTTCCCAGGCCAAACACTGACTGCAAATTACAATGCAACCGTACCAGAGCTCATGGTGGGGGTGCGAAGAAGTAAAATGTGAAGCTCCTTTGACTCAGTGAATCTACCCAATTAAAACTGTGTGCAGCATTTTGCACGTCTCGTACTCACCATGATTATAAAGGGTCCAAAGGAAACGGCAAAGACAGAACAGACAATGAATCCTAAGGCAAATAGACGGGAACAGCTGAAGCTCCTCCACTGGACAGATCCATCTTATTGGAAAAGAAACATTCATCAACCTCGACAATGTCAAAAGATTCACATTAAGAGCACGAGAAACAGACTTGACAAGTGATGAATAGGAATCAGCCACCCAGGAAACTAAAAGAGAATTTAAAGATATTCATAATTTTTTTTAGCCTTACCTCCTCTTACACTAACCACAATTTGTCCTTATTTTTCCCCATCTTCACCAAATTTACTTCCCCCCCACCCCCCCCCACTCTCCTGACAAAGCTTTGCTCCAACTGGGGTATCATTTACAGGTACCTCACCCTAATGGCCATTATTCATGTTTGAGCCTTAACAGCAAGTTGCGGTCAGTTATTCAATCACAGAAGGCATCACAGCCTTGCCAGATCCAATCCTCTCCTGATATAGACAAATATACACATAAACACACACACACACACACAAAGATTTCAGCAGGGGCCCCTAGCTCACAAATCCTAGCTAATTTACTCCTCTCAAACTCAGGGAGTATACGAAGTCCAATTGTAACATTGCAAACACTGTCCCCATTAAAACCAGCTAACTGAGCACAGACCTGAACCTGTCATGTTCCAGGCTGCATGGCTTACTGCTGAATTGGGCAGTGCCTCTATCCATTTGCTCATCTGGGGGTGCTTTTACTAATTTTTATTTCACAATAATAATAATAATCCTTAAATTTGATGTAGAGACGTCTCAAAGCACTTCACGCGATATTTTGTAAAGCGCAATGATTATAATTTATGGGTGAAACGCAGCAGCCAGTTGCGCACAGCAATGTCATACAGACAACCGTGGTATGAATGACTAATTTGATTCAGGTTTTTGTTGGCCAGGACACCAGGAGAGACTCCCTTGTCTTTTCGAATAGTACCGAGGGATCTTTAACATCCACCTGAACAAGCAGATGGGGCCTTGGCTTAACATCTCATCCGAAAAACGGCACCTCCGGCAATGCAACACCCCTGAGCACTGCAATGGAATGTCATCTTAAACCATTTCGCCCACAAAATATAGACAATTCACTTTACAGTATATTCTGGGGAGCGCTTTGAGACGTCTTGAAAACATGATAAGGCGCTATATCAAATGCAAGGATTATTATTATGTGATTCTAAGCCCCGAGGTGGGTCTTGAACTCACAACGTTCTGACTCAGAGATGAGAGTGCTAACACCTAGCCAGCCTGATACAAGACTGTAAATCTATAAATAATAATCCTTGCATTTGATATAGCGTCTTATCACTTCTTGAGACGTCTCAAAGCGCTTCACAGAATATTCTGTAAAGTATAATGCCTGTATAATTTACTACAGGACTCAGGAATCTGAAAGTTTGTTCATGCCTTATCTTAATGAATCATAAAAAGAAATGCAGAGTTTACCTGGTTTATTATCCGTGAAGCAGTAAGACCGGAGCAGGTAGATGCCGTAGGCAGGAGCCACATAAAGAAAAATGTGCTTAAAGTTCATGAGGATTGCAAAGAGGAGAGCAGCTTCTAAATGCCTTTCCTGTAACAACCACATAATTCACGTGTTGCAAAACTCAATCCCTTTATGTTGAGTTTTAAATTCTGCTAACCATTACGATTTGGGGATACTTTATGGCAGGACTGAAGGAAATTACTTTCCATTTGATTCCAAAACTTTCATAACACGATTTACCTGAAACATCCTGGCAACAGAAAGAAGCATCAAACCGAACAAGAAGCCGTTGTACTGAAAATGAATATCTAGAGGTGAAACTTTAAGAAAAATTTTTTTTTTTGGTGAGGTTAATGCTTCCTTCCTTCCCTCTTATCATTTGAGTCTCGCAACACCATGCACAGCTAAAGAACTACCTACTCCCAGGTCTTTCCTGGTGGCATCCAAAACCCGAATTAACAATAATAATAATCCTTGCATTTGATATAGCGTTTTTCACATCTTCTAAGACGTCTCAAAGCGCTTCACAGAATATACTGTAAAGTGAATTGACTGTATATTTGTGGGCGAAACGCGGCAGCCAATTGCACACAGCAGTGTCCCACAAACAGTCGTGGATTGAAAATGACCAATTTATTACCGTTTTTTTTTGGTTGGATTATTATTAGGTGTATGGAGTAAGGAAACTTGCCCAAGGTTTCGCCCCCTGCCTGGAATTGAACCCAGGTGTCTCGCTTGCAAGGTGAGTGCTCTAACCACTGAGCTACAGGACTCCACGAATTGGGCACATCTCCCTCAAGTTCCCTCACTGTTCATGGAGGTAGTGCCTGACCTGCTCAGCACCTTCCCAAAGTCTCGGTACACAGCAGTCTGGTGTTCCAACATTGCCACTAAGGCCCACTTATTGCACAAATTACAGGCTGCTAAAACTGTTCAGAGCTCACAAACATAACAAGTGTGCAGCCAGCATAAAAGCACAAATATCACAAGTACTAAGAAACAAAGACAACTTAATCCAGACTATTGCTGATGCAAACTCCATTCTGGTTAGATTGTTAATTGTACATTTTGACTAAAAATGCCAATACAGTACTGTATTGCCCACCAATACAAAGTCACTATAATTGACAGGTATTACCTATGAAGCACTTTGAGACATTTCTACATTGATTATAATAATAATCCTTGTATTTGATATAGCGCCTTATCACACCTTCGAGACGTATTAAAGCGCTTCACAGATTATACTGTAAAGTGAATTGCCTGTATATTTTCTGGGCTAAACACACTATACTAAATGTAAGGATAGTAATGTAATAACGTAACCAGTGCTGCATTCACTCACTTAAATTAATCCAGTTGCTTCTTCGTGGGAAAAGAATGAGGAAGACAGTCAGGCACATATTCTAAACATGTCAGTGTATAAAATATTACCTGATACAAATGGGTACTTTACACTGTAAGGATACGATCGATGATCAGCAGTCCAAAATTCCATAGTAGCAGCACTGCGAGTACGAAAGCTGGTCTCTCTAATATTCCCTTTGTTTTTTTCGATCCACTTACACACTTACAACACCTTTGAAAAGAAAACCAAAATGTACTTATTAATAGTGCATTACAATCTCTTTAAATAATAGACATTGTAGTGGAGTAAATGATCACACCGTCCTTTTACTTCTGTGAACTGGGGTTTAAACCCTGGCCTGGACTAATGGGATGAAAGTGCAGCAAACTCCCCCCCACCCAACCCCCCCATGGATCCAACAATCCTCCTCCGAGGATTTGGTGACCAGCTAGAATGATAGCAGGAGGAGTTAACTGACAAGGGAGGGATTGCACTGTTTGAAAGGGGGATGCTGCAAATCAGCGAATATGCAACATGGAAGCACTATTATATTCTAAATGTGTGACATAAAGAGCTTATGGTACCTTTCTGTAGCCACTATGTGGCACTATCTGGTTCCCAATGAAAACAACAACTTGCACTTATATAGCGCCCTCCGACTCAGGGTAGCGTCTCAGAGCGCTTAACAGTGGCGGAGCCTGACTCCAAGCCGGGGTTGGGGAGGTGACTGTAAGCACAGTCGAAGAGGAGGTTTTCAGGTGGGACTTGAAAAAGGGGAAAGAGAGGGCAAGGCGGAGGGATTGAGGGAGAGTGTTCCAGAGTTTTGGGGTGTAGTGGCTGAAGAAGTGACCTCCGATGGTGGGGTGGAGGGTGCCAGTTGAGTGGAGGTGGTGGGTTGAGTAGTGAGGAGGTCAGAGAGGTAGGGAGGTACCAGAGAGTGAAGGGATTTGAACACGAGAAAACACAGACATAAATGCATCGAAAAAAATACTGCAACAAGTTACCTTAAATAGAGAGATGGTTAAATCTTTTGAGAACTGCAAATTACAGCTGAAGTGCCCGATAATCTTACAATTTAAGACAACTGATGTTGGGAAATGTAATTGATCTGAAAATTTCAGGTAGGGTTGAACAACAAAATAGTTTGTTTCCTAGCAATAAACAAGAATGGCTCTTTAGAAACTCAGCTCTGATGTCCTTCAAGGTTTACATTTACTGTTGAGGCTCACTTACTGGTGGATCAGGTGATCCGAGCTGATTTCACATTACTCACTCACATACAAATCGCTTTGTTCCCCGGCACCTCCCTTACCTGCTTACACCCCACTCCTCTGCCTGCCCCCCTCGCTCAGCTGACTCCTACCTCCTGCAGGTCCCTTGTCACCTCAGCTCCACCATCGGCGCCCGTGCCTTCAGCCACTATACCCTGAAACACTGAAACTCTCTGCCTCAATCCCTCCACTTTGCCCTTCTTCAGTTCGCAACTGAAGACCTTCCTCTTCGACCGTGTCTACGATCACCTCCGCACTCTCCGTAGCTCATTGTCAAGCTCTGTGATTTTTAAGCACTCCAAGATGCTATCCTACGTACAGGGTGCTATTTAAAATAAGTTGTTGTTGAACAAGCAGCAGGAACATTGCAGTGTTATAGCGAGCTTCACAATGGGACGTCCTCCCGACGTGAAAGGCGCTCAATAAATGGAATCTTGTTGTTGTTGTTGGTGTGGTTTTAGCTGTTTAGCTAAAACGTCACCAGTTTAAATTACAGCATTAGCCCAACGCACACCCTGAGGTCTCCAACACATAGCTCTTACCAACCTACGAATCTGTTTTGTGAAAGCATAAAAGTAAAATGCAGACGTACTCTTTCACGCCGTAGATGAACAGTATATCTGTGCAGATGACTGAAAGCCGCTGAAATAACACTGTTGCGGGACTGGCATAGTTAAGATTCTTGACAACCAACATCTCCTTGTCAAAATATTGTGCAACGAAGGAGAGCATGTATTCAAACCACGCAAAAAACGGTGGGTAGTCCAAAGTCCATTCTGAAGTTGCCTATATGGAGTTCAGAAGAATGGAAATAAGAGAAAGGGAAGTTAAAAACAGTTAACTTGATTATGCACATAAATAGAACAGGATGTTTGGGTTAACATAAAAGAAACTATATAAATTGTACTATACTACATGCATGTTTTTATATTAGATAATTATTTGGGGAGGACAAGTTTGCAGAGCTACGGGGGAAAGCAGGGGAGTGAGATTGATTTGGATAGCTCTTTTAAAAGAGCCGGCACAGACACCATGGGCCGAATGGCCTCCTTCTGTGCTGTATAATTCTGATTCTATGATGTTAGGATATACACAACACATAGCTCAAGATCTTCCATACAGATCACTGACACTGAATCTCTTAAGTACACTTAAAAGTATAATCAAAGCATCACAATATTTCAGTTCCACAGTATGTAGTCAGCTTCAAGTCAAGCTCCCAGCCCATCTTGAAGAGTCCCCGAATGTCTAGAACTTACATCTGTAAATTGAATGAGGATTATTATGAAGTGCAAATTCATAACATCCTAATTTTTGCTTTTGATATAGTGCCTTATCATAACAATAATCCTTGCATTTGATATAGCGCCTTACCGTGTCTTTGGTACATCTCAAAGCGCTTCACAGAATATACTGTAAAGTGAATTGACTGTATATTTTGTGGGCGAAACATGGCAGCCAATGTGCACTGCAGTGTCCCACAAACAGTCATGGATTGAGTGTCCAAATTATTATTTATTATTTAAAGGGATTATTATCCCCAGAAAAGCGATCCACTAATCAACTAACAACTGGGTTCCTACTTACTGCTAGGTGAGCAGAGGTGTGTAGAGTAAGGAAACTTTCCCAATGTTTCGCCCTGCCTAAGAATTGAACCCAGGTCCTCTTGCTTGCGAGGCGAGTGCTCTAACCACTGCGGTACAGGACTTGGACTATGGCAGGTGATTCATTGATAGAGTAGATCGGGTGAAATAGCCTCCTTCTGTTCTGCAAATTTATAGTTTCTATGCTTAAGTTATCTGCAGACACAAAATATTTTTTGGTCAGCAAACTATCTGACACGTTTGTAAACCAATCACTATGCTTAAGAGAATCCAACCCTGACAGAGTTCCAGACACAAACACCATAGTAGGCAACTAAAAATTGACCGGCTTATTGATGCCAAAAGTGTGCAATTGCTAATTTGACAATATTTTTGTAAATTACTTCATTAATGAAGAAATCAGAAATCATTTTGCGTTTTTTTTTAAAGTGTGCAATGGGGGAACAGTTCATCCTGTCAGTCCAATGTTATAGCGTGGTAAAGAGATGACCAGACTCAGATGTCAAACTATTTGTAATATACAGAATATGACCACCCTTCTAAACCATTACTATGGCACTAACTTAAAACAAAATGTAAAGACTTACTTCATAGTACCACTGTGAAATAGGCAAACTGTGAGTAATTGCCAGCCAGTTTCTGTGCACTTCAAAGTCTGTTGAATGACTACAAGCAAAAATAAATAGTAATTATGTATTATATGGAAATAGGTACATTTGCATTGCATATTTCTCATGTTTCGCCCACAAAAATGCAGTCAATTCACTTTACAGTATATTTTGTCAGCGCCTTGGGACGTCCTCCTGACGTGAAAGGCGCCATACAAATGTAAATCTTGTCATTGTTGTTATATTGATGTGATAAATACACAGGAACAGTCAAGTGTATAATGTTTAAACTCAGTGGCGAATCACTTTGTCACAGATAAATTAGCTGAGAAAATCTGCAAGTCAGAATGAACTGTAAACATTACGAATACAAATGCAAATGTTTTAGAGGGATTAAGGGCAACAAATGTAATCGAAAGTCTTTTTGACATAAAGCACAATACACTCACAACACTCCTGCATCGCCTGTGACGTGGCTATAATCATTGTGTGTGTGTTTTTAAGAAAGCTCAGTTTGATGTGTATCCATTTGAAAAACAATCTCCACTCTTTACTTTTAAACAGGTTTGCCACGAGGCATGGCACTGGCTTCCTATCACCGAAGGGATTGATTCCAAGATCCTCACTCATTTCCAAATCCCTTCAAATTTCCCGACCTGCTTACCCCCCAAACCCACAAGCCGCAGCCTCCGCTTGACTGGCTCTGGCCTTCTGCGTATCCCTCGTGCCCTCCGTTTCATCCACTATGCCCCGAATCTCTGGAACACCCTTCTTCTATCCCTCCTCCTTTGCCCCTTCCTTCCCCATCTTCAGGTCGCTCCTGAAGACCTTCCTATTCAACCATGCCTACGGTTACCTCCTCTGCCTCCCAGCTCGGAGTCGTGCTCCGCCACTGTCAAGCACTCTGGGACGCTACCCTGCGTGAGGGGCGCTAAATAAATGCAAGTTGTTGTTGCAGTGAATCATGTAGGACAGCAAGTTCTCAAGTTCGATCGCAACAGAATTAGAAATGAACCGTACAATTGACCTAAAAGCCTTTGGGTTAGAAGGTTCCTGCAACCGTCAACTGTTGGACCGTGATTATTGGACTGTGACTATTAACAGATGGAAGTTGAGAGTAAGAAATTGGTTGATTGTAATTTTTTCCCCCAAAACAACAACAAACAACACTACTCTTCAGACAAGGGTTTGCACCTGAGCGGGGGGGGGTGGGTTTTGGAGGGTTGAAGGGCCAAGGGTGTGCGAACATGACCCAAAGCGCAGTCAAAGATGAAGGCTTGAAGGAGGTGAGGAAAGGGTCACCAGGATGGAGTTCCAGAGAGTGGAGGCTGACCGTCGACATGAGAGAGGGCAGGAGATGCAAAGCAAGTCAGTGCCTGCTGAGCGGAGGGAGTAGGCAGGTTGGTGCATCCAAGAAGATCGCAGAGGTAGGGTGGGGCACGACGGTGGAGGGATTTAAAAGTGAGGACCGAGAACTTGAACTCAATCCTCTGGGGGAGTCATTGGAGCTGGATACGGAGAGGAGTGATAGGCTCACAGAGCCCATTGTAGGAGAGGACATGAGCTGCGGAATTCTGGATGTGGAAGGAAGTCCTGAGGATCAGAGAGACAGTGTAGTCTAACCTTGATGTAGGGATAAGGATCTCGGTGGCCCAAGGGGAGAGGTAGTGGGGAGATGGGCAATATCGCAGGTCAGACCACGGATGTGGAGGATTATAAGCCCCTCCCGAGACCTCAGCCCCCCCCCACCCAACCTCTGCCCCTCCCGAGACCTCAGCCCCCCACCCAACCTCTGCCCCTCCCAGACCTCAGCCCTCACCCACCCCTCTGCCCCTCCCCAGACCTCAGCCCCCACCCACCCACCCAACCTCTGCCCCTCCCAGACCTCAGCCTCCCCCCACTGACCTCTGCCCCTCCCTCCAGCCCTCCAGGGTTTCCTCCCAACACCTCAGGGGCCCCTCAGCGCTTTGGGATGTCCTCCGGATGTGAAAGGCGCTCTATAAATGTAATATTGTTGTAGTTGTTGTTGTTGGGGCTGGGGGTTTGGAGGTTGGGGGCTGGGGGTTGGGCCAGGGGTTGGGGATTTGGGGCTGGGGTTGGGGGGGGGGGTTGAGGATGGGGCTGTTTGGGTGGGGGGTTTGGGGGGGGTTGGGGGAGGGGGGGTTGGGAGGTTGGGGTTGGGGGAGAGTTGGGGTTGGGGGCTGGGGGTAGGTGGGGGGGGTTGGGGTTGGTTGGGGTGGGAGGTTGGTGTTGGGGGGTTGGGGGCTGGAGGGATGTTGGGGTTGGGGGGATGTTGGGGGGGTTGGGGTGGGGGGTGGGAGGGTTGAGGGGGGGGTCTCGGGCAGCGAATAAAACCGGATTAAAATCGAAGTGTAAGCGGTTTGAGGCGGGGCCTCCCCGCTCCCCCTCCCTCTCTCCCCCTCCCCCGCTCCCTCTCTCCCCCGCTCCCTCTCCCCGCTCCCTCTCCCCCGCTCTCTCTCTCCCCCTCTCTCTCTCCCCCGCTCCCTCTCCCCCTCTCCCCTCCCTCTCTCCTCCTCCCCCCTCTCTCCCCCTCCCCTCCCTCTCTCCCCTCTCCCCCTCTCTCCACCTCCCCCTCTCTCTCTCCTCTCCCCCTCCCTCCCTCTCTCCCCCTCCCTCCCTCCCCCTCTCTCCCTCCCCCTCCCTCTCTCCCCCTCTCCTCCTCTCTCTCCCCCTCTCCTCCCCCCCCCCAAAAAAAAATACTAATGTAAATATAAATGAGAGGCCTCTCTTACTAGGAGGGGATGAGCAGACACTTGAGGAGGGTGACGGAGGCCGCGAGCGGCGCCACCGCCCAGGTCCCGGGCGCCGCCATTGCTCCACTTCCCGCCGGTGGCGAGGCTGCGGTTTACCCGCTATTCCAATCCGTTCCGTAGCCCAAAGTCCTGCCTGAAGTAGCCCAAAAAGTAGCCCCGGTGGTGCGGTGCCTCACAGTCACTGACACACAACAGTGGAGGACGATGATAATTGCATTCAGAAGTATTTATTGCATTCAGTGCAATGATCGTCATGATAATTAATGATAATAATCCTTGCGCTTGGTACCGCGCCTTCTCGCGTCGCCGAGACGCCTTGGAGCGCCTTCACAGGATAATAATAATAATAATAATAATAATAATAATAATTATCCTCGCATTTGATATAGCGCTTTTCACGTCAGGAGGACGTCCCAAAGCGCTTCACAGAACACACTGTAAAGTGAATTGACCGTATATTTGTGGGCGAACGCGGCGGCCAATTGCGCACAGCGATGTCCCACAAACAGTCGTGGATTAAGTGAACCAAATTAACCACTGAGCTACAGGACTCCGCAGCAGATGATAATCTGCTGCGGAGTCCTGTAGCTCAGTGGTTAATTTGGTTCACTTAATAACTGCTTTACAATTGTCCAGGATGGTCCGTGTGAACCTTCACACCCTCAGCTGCCCGACAATTGTTTTCAGGTTTAAAGCTGGGACCGTCCTTCAGTGCAGTGCCCAAAAGCTAATCCGAATAAGACCGATCAACACATTCCTTACATCTGAACCGATTTAACTCTTAAAGACTCGCATGCTGCAATTTTCGCATAACATTTTATCTAAAGGTGTACCAACCACCCTGTAATATACCACACTTAAACATAAACTACAATTTAGCTTATCTCTGATTAGATTTAAACCCCCCCCCACCCCGCTGTATAGTGACCAGCCAAAATTCCTCAATGGGCGAGGATTCGTCTATGCAGACGATCTCTGCATCACCACCCAATCGGGAAGATCTGAGGACATTTCAGCACATGCTAACCCACTCCCTGAGTGTATTTGGAGAATACTATCGCACGTGGACCCTGAATGCCAACCCTGTTTAAGTACAGTGAGTATCTGATATCATTAAATAATCACGCTGATTCAAGTCCATGCAACGAACAAATAAATCATACTGGATTTTTTGAACAAAGAATCGTAAATCAGCCCAGCATCCTATCTATTGTGCGTGAAACTGCAGGATAACAGGGCCAGAGGAAACCGGGGAGAAGGAATGGATAAAGAATCCACCTTCACTGACTGCGATTTTTATCACATGGCTGACCAACATTTCTAGACTGCAGATTTGCTGATGAGAAAATAGAACATAAAGGGGCTTGCAGGTCTCCCTAACTAATCTTTTGTCGTTTGCCGTGGCTCCGGTTCTGGTTTCAGCCCACTCTACCGACAGAAAACTTAAATCTTCTGGGTTCTTACAAACAGGTAAAACTTGCCACTCAAACCTGTAGTAGAACTTGGAACTCAGGAGCCTCAGTAAGGCAACTGATGTGCAAAATAACCTGGCGGTAACAATGTTTGCAGGACATGAGTGGACTGCCTTTGAATCATGGATAATGTTGAGCGTTACGTTCTTTATTCTGCTGATCTTCGGGTCTGCCGTCTGCAGAAGTTCCAGCAAAGGCTGGATCTGGAAAAAATCCGCTTCTCTCTTCAGCAAATCCAACTCTTGGAAGTCAACAGGAAGGTCCAAATGCGAATTGCGGAGGAAATTGAGGATGTACCGGAACATTTCTCCATCTCGGTCTATGAAGTAGTTCCCCTGTGAGTCGCTGCTGGTGGGCATTGCTCCACTAAACATCGAGCCCAGCATGGACTCTGGGTACCGGGTTAGAGTGGTCAGGGAAGTGCTGTACAACCTCCCCCCTACGTTCAGTGTCACTGGTTTGGACATAATGAATAGGGATCTGCCTCTGCCTGGGAGAAGGAAACAAAACAAGGATAAAAACATAGACTTCTCAAAATAATAATAATAAGCATTCCATTTGTTATATGGTCTCTCACGTCATCGAGATATCCCAAAGAGCTTCACAGCATATACTGTAAAGTAGATTGACTGTGTATTTTGTGAGTGAATCGTGACAGCCAGTTACGCAAAACAATATGCCACATACAGCCAGGGAGTGAGCAACCAATTTAATGAGGTGGATTGCTGGCCAGGACACCAGGAGCAACTCCCTTCCCTTTTTGAATAGTGCCATGGATCTTTAACACCCATCTGAACGGGCATTTTGGAGTCAGCCGTTTTGTCCGGCTTAAGCGGCGTCCGAAGCTAACCAAAGTTCTCTTCCTGCCCAGTAGAGGAACGGCGGCTGCACCTTCTCCCTCCCATTGCTCTTCCCATTGCTGTTCCCATCGGACAGCAAGGGGACCAATTAGCGGTGACTCGGAGACGATTGACAGCCTTTGAGCTGCTTGTGAATGAATGAGCACTCCAGCCATTCACAAGCAGCTCCAGCTGTCAATCAGTTGCAATTTGATTCCTCCCATTTCCTCCCTTGTTTCTTCCCGGTTCTCCGCTCCCTCACTGATTGACAGCCTAGAGCTGCTTGTGAATGGCTGGAATCCGCTGTAAATCAGTTGCAATTTGATTCTGCCCATCTCCATCCCGGAGCCACTCGTGGCTTCGTGGAGCCGCTCGAGACACAGACGGGGCGAGTGGAGTTGATGCAGCAACGACAACCAACACGGCATTTTGTCCGGATTAATCAGAATTTGTTCGAATTAACAGGCAAATTCAAAACAGGGAAGAATACAAATGAATCAGGACCGGGCGTTTTGTATAATTTATCCGGGGTCTGGGGTTAACAGGCGTTCAGCTAAAGCGGCTTACACCGTATTTTAAATGATTTTCTTTATAGAGCGTCTCAGCTCTTCCCAACTCCTCCAATGTTGTTGCCCGTTGTTTGTAAATTTCTGACCATGGGCGATCGCTTTATATCTACAGTTACCCTCATCTGTTCGTAGTGAGGTAATAGATTTGTATTTATATGGTGTCTTTTACGCAGGATAGCAACTCAGAGCACCTCACGGTTGCAGAGTTGGATGCTTTGGGAAGGGTGAGTGGGTGATCTTAGGGGTGGACGAAGATGCAGATGTGACAGTGGGTTTTAAAGATAACAGTAATAATCTTTGCGTCTGATACAGTGCTTTATCACGTCTTCGAGATTTAAAAGAAAATATTGAAGGGTTTATTCCCCCGGGGAAGCGATCCACCAATCGACTAACAACCAGTTTCCTATTTATTGCTAAGTAAACAGAGGCATGTCGGAATAAATAAACTTGCCTAATGTTCCGCCCTGTCCGGGAATCAACCACAGAGTCTCTCCCTTGCGAGGCGAGTGTTCTAACCAATATGCTCCAGGGCTCCACAAAGATAGGTAAAGAGGGGGAAGGCGGAGGGACTCATGCAGTGCTCTGAGACTCTAACCTGCGTGAAGGATACTGTATAAATACAGGTTGTGGTGGTGTTATTTACAGCACAGAAGAAGGCCATTTGGCCCATCGTGCCTGTCCTTACAGTCTGAAAGCGCCTTTTCGTGCGGTTCCACCCTCCCTCCTTTCATTCATACCCCTTTTATCTGTTGCATTTACATATTTTGATTGACTTTTGTTTAGGAATTAAACACCTTTTTGAACGAAAGGAGTATGTGCTAGAACTATTTGAGAAAGGATTTGACACGGCTGCAATTAGATCCTGTTTATACAGTTTAAAAGAAAGGCTGCTCGACATCTCCATGTTTATACCCCTCTCCCAATCACTCTCGGAGCAAGACTATCCAAATTCACTCAAGTTTAGTTGGAAAGCAGGAGGCAACGATGCCTCAAAAAGAGTTTTAAGTGAAAAGCTTAATGTATGGGTTTCTTACCGTCAATCTGAAGGGTGGTTCTGGAATGACAACTGGGAAGCACTTTGCCCTCTGGGCGTTGTGGTTTTCAAGATCTTTCTCGGAATACCACTTAGTGAATGCAGTCTATTGCTTTCAAATTATTTTGTACTGTTACATGGATAGAGCACGGAATTCGGCCCAACTGCTCCCATACCAGTATAACTCCACGCAAGCACTCGTCCTTCCTATTCCTATCACCAATACCCCTCTAATCCCCTCTCCCTCATGAGGTGAGTGACTGCTGATTAAGCAATGCAGCTCCAACTGGTGGAGCCATCGCTCAATGGGAAGGGACGTGTGTCTGAGCTGGGAAGGAAGATGTTCTCATGCATTTCATGCTGAGCTGTTTTGCCCACCAGGAAGCACGCAGGGCTTATTACTTGACCATCAATTAGTTATTTGACATCCACAAGTGCGGGTTGAGCCTTAGTGAGGGCTCAGAACACCTCACAGTGGTGGAGCTGGATGCTGAGCAAAGGGGGGAGGGAAGGGAGCGGAGTGACCATACGTGCGGTCGAAGGGGCAGGTGTTTAAGTGGGATTTAAAGAGACTTGTGACTATCCTGGAATCCTGTAATAATAATGATAATCCTTGCATTTGATATAGGGCTTTTCACATCTTCTCGACGTCTCAAAGTGCTTCACAGAGTAATCATAATAATAATCCTTGCATTTGATATAGCGCTTTTCACGTCGGGAGGACGTCCCAAAGCGCTTCACAGAACACACCGTAAAGTGAATTGACTGTATATTTGTGGGCGATCGCGGCAGCCAATTGCGCACAGCAATGTCCCACAAACAGTCATGGATTGAAAATGACCAATTTATTATTGTTTTGGGTTTTGGAGGGACTATTATTAGGCTCTGTGTGGAGTAAGGAAACTTGCCCAAGGTTTCGCCCTCTGCCTGGAATTGAACTCAGGTCTCTCACTTGCAAAGCGAGTGCTCTAACCACTGAGCTACAGGACTCCACGAAGCGTTTGTCAGAAACCACACCAAGCATATTATTAAAACGTTTTATTAGCAATTATAGAACCACACAAGCATAATCATCACGTTACACCCGATGCATTATCATTACTTGTCGCGTTTAAATGACTACTAAAGCAGCATCTTAACAAGATACACTCAATACCAAAATTCTAAACGTATATAAACAAAACCTTATGTGATATATGAAGTGTGCCTCAGTAATCTCGAACTGTTTTGTATGTATGTTGGGTGCGTGTTTTAGTAAGTAATAATAATAATATTAATAATAATAAGTAGGAGAGACACTCCCAAGTAGGCAGGAAATCGTGACGAAGTTCTAAGGCTGGCGCAAAAGTTAAACAATGTCCCTGGCTTGCTTCTAGCTGCAAACGTCTCTTGGTGGTCCACTCCGGCAAGGGCTGAACTTGTTCTCTTTGCGGTCCACTCCGGCGCGAGCTGGACTTGTCCTCTTTCCCTCAAAGGCGTTCTTCTTCCTCTCCTTAAAAGTTCGTCCCCTTCCTCTCCTCAGAGGCTCGACTACTTCTAAGTTTTGGCTACTGTTTTTTGTACCCTTTTTCGCCAGCCATCTCGTTTCTTCTCATTACTGCTTTCCTACTCTCTGCGCTTTTCCCAGGCATTCTTTCCCTATCTTCAAGTCGTTTCTCCTTGTACCAGCTAGTGTATCTTCTGCAAAAGAGCAATATTCCTATTCCATCTTATCTAGCCTAACCAAACAACCTGACTCCATGTCCCTGAAGTTTCAGTCCTTCTAACTCTGTCCGTGTGACCTGCTCACTTTAAGCTTTTTCCTCAATTGCTGATTTTGTATACCTGTCCACACAGTTGGCCTTCCATCCATTCTCCTGGTTCAATTATCCCAGGTTCCTATCTCTCCTGCTCGTAGGTCATATGCTCTTGTAAGCACAGATGGCCTACCATTCATCCTCTTGATCCAGCTACCCTTAAAATAATAATAAAAATAATCCAAAATAATAATAAATTGGTAATTTTCATTCTACGACTGTTTGTGGGACATTGCTGTGCGCAATTGGCTGCCGCGTTCGCCCACAAATATACAGTCAATTCACTTTATAGTATATTCTGTGAAGCGCTTTGGGACGTCCTCCCGACGTGAAAAGCGCTATATCAAATGCAAGGATTATTATTATTATTATTATTATCTTCCCTGGCTATGGGTCGCACTCCAGTGTAGTCCTCCTAACTCGGTGCCTCTACTAGGACTGTGGGTGTGTACATGTGTGCCACGTGGCAGTTTTATTTCTTTAATTCATTCTACTTAATTCATATATTCACTACATGACCAATACAATGATTCTTATACTATAATCCCAACTATTTACACTGATAATAGCAGGCGTTACATCAAACAACCAACGGTCTCTTCTCTGGAAGTGGAACGTTGAGAAACACCAGGATGGTCTGCAAGATCTCATCCAGCTGATGGCTGTTTTCAGGCTGGTTTAAACAAGGTGGGACCATCCTTGAGTACGGTATCAGTGAGCTAATCTACGAGCTAATCTGAATTAAAACAATGTAGGACCATTATATCAACAGCTAACAAGAGAGCTGCAGCTGCAATCAACACATGTCTTACGTCTGAACTGATTTAACTCTTCAAGACACGAACACACTGTCATTTTCCCATAACATTTTATCTAAAGTTATATCAACTACATAAATGTCAAAATATAATACATATCAACTACATACGTCACGCTTAAACATAAACTCTACAATTTGGCTAACTCTGATTAGGCTTATAGTGTGTACAACTCATTCTGATGTGGACTAATGATTGCATAAGCATTTCTAACTGAACTAATAATATTTCAAGCAGTAATATTTCTGATTTCAACAGTCCACGCCCTTGAATTCGGGAATCTTATTAATATTTTGCATTCACACATATAATTGCTGATTTAGTTTTGCTGATAAAGTCCAAATTACTGGACAGTTAAGGGTTTGCACCTGAGCCAGAGGTTGGAATCAAGAGGGTTGGAGAGAAGGGGTAGTGGGGGTTGGAGTGCGTCCAAAGGCACAGTCAAGGAGGAAGGTCTTGAGAAGGGTTTTGAAGCAAGGGGGGAGCGAGGCGAAGAGATTCAGGGATGGATTTCAAGAGGGTGGGGCAAAAAAGCTGAAGGTGAGGTGGGCAGGAGGGGACATGGAGCAGGCCAATGCTCGCCAAATGGAGGGAGAGGACAACAACAACAACAACAAGATTGCATTTATAGAGCGCCTTTCATGGCGGGAGGATGTCCCAAGGCACTGGACAGTTGGGTCGGGACCCAAGTAGGGGGGAAATGATCAGAGTGAGGGGAGGGAAGGGAGGGAGCGAGGAGGGGGTAGAGTCGAGAGGGGAGCTGAAGGCACGGTTGAAGAGAAAGGTCTTGAGACCGGCCTTGAAGGAGGAAAGGGAGGAAGCGGCAAAGGCACTGGGGGATGGAGTTCCAGAGCCTCGGGGCTGAGAGGCTGAAAGCCCGGCCACTGATGGTAGGGCGGTTAGGGCGGGGGATGTGGAGCAGACCGGAGCCAGAGGAACGGAGGGTATGGGCTGGTATGTGGGGGGATAGTAGGTTGGAGAGGTAGGAGGGAGCAAGGCCGTGAATGGCCTTGAAGGTGAGGATGAGAATCTTGAATTCGATCCTCTGGGGGATGGGGAGCCAGTGGAGGCGAGCGAGGGTGGGAGTGATGTGGTCGCGGTGTCTGGTGCGGGACAGTACACGAACTGCAGAGTTCTGAATGACCTGCAGTGTGGAGGGAGGTGGCGGGAAGGCCGACGAGGAGAGAGTTCCCGTAGTCCAGCCTTGAAGTGATAAAGGCGTGGACCAGGGTTTCAGCAGCGTGAGGGGTGAGGTAGTGCCGTAGTCTGGCGATGTTCCGGAGGTAGTGGAAGGCAGTGCCAGCTGTGGCGCGGATGGTTGGTATGGTGTTAAGAGGTTGCAGAGGTAGGGAGGAGCACGGCCATGGAGGGCTTTAAAAGTGAGGACGAGGATTTTAGACTCAATGCTCTGAGGGATGGGGAGCCAGAGGAGCTGGACGAGGATAGGGTTGATCAGTTCATGGAGCCTGATAAGGAAGAGGACATGAGCTGCAGAGTTCTGGATTATCTCCAGCTCTTGGTGGGAAGAGTTGGGGAGATCAGCATGCAGCGAGTTTGTGACATCGAGCTTGGATATGACAAATGCATAAATGAGGGTCTAGACAACCCAGGGGGAAAGGCAGTGGTGGAGGCAGACAATGTTGCGGAGGTGGGGGAAAGCAGATGGCATAAATGTGGGGTTTGAAGGATAGCTGAGCGTCTAAACAAGTGGAGAGTGTATCCATGAACAGTGATACTCTCAGCGCCTGAGGTGTGGAGGCACTAACGGGAGTCAAGCAGGAGGGCCTCCGTCCTGTCGACGTTCAGCTGGAGAAACTTGGCTCTGATCCAGGACTTGATGTCTGACGGACCATCTCCTAGTGGTCCTGGAGTCGAGGGTGGAGGCAAAGTGATAAAGTTGAGTTTCATCCTCATACATGTGGAAATTAACCCTATGCCTGTGGATTACATCACCAAGTGGGTTCATTCTATCTAAGTATTTGGAGAATCCTATCGCACATGGTCCCTGAATGCTAACCCTAGTTAAGTACAGTGAATTAATATCTCATAATATTAGATAATCGTGCAGATTTAAATCTGTAAGGAACAAAGTCACCACACTGTTTTTGGCAACAAAGAATTGGAAATCATCTCGGTATCCTATCTATTGTGTTAACTCCAGGATAACAGGACTAGAGGAAGTTGGGGTGAAGGAATGGATAAAGAATCCACCTTCACTGATTGCGATTTTTTTCACATGGTTGACAAACATTTCTAGACTGCAGATTTCCACAGCAGAATATGTCATACGAGGTAACACATATTCATCGTCGTATGGCCCCATTCCGTTAAGGAATTGAGTAAATCGCACAGACAGAAAACGTAAACCTTCTGGCTTCTTACAAGCAGGTAAAAATCGCTGCTCCAATCTGCACTGGAAACTGGAACTCAGGAGCTTCAGTAAGGCAACTGATGTGCAAAATACCCCAATGGTAAAAATGGTTGCACCACATGGGTGGACTGCCTTTGAATCATGGATAATGTTGAGCGTTACGTTCTTTATTCTGCTGATCTTCGGGTCTGCCGTCTGCAGAAGTGCCAGCAAAGGCTGGATCTGGAAAAAATCCGCTTCTCTCTTCAGCAAATCCAACTCTTGGAAGTCAACAGGAAGGTCCAAATGCGAACTGCGGAGGAAATTGAGGATGTACCGGAACATTTCTCCATCTCGGTCTATGAAGTAGTTCCCCTGTGAGTCGCTGCTGGTGGGCATTGCTCCACTAAACATCGAGCCCAGCATGGACTCTGGGTACCGGGTTAGGGTGGTCAGGGAAGTGCTGTACAACCTCCCCCCTACGTTCAGTGTCACTGGTTTGGACATAATGAATAGGGATCTGCCTCTGCCTGGGAGAAGGGAAACAAAACAAGGATAAAAAATCAAAACAATAATCCTTGCTTTTGATACAGCACCTTTCAAGATATCGAGATATCTCAAAGCGCTTCACTATTAAGTGAATTGACGGTGTATTTTGTGAAATATTTCAGCTAAATGCACACCGCAGTGTCCCACAAACAATCGTGGATTGAGTGACCAAATTATTTTTTTAAGGGATTTTTTTTTATCCCCGGAAGGATATCTGCCATTCAACAAACAACTGGGTTCCTGCTCGGTAAACAAGAGGCGTGCGGAGTAAGGAAACTTGCCTAAGGTTTCGCCCTGCTGGGAATTGAACCAGGTCCTCTCACTTACATATTTTAGATTAACTTTTTTCAGAAATTAGATACATTTTTAAAAAAAGAAGTGAGTTCTAGAAGTATTTTAGACATAGTATTGTTATGATTAAAATATATGCTGTATAATCTCATAGTAGTTAAAGCACTCACTTTGTGGGAGGAAGACTATCCAAATTCACTAAAGTTTAGTTGGAAAGTTGGAGGCAACAGTGTCCTGAAAAGAGTTTTAAGTGAAAAGTTTAATGTATCTCGGTCTCTTACCTCCAATATGAAGCGTGGTTCTGGACTGTGGACTGGGAATCACCTTACACTCTGGCTTTCTAGTTTTCAAGATCACTCCCAGAATACCACTCAGCAAATACAATTTATTGCTTTCAAATTGATCCGTGTAGATTATATAGAGTGATAGAGCATGGAATTTGGCCCAACTGCTCCATGCCCATATAACTCCTCACCCCTTGTGTTCCTGGTAGTAAGTGAGCTCTCCTTGGAGCTAAATTGGCTCCAAGATGGCAACAGAAGGTCACGATTGAGCCGGCCCTCTGTGTCAGTCTCAGTAATCCGGTTCTGGAGGCAGGCAGGTCCACAGTACTCCTTGGCACTGCTGCAGGCACTGCTGATGACAGTACAGCACAGCCTGGCTCATTGGCAGGACCTAGAAGGGCAGACCAGTCACTGGGGGCAACGAATCATCCCACTCAGCTCCTGTTAACCCTGCAAGTCAAAGCCCTAACAGGTAGGATGGTCGTAGCTGGACAAACAGCAGGGAAGCTTGCCAGGCAGTGCACTCAATGGCAAGTTATGTGGTGATAGCTGGTTAGAACAACGCAGGGGTGGCGTTTACTCTGTGGGGGTCCCACATGCAAAGCTCAATTCCGGGGCCCCTACTAGTTACCAGCAGGTTCCCGGGCAACCAAACTTAGTGTGCAGATGTCCTACCCCAACAGCACATTTAATTATAAATAAGGGTGAGACTGGAACTTTGAACTTCTCTTCGCTCGTGGGTTGGTAGCTGTGAACGTGCTGACCATAGAAGTTATCTGGTAGTATTATCATTACGCATCTATTACTATTGCTGTTACTTGGGTTGCCCGGCAGGGAAACTGACTTATGAGCTTTTTGTATTAAATAGAATTAGACTTTAGTTTTGTCTAGTCTGAATTCTTTACGGTATGTAAGAGGATTTTATACATCTGCAATTAGTTCCTATTTACATAGTTAAAAAAAACACTGCTCAATATCTCCACGTTTGTACCCTCTCCCACTCACTTTGTGGGAGGAAGACTATCCAAATTCACTAAAGTTTAGTTGGAAAGTTGGGAGGCAACAGTGTCCTGAAAAGAGTTTTAAGTGAAAAGTTTAATGTATCTCGGTCTCTTACCTCCAATCTGAAGCGTGGTTCTGGACTGTGGACTGGGAATCACCTTACACTCTGGCTTTCTAGTTTTCAAGATCACTCCCAGAATACCACTCAGCAAATACAATTTATTGCTTTCAAATTGATCCGTGTAGATTATATAGAGTGATAAGAGCACGGAATTTGGCCCAACTGCTCCATGCCCGTATAACTCCTCACAAGCACCCACCCCTTGTGTTCCTGGTAGTAAGCGCTGTCCTTGTGTTGGTTGTAGTAAGTGAGCTCTCCTTGGAGCTAACAACAACAACAAGATTCCATTTATAAAGCGCCTTTCACGTCAGGAGGACGTCCCAAGGCGCTGCACAGTTGGGTCATGACCCGAGCAGGGGGGAAATGGTCAGGGTGAGGGGAGGGGAGGGAGCGAGGAGGGGGGAAATGGTCAGGGTGAGGGGAGGGATGGGAGGGACCGAGAAGGGGGAAGAGAGTCGAGAGGGGAGCTGAAGGCACGGTCAAAGAGAAAGGTTTTGAGACCGGCTTTGAAGGAGGAAAGGGAGGAAGCGGTGAAGGCACTGGGGGATAGAGTTCCAGAGCCTCGGGGCTGAGAGGCTGAAGGCCCGACCACCAATGGTAGGGCGATTGGGGCGGGGGACGTGGAGCAGACCGGAGCCGGAGGAACGGAGGGTACGGGCAGGTAGGTAGGGGGATAGTAGGTTGGAGAGGTAGGAGGGAGCAAGGCCGTGAATGGCCTTGTAGGTGAGGATGAGGATCTTGAAATTGGCTCCAAGATGGCAACAGAAGGTCACGATTGAGCCGGCCCTCTGTGTCAGTCTCAGTAATCCGGTTCTGGAGGCAGGCAGGTCCACAGTACTCCTTGGCACTGCTGCAGGCACTGCTGATGACAGTACAGCACAGCCTGGCTCATTGGCAGGACCTGGAAGGGCAGACCAGTCACTGGGGGCAACGAATCAACCCACTCAGCCTCTCAGCCCCGAGGCTCTGGAACTCTATCCCCCAGTGCTTTCGCCGCTTCCTCCCTTTCCTCCTTCAAGGCCGGTCTCAAGACCTTTCTCTTTGACCGTGCCTTCAGCTCCCCTCTCGACTCTCTACCCTCTCCTCGCTCCCTCCCTTCCCTCCCCCTGACCATTTCCCCCCCAATGCTCGGGTCCTAACCCAACTGTACAGCGCCCTGGGACGTCCTCCCGACGTGAAAGGCGCTCTATAAATGGAATCTTGTTGTTGTTGTTGTTGTTGTTAACCCTGCAAGTCAAAGCCCTAACAGATAGGATGGTCCTAGCTGGACAAACAGCAGGGAAGCTTGCCAGGCAGTGCACTCAATGGCAAGTTATGTGGTGATAGCTGGTTAGAACAACGCAAGGGTGGCGTTTATTCTGTGGGGGTCCCACATGCAAAGCTCAATTCCGGGGCCCCTACTAGTTACCAGCAGGTTCCCGGGCAACCAAACTTAGTGTGCAGATGTCCTACCCCAACAGCACAGCTATTGGCTTGGGAGGGTGGTCAGTGTGTGCCCAGATTGGCTGTGACGAGGTGTCCATTAAGCCAAGTGCCCCCACCACCCCAGCAGGTTAGGTTAGCGGGGAGATGATTTCAATGAGTTTCACAACAGCAGGGGCCCCCCTCGCTGCCTCGTGGCCCCATGTATTCGAAGGGGTTGCATGTGCCTAAAGCTGCTAGTGCTCTGGCAGTTACCCCAAGGCAACCTCCGGGAGTCCCCAAGCCTTGGATCTTGGCAACCTGTGTCTAAGACTTTCCGGAAATAGGTGAGCAGAATGGTCTCTCCAGGGAGAGAGAGCGCATTCCATTCCAGCAATCTGTCTCTGGGATTGCCATGTGTGGGTGGGATGCATGGAATTCTCAGTTTGATTTGGATGCTCTTCAATACAATCGGGGCTATCAGGGAAATCAGGAATTATCCTAAACGTCCCCGTGCTTGGCTCCAGACACTTACCCCCTCCATCCCCACACCCCCCGGTGAGTGACAGGTCGGATCAGTCAATCATCGCCCAGAGCCTGCCCTCCCTGATGAGTGACAACCCCAACAGCCAATCATGCTCCGAGCTGGTCAATAGTTTTTTTGAAGGGCGCAGGTTTTATACCAAATGGAAACGAAATGTTAGCACTGCGAGATACTAACCCGCCCGAAAGGTGCTATATAGATGCAAGTTGATGTTGAAAATCCCGAGCCCTTTCGGAGAGCCTGTCCTCCACTGAACACAATGATGCTTTTTGCTTCAACCACAGCTTCCAGCAGCGAGTTCCACATTCTCACCACCCTCTGCGTGAAGAAGTTCCTCCAATACTTCCTGTTAGATCGACCACTGTCTGTCTTACATGGGTGACTGGACTCGCCAATCAGATTGTAAAGGATTTAGTGGCTGAGTCAGAAGGTTGTGGGTTGAAGCCCCATGATGAGCTCACAGTCTAAGCTGACACTATATTATCAGAGGTAGTATCCTTCAGATAAGATGTTAAACCAAGGTCCCGTCTGCCTGCTCAGGTGGACGTTAAAAATCCCAAAGGCGCTATTCTCAAGGGAAGGGAGTTTCTCACTGTGTCCTGTCCAACAATCCCAGATAAAATCGATCGTTCATTTCATGGCCGTTTGTGGGACACTGCTATTCACATACTGGCTTCTGCCTACACGATACACAGTACACGATGTGAAGTGCTTTGAGATGCCCCCCCACCATCCTCCGATGCGAAAGGCGCTGTGTGTCAAACGGTAAGTTTTTTTTTATTAGAAAATCTCGTAGGGGATAAAACGTCACATAATTGCTTTGACTTTTTCACAAAACGCATTCCACCTGTTCTGCAGCTCATCGTCCTGCCGGGGCCAAGCCCTAAGATGTGCGCTCGCCAGCACCGTCGTTTCAGTCGGGCAGAACCTGGCTCCGATGAGGTTCGATGCGAGCTGATGGCACAGCTCTGCAGGGAGCCAGTCGGAGAGCATCTCGATGTTACAGCTCTCGATACTGCCACGATTGACGACCATGTTTAACTTCACCTCTGCCCGGGACAGGTTGTAGTCCACAGTGAAGCAATGGCTGACGCTGAACTTGGGCGTTTTTCCGTACACCCACTCCCAGCTCCTCAGCTCCTCGGCGCATTTGTTGACTCCCGGCAACGTCAAGTGGTTGTCGGGGTCGATGAGGAGGACGCGATTCGGCTGGCCATGACACCGGGTATATTCCTCCGCCACGGCGCCCATCACAACATCGCAGGTCAGAGTGGGATCCTCCTCACAGAGGTTTTTGACGGTGGCGGGCACGCTGGGCGTGGCGTTACTCCGAATCCCCCAGTACGGGCTGCGGAGGGCGGAGGACAGCGCTGTCCTGTCCGAGCGGCAGAGCAGGGTACAGTGGTGATAGGCGGATGTCCTGCCGATCTTGGCGGCCGTGCCCGAGACCTTGAAGGCCCCGGACAGCAGCAGGTCGTGCCTGTCTGTGGCCGAGACGTCCAGGCTGGGACGCAGCCTCTTGAGGGCTGCCAGCACCGTCTCCAGGTTGCGGCGTCTGTCGTAGGCCTGCCTGGAGGTGAAGAAGGTCATGTTGAAGTTGCCCAGGTCGTGGTAGACTGATCCTCCTCCGCTCTTCCTCCTGCTCAGCTTGATGCCCCTCTCCCTCATCAGCCGCAGGTCACACTCCTGCCAGGGGTTCTGGTGACGGCCGATGACCACAGCCGGCGAGTTCCTCCAGAGGAGCAGAGCCTCCTGGGCAGGCTGCAGGTTCTGGTGGAGCCAATCCTCGGCCGCCAGGTTCCTGTAGACATCGGTGGAGACGGACTGGAAGACGAGGGCACCGCCTGCAGCGTCGCTCAGAGCATCCAGGGCACTGCAGCAGCGAGTGGCGGAGGAGAAACAGAGCAGCAAGGTCCCGGGCCGCATGGCATTTATTCACCTCCAACTGGGGAGAGAGGGAGAGAGAGGGAAAGGGGTTCAAATATATTCCAAAATTAGCATTAGGAATCATTCACATTATTAATAATAATAATCCTTGGATTGATACAGCGCTTTTCACGGCTGCTCGACGTCTCAAAGAGCTTCACAGAATAGACTGTAAAGTGAATTAACTGTATATTTTGTGCGCAAAACGCAGCAGCCAATGGCACACAGCAGTGTCCCCACAAACAGCGGTGGATTGAAGTGACCAAATTATTATTATTATTATTTTAATAAGCGATTATTAGCCCCGGAAAAGCGACTAACAACCGGATCCCTACTTACTGCCGGTAAACAGAGGCTCGTGCGCGTGTGTGTGAGTGTATGTTAGAGTGAGTGTGAGTGAGTGTGTGGGTGTGTGTGTCTGTGTGTGTCTGTGAGTGTGTGTGAGTGTGTGCGTGTGAGTGTGTGTGAGAGTGAGTGTGTGTGTGTGTGAGGGAGTGTGAGTGAGTGTGAGGAGGGAGTGGAGTGTGAGTGAGTGTGTGTGTGAGGGAGTGTGAGTGAGTGTAAGAGGGAGTGAGTGTGAGTGAGTGTGAGGGAGTGGAGTGTGTGAGTGTGAGGGAGTGAGTGAGTGTGAGGGAGTGAGTGAGTGTGAGTGTGAGGGAGTGAGTGTGAGTGTGAGGGAGTGAGTGCGAGAGTGAGTGAGTGTGTGAGGGAGTGAGTGAGTGTGAGAGTGTGTGAGTGAGTGGAGTGTGTGAGAGAGTGAGTGTGAGTGTGAGGGAGTGAGTGAGTGAGTGAGTGTGAGGGAGTGAGTGTGAGGGAGTGAGTAGGTAATTTGCTGAGGGTTTGGTTTGTGAGGCGAGTGCTGTACCCACTGACCCACAGGACTTCACCGCACAGTGCGAATAAGACCAGACCTCCGCTGCCGAGCGCCACCTACTGGCGGCCAGTGCGGGCCTCCCGGGCCGTGTAGCCCAACTCCACCAGAACACCAGCCCAAAAGTAGCCCAATGTTATCATTTTGCCTCTAATGGGGGTGGGGGGGGGTGGGGGGGGGGGGGTCAGCAGGACATCATCATCATCATAATAATAATAATCCTTGCGTTGTGATGCAGCGCCTCATCACGTCACCGAGACGTCGCGAAGCGCTTCACGGAATATACCGTAATATACCAATTGCGCTCAGCAATTGTATATATTGCATATATTGTATATATTGTAATATACCAACTGCCAATTGTGCTCAGCGGTGTCCCACAGACAGCCGCGGATTGAGAGAGCACATTTTTTTTTAAAAAACGGTATTTATTACCCCCTGGAAACGTGATATACCAATCGACTATTCCCAGTTCCCAGTTCCTGTTGGGTAAACAGAGGCGTGTGGATTGAGGAAACTTGCCTAAGGTTTCGCACCGCCCAGAAATCGATCCGGGTCCTCTCGCTTGCGGGGCAAGTGCTCCAATCAATACCCTACGGGACTTCACCAAAAACACCGCTTTGCGGGTTTAAATTCAAAAATTAGGCACCTGCCCCCAGTCATTTTGTTTTCATCTACAGTTACAACAATAACGTGCCCCAATGGGGCATAAACCCACTGCGATCTGGCAGCGTTGCCAGTCACCTTGAGTCCCCAGGGCTCCAAGCTTCTCGCGACTCTTGCTTTTTGTTTAATCGTTTTAAAAAAAAAATGCAACCTTACAATTCGCGCACAAAACGCACAGTCACAACACTTTGCAAGCAAATCCTTTGAAGGCGCCTTCCCGGCTTGAAATTTAAAATTTTAGGTACTGTACCTCTATAAAGTCGCTTCTGAAATGTCTCCTTTCAAGACTGAAGAGCTTTAGCTTAATAATAATTCTTGCTTTTGATGGGTTAATGTGACAACCAATTTGCACACAGCAATGTTCCACAAACAGGTATGAAGTGAGTGACCAATTTTATCGGGGGGATTGCTGGGCCAGGACAACTGGAGAGACACCTTTTACTTTTTGAATGGTGCCAATTGGATCTCAAAGGTCCACCTGAACAGGTAGACAAGACCTCAGTTTAAAACAAAACACAAAATACTGGGTTTAAAATCTCGGACCTCAGTTTAAAACGTCTCATATTATCTAGTCGTAGTTTATACCTCAGTCCTCTAATCCTGGGGATCACCTCTGCACTGCCTCTAGGACCTGGGCATGTCAGGGAAGGACCAGTAGGCTATTTCTCACTCTCCCCTATGCTGGGACAGCTGATCTCAGCCAGGGAGGCAGCAAGTGGTCCTGGAAAATAAGCTTAGCGCACGGATTAGTGAAGATTCTTGCATCAGATGACCGGAGGAGGAGGAGGGAGGGGATATGTTGTGGATAGACTGTGCTGAGATAGCTGATTGCAGCAGTAAACACTAACTGCCCCCCTCCCAACACCAGAAGCTTTCAGTGCACCTGCTGAACGATGCAATGCTCTACACAGTAGAATAAATAATCTGTCATCCACACATGAGCATCGGCCCTCAGATGAGCCGTGAGACCAATGTCTCGTCTGCCAATATCTGTTAAGGTGAACGTTAAAGATCCCATGGCACTATTCAAAAGAGAAGGGAGTTTCTCCCGGTGTCCTGATCAACAATTCCCTCCAACATCCACAGCTTCCAGTAGTAACCACTTGAGGGCCATCAAGAGCAAGAACAAGAACCTTGATGTGTACTGTACCTGTACTTTGGTGAGCAAATGTATCATAATAATCCTTGCATTTGGTTTTGGACCTTAACACAACAACAAATTTACATTTATATGGTGCCTTTCTCATTAGGAGGATGTTCCAAGGGGATGGAGAGATCGGGGTTTGCACCTAAGCTGGGGGTTTGGGAGTGGGTGAAGGATGACCAAAGGCATGGTCAAACAGGAAGGTTTTGAGGCATATCTTGAAGGCAGCGAGGGAAAGAGCAAGTCATAGGTGAACACTGCAGTCAATTTGCCACAGCAATTTCAAGCAGCCATGAATTGAATGACTACTTTATTTTATTTTTCTGGGGGGGTGGGGCAAGACTTTGAGAAAAAGTCCCTTCTCTTTTCAAAGTGCCATGAGATTTTTAACGTCCACCTGAACAGGCAGACAGGACCTTGGTTTAATATATCATCTGAAGGATGGCACCTTTGGCAATACAGTGCAACCCCAGCGCTGCATTTGGAGTGCCTATCACATTGGGAGGACATCCAAAGCTCTTCACAGCATTCACCGTAAAGTGTAGTGACCTTGGTGTCTTGTTTGACCCTCAACTATCCTTTCTACCTCACATCTGTGCCGTGACCCACTCTGCCTTCCCCCACCTCCGCAACATCGCCCAGCTTCGGCACTGTCTCACACCGCAGGCCACCGAGACCCTCATACACGCAATCATAACATCCAGGCTTGACTGTGCAAACTCCCTGCTTGTCAGCCTCCCCATCTCCTCCCTCCATAGGCTACAGATCATCCAGAACTCTGCAGCCTGTGTCCTCTCCCGGGCTCCGTGACCCTATCACCCCCATCCTTGCCCAACTCCACTAGCTTCCCATCACACAGTTCAAGATCATGGTCCTCACCTTCAAAACCCTCTGCCCCCATCCTCTGGAACTCCATCCCGCAGTCCCTCCGCTTTACCCCCTCCATTGCCTCCTTCAAGATCCATCTCAAGACATTCCTTCTTTGACCGTGTCTTCGGTCACCCTCCTTCTCTCCCTGCCCTCCATCCTCCCTGATCCCGACTCCCAGCTCAGGTCCGAAACACTGATTGTCCAGTGCCTTGGGACCTGATTGTCCAGTGCCTCCAGACATAAAAGGCGCTATACAAATGTAATTTGCTTGTTGTTGTTGTAACTGTATTGTTTTAGGTGAACGTGACAACCGATTTTCACAAAGCAATGTCCCACAATCAGACGTGAAGTGTGTGAGTTCAAAATATGTAAAGAGGAGAGGGATGCAGGAAAGAAATGAAGACCTGAAGATGGAATTGGACACATCACAGAGGTGCCCTGGAAGAGAGAGCAGAGAGAGAGGGAGAGAGAGCAGCAGAGACTGGTGACTGGTGCCCTATCCATGGATGGAGTCAGTCAGCAATAGAGACAAAAGCAGTAAAGCTGACTCTTTCAATTGCGGTAGGTCAGGAACGTCACACGAATCAGTTTGATGGAGTTTGCAGCCAAATTGGGATCCGTGGAGAAAGGTGAATGGTCCTGGGAGTGAGGGACCAGCGTTGTTCTGGATTGTAATGACACACCTCAGTGCCCAGTGATGTGAGGACATGAAACAATGAGTTCGGACGTGACATCACTGATGTTCCGAAATCTAACTGAAAGCTCATTATGCCGGTAGATTGGGCAGGAGTGAGTGACTATTTCCCTTTGAATACAGTTGTACATTGTCGTCATACATGTCAGACACAGGATTGTAAGCGTTTTTCCATTTCGTAAGAATAGGGCTATCCAGCAGCAGAAAGGTGAACTCCAGCCACCACATGGGGCACAGGAGGGGTGACTCTTTTACCCTCTGGCTTATTGGATCTTCAGACTATACAACAAATCAGGACTTCTCACCACTATCTCCACTTCAAGAACTACAGGAGGAGGTCAAGCCCCAACTCATTTGAGCAATACTTTAAGGATTTACAACAATATTTTACTGAGGTATGTAAATGGAGTAACGCACAGATTTTTTTTCCATTTGGGTGAAATGTTAAACTGAGGCCTGGTCAGTTTTTTTTGAGACTAATAGAAACAGAAATTATTTGCATTGCTTAACTATCTTCATCTCCAGCTCTCAAGGACTCAGAAGTTCACAAGAAAGGTATGAATGAAGAAGGCCCTTTGGTTCATTGGATCTCATCCTTCCAGAAGACCCACTCTACTGTCTTTCATGTGACACAAGGGCCTTTTTCATCCAAACATCTCTGTGTGATCTCTTATGAGTGTTGGACCAATGAGCTATTTCTTGAATGAGTCCAGCATGCTGATCTCTACCATCCTTCCTTACAACCTGTTGCAACTGTTGATTGCTTTCTGAGTAGATAAATACTTACTATTTAATCTGTCTAAATTGGCATTTAGAAACCTGAACCTGTGCCCTCTTGTTCTGCTGCCTTAGCATTTCAAAGTACAGTATTGCTGTGCGTTTACTTTCTCAATGCTTTTTAGTCTCATACAAATGTTTAAGGTACCCTCTGAGTCAAATCTTTTCAAGGCTCAAGCTTATCTAATTATCTGCTTGTACCTCACCCCTCTAACATTGGGCATCTTCCTCATTGCACTGCCAGCTGGAATAGAACCAGGTAAAGCCAAGCAGGCTTCCCAAACCTCCTACTGGTTAAGCAGAATTGTTGAATCTTACAGCATAGAAGTAGGTGATTTGGCCCAATGTGCCTGTGCTGGCTCCTTGAAAGTGCCATCCAATTCATCCCACTCGCCCAGATCTACAAAAATATCTTATATTGTTATTTATTGTAACCTACGTGATTTTAGCTGGCTCAGTTCCACAATCAGTTCCTCAAAGCAAACGTTAATTAATTGATTAACGGTGGGGTCCCTAAAGTAATAAGCACATCAATTCTCAATGTGAAGTTTTAACCCCATATTCTTAAGACCAAGGCAATAGTGCTGCTGACTGAGCCAAGCTAGCACCCATGTTAATCAGTGATCAACAGTCCCCGGAATTAATCATTGACTGGAACAGCTTCCCAGGAAAGGTGGCAATCGGTACAAGCTTAATGCTGTGATGGGGGGATGGTAGGGCATGTGTTCTGGAGGGATAAGGGCAGATGGACCGAAAGGCTTTCTTCATCCAGAACAATTTTGTGATCTTGTGAACTTCCCTGGCTCAGGTATTTGATCACAGCATTTACCATGAAGTTGACTCCGTTCAGCCCTACCTTCTCCTGCTGTGTCACAGCGGATTCAGAGAAGCCTTACTTACCTCCCCTTGTATTGCCCCCCTCCCTCACTTTGAGAGGATAGTCACAAAATAAAAGTCACAATTTGGTCATCAAATAAGTGACAATCATTTTTTTGAGCTTTCACTGTAGAAATCTGCGATAAATACTGAAAAGAACCAATACCTCATAATATTTATTGCTGTAATAGGAGTCAGCTTTCACTCCAATTGTAGGACTCTCAGCTCTGGGTCTGAAGAGTTTATTCTCCACACTGGGGACACTCCAGTATAATACAGAACTGTGGCTTTGCTCCATTGCATTGTCATAGGTGCTGACTTTTAAACGTTAAACTAAAATGCCTTCTGCTGGTCAGGTGGATGATAAATGCAGATTTATTGGAAAAGCAGAGATTGGCAAGAGCCAAGGCTTGGGGACCCCAGAGTGTGCGTTGAAGGAATTGCTGGAGTTTTAACTAGCTAAAGCCACATAACTTGCCATTTGTCTGGCAAGCTTTTCCACTGCTTGTTCAGCTAGGATCACCCTAGCCGTTAGGGGCTTTGGCTTGCAGGGTTAACAGGAGCTGAGTGAGAAGAATCCCAGCACCCCCCCCCCCCCCCCCCCCACCCAGTTATTAATTCCACGACATTGCTTAAAAAGATAAAGAGTTTCTCCCAGGGTTGGAGCCAACAATCCTTCAGATTAAAAGCTCATTCACTTCTTTGGTTGCTGCCTTTCCTTACAGAAACAGTCACTGCATTTAACAGTACACAAATTACAGCAACAACTTGTATTTATATAGTGCTGCTCGTGCAGGGTGTCCCAGAGCGAATTAACAAATTAACTTGCTCAAAGCGCTTTGAGAGGTTTCAACTGATTAGGAATTCGGTAACAGCATGCGTCCTTACAGGGAGAGAGTGCGCATTCCACCCCAACAATCTCTGGGATTTCCACGTGTAGGTGGGATACATGGAGTGGAGTCCTGTAGCTCAGTGGTTAGAGCACTCGCTTTGCAAGTGAGAGACCTGAGTTCAATTCCAGGCAGAGGGCGAAACCTTGGCCAAGTTTCCTTACTCCACACAGAGCCTAATAATAATCCCTCCAAAACCAAACACAATAATAAATTGGTCATTTTCAATCTACGACTGTTTGTGGGACATTGCTGTGCGCAATTGGCTGCCGCGTTCGCCCACAAATATACAGTCAATTCACTTTACAGTGTGTTCTGTGAAACGCTTTGGGACGTCCTCCCGACGTGAAAAGCGCTATATCAAATGCAAGGATTATTATTATTATTATGGAATTCTCAGCTTGGTTTGGATCCTCTTAAGCATGGATACACCATCAGATACCCAAATAAAACCCTACTAAAAATGCTTTTCCTTTTTCTCTCCCAATATTTACTCAGAGTAAGCTTTCCCACGTTCAAACACGATCATAAATTGAGTGTCAGATTGGCCAACCTAATTCCCAGCTGGTGTATATATCAGCTGTTTAAAAGAGATGTGCCTTTTGCCTGCCAGATGTCGAGTCTACAGGGAAATCCAAAAAACAGTGGAAAAGTGGAATGTTTTTCACCATATTGTGAAATCGCCTTTCAAAAGCTGCTTTGCTTTTTTTCTTGTTGCCAACGTAGACTTGAACTGCATCCTTATTTTTCAGTTCATTTCACAAAATGTTGGACTGAATCGCTCCGTTTTTTTTCCTGCTCACTGTTAATAAATACAGTACTGAACTGGAACACTCCTCCAGTCTGGAGTGGGTCCTGCTCGGAGCTGAACACAGCAGCGTAGCAGCTCAGACGCTTCTTTGGGTACATTGCTGTTAGACAGACCTGCTTTGAAAAAAAACTCCTGTTCTGTTTAACTCCTTTGGCTCGATTTCATATTGGGCGACTGAGTTTGTGTTTGCTCCGTTGCTTGTTGGTGATGCAAACCCAGATCTTTATAGATGTAAAGTAACTGTCTCTCTTTCTGTTTCTCTCCCTTGCCCATTTCTGAGGCACTGCTGCTTTCACGAAACGTGCCTAACTCCTCTAGAGACCCAGTCGATTGCTCGTTCCTAGTAATGCCTCTCTGTCTAGGACTAACCGGTTCATCCGATTGTTAAACAGCCTCAGCAACCCACCCAATGAGGTAAGTGTGCAATTCAACGTTGATAAATAATATAATTTTGCTTTTAAATAGTGTTAACAGGGTATTTATTGTGTAGAACTGCTAATGTACTTCCCTCCACAAGCTGCAGATTATTCAGAATTCTGCAGCTCGTGTCCTCTCCCAGACCAGGCTCCAGGAACCAAACTCTGGCACTCTATCCCTCCACCCCCACCCCCCCATTCTGACCCCAGCTCAGGTCCTAAACCCCTGATTGTCCAGCGTCCTGAGATCTCTTTCCAACGTGAATGGAGCTGTACAAGTGTAATTTGTTGTTGTTGTTGTATCAGTTTTTGCACAGAAACAAAGGAATGCTTAGCAAGTTTATGACTCCATATAATTTCTGCAAATTCGATTAAATTAGCCGCATGCCTCATTTCACAAGAAGGCTCTTCGAAACATTTGATCTCATCCTTCCAGCATCCTATCCAGCCGTCTTCACGTTCAGCGTGAAGCTTGTAGTGTCAGCCTGCCTCAGTTGGTAGCCGCTCCCTCTCTCCTCCGAGTCAGAAGGTTGTGAGTTCAAGCCCCATTTTATGACAGTCCAAGCTGACACTCCAATGCAGTCCCAAGTGTTCCCTGCATTGTTGGAGGTGACGTTCTTTGGATGATACAGAGGTCCTGTCTGCCTGTTCAGGTGGACATAAAAGATCCTGTGGCACTATTCAAAAAGAGAAGGGAGTTTCTCCCCGTGAAATTGCTGTGTACAGGAAGACAGGAGCCATATAATAATAGTACTTGCATTTGGTATAGCGCCTTATCACATCTCTTCACTTTGAGAAGTCTCAATGACTTGATAAGGTTTTGTATCAAATGCAAGTATTATTATTATTATTATTTCCATTAATCGATTAACCATTTCCATGAATTGAGTCAGTAACAAGGGAAGATAAATGAGGATTAACACCAGAGGAAAGAGAGTAATTTCTTCAGAAATACTGAAGAAAAATATTGAAGGACAGGGGCACATGATAAGAGTAGAACTCCACTGGGAGACGTGACGAGTCAAATGGACTCCTTCTGTGGTCTAAATTCTATGATCTATCTACATCTGAAGAAAGAAATCATTTAAACAATATATTTGTATATGCTATTTTACAGCGTATATAACATTGAGATGTCTCAAGGAGGTTCAAAGTAATTACTGTGAAGTGTAGTAACTGATTTTGTAGTCAAATTCAGCAGCTATTTTACGCACAGCCAAGTACCACAAATAGCCATGAGCAATTTAAACTCCCTTCTCTTTTCGCTGAGTGCTAATAGATCAATATCCCCCTGGAAAGGCAGATAGGACCTTGGTTTAATAGATCAACCAAAAGGCAGTATCTCTGATAATGTAATGCTTCCCCAGCACTGCAATGGAGTGTCAATCTAGATTACGAGTTTATGTCTTGATGTGAGGCTTGAACCTACAAACAGAGACAAGATTGTATCAACTGAGTCAAGTTGACATCTTGAAGCAAGCTGACATCTACACCATTGGCAATGCTTGTCCTTCTAAACAGATTTAATACTCATTTATTGTATCCTCCCTGGGTGAGGGAGGTAAGCAGGGTCTCTTTGGAACTGAAGTGGATGTGGATCTGAACTCCTCAAACTCCCTGGGCTTTCCCACAAACTCACCAAACCAGTGCATAATCTAGGCATCCGGTTCGACCCCCAGCTGTCCTTCCTCCCCCACACCCAGTCCCTAACCAGAACCGTTTTCCTCCACCTCCACCAAATTGCCCGCCCCCAACCATACCTTACCCCAAATGCAGCCGAAACCCTCGTGCATTTGAGTGTCTCCTCCTGCCTTGATTACTCAAACGCACTCCTCGCCAGTCTCCCCAGCTCCACTATTCAAAAGATCAGCTCATTCAGACTCTGCCGCCCACATACTGACCCAGACCAAACTCCATGCCCACATCTCACCAGTTCTGACCCAGGCTCCACTGGCTCCCCATCACCAAACGGATTGACATCACGATCCTTAAAATTGTATTCAAATCCCTTCACTCTCTGGCACTTCACTACCTCTTCGACTTCCTCACTCCCAAACCACAATCTGGTGCCTCCACTCGACTGGCACGACCTCCTGCTGGTCCCTCGTACCCTCCGCCCCACCATTGGAGGTCGTGCTTTCAGTCACTGCGCCTCAAAACTCCGGAACACTCTCCCTCAATCCCTCTGCCTCGCCCCCTCTCTCCCGTTTTTCAAGTTCCGCCTGAAAACTTTCTTTTTTAACCATGCGTACGGTCATCTCCCCCCTCCCCCCAGCTCGGAGTCAGGCTCCACCACTGTTAAGCGCTACCCTGCGTGGAGGGTACTATATAAGTGCAAGTTGTTGTTGTTGTTGTTTGAAGACTGATGTATTCATGTATTCATTACTCAGGAAAGTATTTTGTTCTTCGTGCAGAATTTTTTATATTTTAGTTAACTGTGACCAGATACTTTGGTTGCTCATTGGTTTAGGATATTTATTAACAGCAGACTTACTACAAGACTAATATCTTATATTGCTTTGATTTCCCTTTAGACCATAATTTAAAGCTCAAACCTCAAAATCATTCTCATCGTACTTCTCTCAACCTGATCCAACGCATCAATGTTCTTTTGAAGGTAGCGTGCTTATAATCATTTTTTAATCTAAGGAATGTTTTAGGCATTTTTGCTTCAGTGATAGCTGTAAATGTATGTTAATGATTACTGCTAACTTAATTAATTCCTCCTCGAGTCATGTCCTGCAGGGAGTATTATTTGTGGAGCACCTCTTCATAGTCAGTGCTGCAGCTCATTCAAGTTGCCTAGTGACTAATCTGCATTGGAGTTTCAAGTGTGGTGTTAGAAAGATGGAAACAACAGCCATATCTCCTGTTAATACTGAGATAGGAGCTTGTCTCCACATCCATTAAAAGCCTTGAACGGAAACAGCATCCTTAAAACAATAAAATCTCTCCGGAATCATTTTCGTCCAGCAGAGATCCAACGCAAGCAACGTGTTATTTCAAAGCCAACTCACATTTGACTACATCTTAACATGTCAGGTTATCCAGATCTCCATATCTCCTGTATTAGACTGTGTGAGCTCATCAAGCCCTCACCCTCCTGGCCCAACTCCAATGACTCCCTGGCAGATTGACGTAAAGATTCTCATTCTCACCTTCAAATATCTCCAGCTTGCCTCACCTTAACTCTGAGATCTCCTACAGTCTTCACAGATCACCCACTCCCTCCATCTTGCTAACTCAGCTCCGCTTCACCATTGGTGGGTTAGGCTACAGCCACCTTGACTTGCTCTGAAATTCTCTCCCTAAGTGCCTCGCTCCCGCTCTGCTTTCAGAATCCAAATTCTTCTAAGATCCTTTCTTTAAACTGCCAACTGACTCCCTCCGAACTGGCACTCCACCTCTGTGAAGTTCTAAACCTTTGCCTATGCGAAAGGTGCTTTATAAGTGTAGTTCTGCAGCCCGTGTCCTCTCCTGCAACAAACTCCGTGACCCCATCTCCCCCATTCTCGCCCGACTCCATTGGTTCCCTATCCTTCAGAGGATCCAGTTCAAAATCCTGGTCCTCACCTACAAAGCCCTCCATGGCCTCGCCCCACCCTACCTCTGTGACCTCCTAACCCCCTACCAACCCCCCCCCCTCCCTCCGCTCAGCCGGCTCTGGCTGCTCCATGTTCCCCGACCCACCCGCCCCACCATTGGTGGGAGAGCCTTCAGCCACTCTGCCCCCAATCACTCCGCCTCGCCCGCTCCTTAGCCTCCTTCAACTCCCACCTCAAAATGCTCCTCTTCGACCATGCCATCGGCCACCCCCATTCCCCTCCCCTCCCTTCTCCCCCCTGACCCAGCTCGGGTCTGAAATGCTGTACTCTATTCAGCGCCTTGGAACGTCCTCCCGATGTGAAAGGCGCTATACAAATGTAATCTTGTTATTGTTGTTGTTGTTGTTTCCCTTGATTCCCTCTAAGCTGTATATGTGTAAACTATGGGGTTTGGAGAAAGAACAGGCGAAAATGGGACTGAAAGGATTGCTCTTTTTGTTGATCAGTCGAGTGTCTGACACGTGCTGAAGAGTATCCAAATGAAACTGAAAATGAGTTCCATGCATCCCCCCTATACAAGGAAATTCCAAGATTGCTCTTAAAAGAGCCAACTGGCACAGACACAAGGACCAAATGGCCTTCTGTGCTGTAAATTTCTTCAGTTCTATCCCACAGAGTTAAGGTTAGCCTTTCTGGTGGGAACCTTTGATCCTTACAATCATCTGCAGAATCCTTACACTTGTTATAGCACCTTTCACATCAGGAGGACATCTCAAAGTACTTCCCAGGATATACTATACAGTGCAGTGACTGTATATTTTGTAGGCGAACGGAATGTTCTGCTGTGTCGTGGCTTTGATCAGCGCTCTCTGTGGTTGGCTGTGTAACTGGTTGATGATGAACCGATCCTGTCAATCTCCTTAGAATTTTGATTCTGATTTTGAAAATCAGGTCATGATTTTATCACTCTCCCTCTGGGCTTTGTTTGCAAATCACCGTGGTAACTGCCGCTGAAGTGGAGAAGGTTAATAAAGACGAAAGTAGCGGAGGCTGAGCTAAGGGAAGGTTAATAAGTGGAAGCAGAGTGTTGCTGATCACTTGTGCTTCGAACCGCTGAGTGGAGGTGAAGAAGGGTCTGTTGGCTGCTCTCCTCTGTTCCTGATCTATGGGCAGTCCTGTAGCTCAGGGGTTAGAGCACTCAACTCGCGAGCGAGATGACCTGGGTTTGATTCCCGACAGTGTGAAACCTTGGGCAAGTTTCCTTACTCCACATGCCTCTGCTTACCGAGCAGTAAGTTGGAACTCTGTTGTTAGTCGATTGGCGGATCGCTTTTCCGGGGTTAATAATCCCTTAAAAAATAATAATAATGATTTGGTCACTCAATCCCATGACTGTTTGTCACGACTGTTTGTGGGACGGTGTGTGCTTTGTGGGCGAAATGCAGCAGGCCATCTGCACAAAGCAATGTCCACAAAAGCCCATGAAGTGAATGATCATTTTTTTTTAATATAAGGTGATAGTTGAGAGTCTGCAGCAGCCCAACCAGCTTTATAAGGGGCTGCGATTGCCAGTCACCAGCAACATCATTGCGCGCAGAAAGCACCAAAATTGGACAACTTTTTCTCCTTGTGCTTTCCCCACTTGGCCCTTCCTCTTTCCCCAAACCCACCGTAAACACCATGTGGCCAGGTGACCGCTTGCGCTCTCAGTTTCTGTTCTCTCATCAAAATGCTTCCTTTCTAACTCAAGACACTGCTACTTCTGTTTGGCTAGAGAAAAAAACAAAGCCGGTCTGCCCATCAACTTTGCCTGAGGCGTAAATATCCGAGGCTGGTTCGAAAATGGTTTTCTTTCCCCAGATGAGTACGCAGTCTGCCTTAGCCCATTACTGTAGCTGACCTTGGAGTTAATGATTATTCTTACATTTACTGAGAACTAGTTCAGTGGTTTGTAAATTGGTTAAAAGTTAACACTACCTCCTCTGCTATCCCTCTCTTTCACTCCCTCTCCCCACACATATCACTGCCACCGGACAGGTTAATTAATAAAGATTAATAGAGTATCCATGGAAGCTTGTTATGGACCACAGATCTGCTCTGCTAGCAGTGCTCAATCTGTTCGAAAACAGGAATAAAATTGGAGCGTCTCCTGATTCAGGGTTAAATCCGGAGATTTAACTAATGATTTTTTTCTAAAAAAGAGGAAAATGGGACGCTGACTTCTCCTGAAAGACAAGGTGTAGCTTTGGTGAGTGCACGTGAGACCCAAGTATTTAACCGAGCAACCGAGGCCATCTCCATTACCCAGCGTGTCAGGCTGTGTCCAGGAGTTGGCTGCATGGCTAAAACTCTGGTCAACTGAAAACCCTTTTCGGTACAGTTCAGGTTACAGTTTGGCTGTCATTCTGATGATGTCCTTAAGGGATTGAAGTGATTTGAAGCGCTCCACGATACTACCCCACGTGAAGGGGGCTATATAAATGCAAGTTGTTGCTGTTGAAGTGAGTAATACCCTCCTCCACCTGCCTATCAGTATATTTCCTGCTTATAAGTGAGTTTGTATTAATCTCTGGTATATTGGTATATTTGGTGCTGAGTGTGTTTGCTGGTGTATTTACTGGCTGAAGTGGGAACTGTGCTAGTTTTCCCCCCCACCCTCCCCTTCCACCTCCCACTCCCCACCACCTTTCACCCCAGCAGCACATTGTGTCTCGTGGAGAATGCTTTCAACTCAATCTCTTGCTTTGCATACATCCTCGCCCCTCTTCTTCTTTGCGCATCCTCCGATACAGAGACAGAGACATACCCAGTTCAGTGCAGTAACTGTACTGTGACCTGCTAACTCCAAATCAACCTCACCCCGCGCTCAGCCTGGCTTCAGCCTGCTTCATGTCCCCCAGCCTCTCTGCTCCAACCTTTGGATCTCCATCCCACAGTCCCTCCACCTCGCCCCCTCCCTTGCCTCCTTCAAGGCCCGTCTCAAGACCCTCCTCTTTCACTGCACCTTCAGCCACCCTCCTACCCCACTGCCCTCCCTGATCCTCCTAAGGTCCAAATCCCTGACTGTCCAGTGCATTGGGTGTCCTCCTAACACGAAAGGCGCTACACAAGTATCATTTGTTGTTGTTGTTGTTGTTGCTGACAGACGTACCCAGTACAAATCAGTAAATGCTCACAGTGTAACATGTACAGGATGGGGCTGCTTATCGACAGTAATGCTGTTATATTTTCAGATGGGTCCGATAGCAACGGAAGCCTTGAATCTCCAGACTAGTCCTGGAGAGCTGGCTCTTCTTCTCATCTCCTCAAGTTGTCGGTCGAAGTATTTCACAATTCTGGTATTCACATTGTACCAATTTATCAACCGGTATATAATAGTATTTTTTTCCCTACTAACCAAGACCCCCTTCCTCCCCCCCTTTACCTTCTCACAATATTTAACACACGGTGATGGGTGGATTAAAAGATTAAAATGAATTTAATAGCTGTAGTCACTAACTATGTTAAGAATATTTCTACTGGGTCGTTCTGTCGTCAACTCTTAAGTCTCGATGAAGCCCATTCATTTTTTTCTGTCGCTGTGTTTTAAATACAGTGCAGGACAAATTTGCAGGAGGACGCCCCAAGGCGCTTAACAATAACGGCTTGGCACCCGAGTGGGGGTGGGTGGGAGCCTTGCATTTGATATAGCACCTGTCATATTGTGAGGACACGTCAAAGCGCTTCAAACAATTTACTGTCATCTACAGTAACTTTGGTATCTTGCAAGCTAAATGTTATAAATGTGACAAAGTTAAGATGGAAGTGACATATTATTGTGCCTTTGAGTATTTTTCTCTCTCGCTTTTGCACAGTGTCACTTCACTGATTCCCTAAATGATTCAGAGTGTTGATATGTTGCCCTAAACTTAGCCTAAACACTGACGTTTTTTGAAATTTAAGATCACCCGGAAATATGGAAAATTGTTAACTTCGCCTTCGATTTGATAGCAGTTTTTTTCTGCAGCTCTTAAAGCAAACCGGCTTCTGAATTTAAGAATATTCTACAATTCTGCCGATTACAGCAAAATGGTCTGTTAGTCTAAGACTGTGCATTTGAAGTCTTTGGTTCATATTATTTTCTCATCCTTCCCTCCCACCCCAACACACGCACACATATTAGAAGACTCGGGTGCATTCGGAAACATTTGTAATGATAGTACTGTAATGTTTGTATCTCGCAACTACAATGAACGAAAACAGAAACTCATTGTCACCATCCATTCATCATGATATATTATAACATTTAATAATAATAATAATCCTTGCATTTGATATAGCGCTTTTCATGTCTTCTAGAAGTCTCAAAGCGCTTCACAGAATATACCGTAAAGTGAATTGACTGTATATTTGTGGGCGAAACGTGGCAACCAATTGCGCACAGCAGCGTCCCACAAACAGTCATGGATTGAGTGACCAAATTATTTATTTTTCTTGAGGGATTATTATTAGGTGTGTGGAGTAAGGAAACTTGCCCAAAGTTTCGCCCTGCCAGGAATCGAACCCAGGTCTCTCGCTTGCGAGGCGAGTGCTCTAACCACTGAGCTACAGGACTCCATTACTCCATAGTTTACAACAACCCCTTGAATTGTGCTGCACTGTTTTTGGGGGGAACTCAGTCTATCCTCACCCTCTTCTGTACAATGTCCTGACTTCTCAAGCATAGAATTTCTTATTTATGAAAAAAAAGAGAGACAGACAGAGGATGAGGTGGAGAGAGAGAGAGAGAGCTTTGAATAGCAGAATGTTTGTTATTTCAAGGGTGTGTTGACTGTGATTACCTATAATAATAATAATCCTTGCATTTGATACAGCGCCTTATTATGTTATTGAGACGTCTCAAAGCACTGTCAAGTGGATTGATTGTATATTTTGTATGTGAATGCAGCAGCCAATTGCACACAGCAGTTTCCCACAAACAGTCGTGATTTGCTTTTGTTTTTTTTTGAGGGGATTATTACCCCCAGGAAACGATCCACCAATCAACTAACAACTGGGTTACTACTTACTGCTCGATAAACAGAAGTGTATGGAGTAAGGAAACTTGCCTAAGGTGTTGCCCTGCCAGGGAATTGAACCCGAGTCCTCTCCCTTGCGAGGCGAGTGCTCTAACCAATATGCTACAGCACTCCTCCTCTATAATATATATGTGTGTGTAAAAAATACATATATAACTATATGGTTGAAGAAATGTCTGCTGGTTATCCATGATACGATGGGGAAAATATGGACAATTATTCTGGCATGTGTATGACTGAAAGGGTACTTTGTACTTCTTTACTGAAACAAATTTAATTTCATGCTTCACTTATTAAGCTTTTTATTTGATTTCCAGAAGAGTTATATATATATTATATTTTTAATTCCGCTGCTTTGTATTGTTGTCAAAAAAAATTCCCTTATGATGCAATTCATCTTCAGAGGAAGAAAAACATTGGGGTTGGAGGGGAATAATTACAGAGATGTGCCTCCTGGCATCCGGTTATATAAATCCTAATAAATAAAACCAATAAACTAGTTGACCAGTTTCCACATGTGTTAAACAACAATAACAACAACCCTCCATTGCAATGCTGAGGGGGGAATGCAGCATTGCTGGGGTGCTGCCCTTCGGATGAGATGCTAAACAGAGGTCCCGTCTGTTTGTTCAAGTGGACATTAAAGATCCCATTGCACTATTCAAAAGGAGAAGAGAATTTCTCCTGATGTCCTTTGCCAACAATCTCCTGAATAAAATTGGTTGTTCACTCTGGCTGTTTGTGGGACACTACCGTGTGCTAATTTGCTTTCGCATTCGCCTACAAAATCCAGAGTAGGCGTTGGGGAAACTGCTGGAGTTTAACCGGGTTAAACCACAAAGCCTGACATTGAGAGACCTGTGTGGTAATCAATCTACTGCGCGCATCCTCTCGTGAAATCAGTATTTAACTGAAGGTGTGACTCTGCTCCTTCTAGAGGCCACAAGCTGTCATTGTAGTCTGCACAAAAGATGAAAATGTGCTCTTTCTTCCTTTCCCAAGCAGTATCCAGAATTCAAGACCCCAGTAATATAACTAAAACACTATGTTGTACATGCAAACAGAAACAGTTCAATGACGCAATGATTCGACTACAAATGCAGTCATTACACTTCACAGTAAAGTCCTTTAAAGCGCTTTGAGTTGTCAAAGCTTTTCGAGATGTCTCAAAGCACTTTACGGAATATATCGTAAAGTGAATTGAATGTGTATTTTGAGGACGAAACACAGAAGTAAATTGTGCACAACAGTGTCTCACAAACGGTTGTGGATTGAGTGACCACATTTTATTTGAGGGATTGTTACACCTGGAAAGCAATCAGACAGTCGACTAACAGCCGAGTTCCTACTTACTGCTAGGTAAACAGAGTTGTATAGAGTAAGGAAATGTGCCTAAGGTTTTGCTCTGTGTGGGAATTGAACCCAGGTCCTCTTGCTTGCGAGGCGAGTGCACTAATCACTACGCCACAGGACTCCACAAATCTAATTGTGTTAAATGCTCTGCCTTTGTGTCTACAGCACTGTATATCTCTTCATGTCTTTTCCCTCCTGAAACAGATTTTCCTATGGGAATCCAATTTCATAATGCCACGGAACTGTACAAAGATGTTTATTTGAGGGGAGGGAGGGTGGGGGGGGAGAGAAAAATATTGAATTACTTAGAAGTTACCGGGGAGCAGAGTTTCTGTGTGGCTACAAAATGGGGCTTTGCTCTGGAAAATCATCCGGTGCTGTTACTTCAGCCCTGAACAAAGAGGATATGAAAGTGGAAGACTTGGAAAGCATGGAGGATACAGAAGATATTGGCAGTGGAAATCCTCTAAAAGCTGAACTTGAGACAAGCTGCTCAGAAAGTGCTGGCAAAGCAGAATTCAACCTCAGCTGCCAGAACAACGATACACATCCTGCTCTATTTGTGCAGAAGGTGGTGGAACCCGAATCCTACATTAAGGAAAACGATGGCTTACATATAACAGATCTAGATTAAGCAACTGTTTTTTTTGCACGTGAAGGAATAATAGTAATATTCCTTGCAATTGATACAGTGCCTTATCAGGTCGTCGGGACATCTTAAACCGCATTGCAGGATTTTACTGTAAAAAGTCTCATGTGTATTCATTGGCAAATGGTGCAGGCAATTTGTGTTCAGCAAACAGCCAGGAGGTGAATGACCAATTTTATCTGGGGGATTGTTGGCCAGGACAACGGGAGAAACTCCCTTCACTTTTCAAACAACGCCCCAGGATCTTTAACGTTCACCTGAAAGGCAGATGGGACATCAGTTTAATGTCTCATCCGAAGGACAGCATCTCTGACGATACAGCATTGTGCCCCAGCAGCCTGGATTGTAAGTTCAAAGTTCCGACGTGGGGTTTGAACCCACAACCTTCTGACTCGGAGGAGACAGTGCAATCAACTGAACTCGGCTGACACCGAGCTTCTAAATATAGGGGATTTTTTTTTCTGGAAAATCTACTTTGCTTAAGGCTCGGCTTCTCAAGATGTTTCCGTATGGTTTACTGTTGAAGTTTATTGGACAGTTTTTATATCCAAAGCTATTGTGTTTTGCCAAGTGGTCTGGAGCTTCCAACCTTTAATGAACGTTTGAGTTCCTGGACTGTGCGTCACTGTGAGTTAGTTTTGCCTCATTGTGTGGTCTTTGCTCAGTTCTTAGCTGTGGTGAGAGCAGCCAAGAGGGTGGAATATCCTCTGAATGAAAAGACCTGTGTTTTGGGACCAGGAAAACTGATATTCTCTGCTCTTGCCCAACATGAATCCCACCACAACATGAAAAACATACTTAATGGTGATAAAATGGTCTTGACTTACCATGATTTCACAGCTGGAAATGGGTGCATGATTTTGAATGGTTTGCAGAGGAGATGAAAATATGTGCGTGTGTGGAAGAGATTCACAAACGACTTCAGTTTATTGAATTACATAAAACGTTACAGCTCACTTGGCCTGACTAGTCCATGCTAGTGTTTATACTGTATTTCTAATCCCCTCACCTATATCCCTCTATTTCTTTCTCTCTTGTGTATGCATTGTATTTCCTCATAAATACGTTGTTGCTTTCTGCCTCAACCACAGCTTCCAGTGAGTTAATAATAATAATAAGTTCCACTTTCTCAGGTGTAGCTGAGGGGAAAGGCTCTCTGGGTGTCTCCAATGATGTAAGGAAGAGTGAATGCTTTACACCTGGAGTTTGATTGCAGACAGAAGGCTCAGCCTTCAACGTTCTTGAAATGGGAGGATGTAATTGGGAAATCAGACGGTACATTCAAATGAACGTACGAGGGGTCAATACTTTTGTTTGTGTACGTTCTTGCCCTCAGCACCTGAACGCAGTGACATCTGTACCAACTTGAAGGTTAGATCCTTTGACGCTTTTTTGTTATCTGAAAATAAAGGCAGTTTCTATTCCTGAAGTGTAACCTGCCTCCACTCTCTGGAACTCCATCCATGAGTTCCTCTGACTCGCTCTCTCCCTCACCTGCTCCCAACCCCAAGATTGGGTGCCCAGCCAGTACTGTTAAGCATTTCGGGCTGTGAAAGCCGCTATATAAATGTAAATTTGTATTGTTTTGTAACTTTAGTGCCTTCTATTTCGAATTGGTTCTTGATTTGTCGCAAATTAGAGCACATCTCTTATTAAAGACAACCGCACAGACTGCAAGGGCTAAAATTATTTCCAGACTTGTAAATCCCTGTTTAAAGCACTACCAGTTCACAATTTGACTCGTACGTACTGAAGGCAGGAACAGCAACCAAAATTTTATTTTTCTTCAGCTGAGAGTCTCAGGTATACAGAAACCCATCACCAATGCTGAAGGGTCTCCAAACCAGACTGAGATTTCCATGCATCCCACCTACAAGTAGACATTCCTGTGTTTGGAAAAGAATGCACAGGAACACATCCTGTTTACTCAATTCAGGAGAGTATTAGGCGCTGGTTGGCAAGAGCCAAGTCTTGCAGATCCCAGAGTACTGTGGCTTTTGCCAACGCTCTGGAATCCATACTACATCACAAATTTACTGTTATAATCTGTTGAATATAATAGTGCTGCACAGTACTTGTTTTCTGTGGTGTCACCAAAATGAGTAAGAAATTGCATCCATTGCACAAGACGGAGTAAATAGCTTTCCATGCGACGAATGATTGTAATGAAACGTCTGCTTCTTCGTTTAAACCATTGGTAACCGTTGTGGGGTGAATCAACTGAGCTTAAATATGTGAAATGTATCAATATATGATGTTTGTCTCGCATCTCAGTTTGTAACTTCAGAGTTTGGAAAGTACCTTTGGAAAGTATATTTGTATGGACCAAACAATAAAATACGTTAATTATCATAAGATTCTCCATCACAATCTAATTAAATTCCAAAACACTGGGGTATTTCTATATACAATTACATTGAACGTTACTGCATGGAATCAGGCCAATCGGCTCAAAATAGTCCTTACTTTATACTCCACACGCAACCAACAGCAACAACTTGCATTTATATCGCGGTTGGGTAGCTTCCCGGAGCACTTGCCTTGATGCACCTCCATACTCTCTCCCACACTCCTCCATTACCTTCTGTATCATGTACACAACTACAAGGCCCTATCCTGCGTAAATGCAAGTTGTTGCTGTCACTTCATCACGTTTCCTCTAAAATATATTGATGCTTTCTGTCTCAACCATAGTGAGTTCCGCATTATCACCACCCGCTGTGTAAAAAACGTTCCTCCTAAACCCTCCTTTAGGATCCATTAGCATCTATTTTGTATTTGTGCTCCCATCCAGAGCTTAATTAACCTTTGTGGACCTGGTGCCCAAAACATTTGTGGGCCCACATTTTGATGTGCTCCATTTATAAGTAATGAGGAGACTGGAACCCGGAAGGGGCTCAGGATTGTTAGGTAAATGATTCCTTCAAAATAATAATAATAATAATAATTTGGTCAGGTCACTCAATCCATAGCTGTTTGTGGGACATTGCTGTACACAATGGGCTGCTGTGTTTTGCCCACAAAATATAGTCAATTCAGTATATTCTGTGTAGTGCTTTGAGACGTCTAAATAACATTATGAGTCGCTCTATCAAATGCAAGGATTATTATTGTTAAAATAGGAGTGCCCATTTATGGGGGGCACTCAACAGCCAATCACCCGGGCACTCAGGAAATTTCTAAATGTGCCTCTTCTGAGCTTGGGCCATTGGCGCCATTGTTAATCCACCGCTGCTCCTGTCTGTTACTGCATTTTCTATCATTTACTCCTAATTTTTGTCATAATAGAACCTGTTGAATTTGATCATCTATTCGAAACAGATTTACCGCCTTAAATATCTCATACTGTCTGGTTCATACTGACTGACCTTTCTTTTCGACTGCGCCTTTGGTCACCTTCCCACCCCTCCTCCCGGCTCGGTCCCGGGATCCTAAACTGTAAAGCGCTCTGAGACGCCGTCCGCCGTAGAGGGCGCTATATAAGTCCAAGTTGTTGTTGTTATTGTTGTTTAGTGAGGTTCAGACCTTTATTCTCTCTTTTGGAAAAGGGGGATTACATTCTTAACCCTTCACCAATTTTCATTCCCCCAGCTACATCCAACAAGCAAAGTTAATCATCAAACTGCTGTGATCTACTGTAAAGCGTAGTTACTGTTTGTTTGGAATGCAAATTGTTGTTCAGGTGCAAAGCAAAAAGGAATTTTGTCTAAATCGTCTTGCTCATTGTAGGCATTTGGATTTTCCACTTCATTATCTGGTAAAATGGGTCGGTTAGGCACAGCATGAGAGTGAAATTTGCAAGAGGCAGGAAGAAGTGTGTGTGTAAACTTGGCACCAGCACCGTTTGCTCTTTGCTGATTGATTGTTGGTCAGCGTGGGACACAAAGGGTACGAGGGTTGGGTTACATGCCTTAACATGTTTGAATACGCGTCGTTACCACCCTTCAACAAAAAAAAGAAGCCAAATAAATCTTGTCATTTCCAGTAACTTTGCTGCTCTGCAGAGCGAGCGAATGAATCGTGAAGCTGTGTGAATCTTTGGAAATCAGGCGAGCAGGTACTTGTGCCATTGTGATTTCTCCCTTTCCTTCATTCCATCTTTTCTTAAGAGTTAGTTTGCAGTTTTAATTTTCTTTCAGTCTTACTCACCTTGAAATCTTATTCATGTTTTATTTCTTACCAGAGTGCCCAAAACAGAAGGTGTACATTATGTGATTCCTCTTTTTGCATCACAGAATTGCACCGCACAATAAACCAGTGAAATGCTATTTTTGACTTTGTTAACAAGGCTGGTTTTAAGTGTTCTTAAGCGATGGCGAACAAACTTCAATGTTTCTTCCAGCCTATCCACTCCAATGCATTGCGATTGAATGTGGGTCTCCAGGCAGAGTGATTTATCTGTGTTCAAAAACCGATGCTTTTCATTGTGGTTGAGTGTTAGATTCAGTGTTTATTTTTCTTCACATGTAAAAAGGACATCACTTGAATAAGCTACCAGAGAGTGAGGTGATTGGAACTACATATACCCTAATATGGAATAAAAAAAAGTTTATTTTTAGAAATTGGTGTATATAATAATAAATGGATCACTGCTGTGCGCAATTGGCTGCCGCATTCATCCACAAAATATGCCGTCAATTCACTTTACAGTATATTCTGTGAAGCGCTTTGAGACGTCTCGAAGAGCTGATAAGGCGCTATATCAAATGCGAGATTATTATTATTATTAAATAACGATTTTTTCTCCAAGGCGTTACCCGCATGAAGGGCACAATATAAATACAAAGTATTGTGGTAGTATCTAAGGCATTGATATCTCATAACACTTTTATTGTGAAGTACAGTGATTGTGTGTTTTGTGGACAAATGCAGCAGTGAATTTGCACAAACAGCCATGAAGTGAATGACCAATTTTATCTTGGGTGGATGTTTGGCCAGGACTCTGGGAGAAACACCCTTCTCTTTTTGTATAATGCATTGGGAGCTTTAATGCCACCACAACCAGTAGATGGGACTTTAGCTTAACATCTCATCCAAAGGACAATGCATTGTTCTTCTAGTGCAGCATTGGAGTCAGCCCAGACTATGTCAGTTCAAAGCCCCAAATTTGGGGCTTTAACCTACAACTTTTGAGAGTACTACAACTGAGCCGAATTGCTCATCTTTAAATGAGCAATTTTGGAAATAGCAGTTTTCTTTTGCATCAACTTTCTTCCCTTCTCTCTCGAAGATACTGCATTGATATGCCTGAGTATGATTTCCTGCACCTTTGTTTTGGTACCTCACCTCAGTGACGATTCTTCACGTGTGAGCAGCCAATTCTACTACGGAGTGTGCAAAAGAAACACTACGGTAGTGTAAATTCTGGAAAGTGTGTACAAGAAACCCCTTGTGCACAGAATCATTCTTGCAAAATAATAAGAATCCTTGCATTTGATATAGTACCTTATCATGTCTTCGAGATGTCTCAATGCGCTTAGATAGCAGAGTGCTGAGACTGAAAGAAGACAATGTGCTTGATGTGTTCTTTGATCAGAACTGTAATGATGAGGCTGGATAGTGTTTCTAAATTGGATTGAGGAGCGCAAAAGAGGAACAGGGTCAACAAAATAATGGTAAAAATAAAGTAAAAATAAGTAATTTAGTGGATTTGAGAATTTCTTAGCATCTTTGCTTTCTTGGCCACTTTCTCCAGTACTACCTTCTCAGTCCTATTTGGGAGTTTTAACAACCTGGTTCCCTGAGCTGAGATAAGGTTACATGCAAAATACCCGCCCTCTTTGCTCAGCTGGCTCCAGCCTCCTGGACGTCCCTTGCCCGCTCCGCGGCAACATTGGCGGCTGTGCTTCCAGCCACTGCGCCCTGAGTCTCTTTCACTCTTTGCCTCAATCACGCCACCTTGGCTCCCTACTTATCCCCTCCCTCTCCCCCTCCCTCCCTCCCTCTCTCTCCCCCTCCCTACAATGAAAACAGAAGTCGCCGGGAACCCGCAGCAGGAGTTTTCCGATCGACCCGAACCGCTAACCCATTTATCCTCTCTCCATAGATGCTGCGCGTTCCCCCCAGCGGCCGCGGTATTCTATTTTACGTTTTGCAGCGCCCGATGATCAGAGAAGCGGACGACGGTTTTGGGGGGGGGGGGGGGCACGTGTTTGCAGGGCGACGGGGGAGAGCCCGGGGGAGTGGGACTGAATCGCACAGCTCCGTTCGCAGCGCCGGCACAGACACGATGGGCCGAATGGCCTCCTTTCTGTGCCGTACGGTTCTGTGGGTCTGCAGTGGTGGTGGTGGTTGTTGTTGTTGTTGTTGGTTGGTTGCTGTTGTTGTTGTTGTCAGGACTGGGAGTCTCTGCCTTGTGTTGCACTGTATCCAATCGCGTTGTTAGGCACGCCACGTTACCCGGGCAACCGCCTTGAGTGACAGGCGGGCGGTGTGGGATGCGCGCGCGTTCTCACTCACACTCCCCGCCCCCTGTCCCCGCCCCCCCCACCCTGGCTCCGCCCCCTGTCCCCGCGCCCCCCGCCATGGCTCCGCCCCCTGTCCCCGCCCCCCCCCCCACCCTGTCCCCGCCCCCTGTCCCCGCCCCGCTCGCGGGTTTGCTGCACGCGTGCGCACTGGGATGGACGCTGGCGGGGAGAGAAAACGGAGGGAGCGGGGATGGCGGCGGATGTCGAGGCGCAGGCGCAGAGCGGGAGGAGGAAAGCGCACGCGCGCGCGGGGGGAGGGGGGGGGCGGGTGGGAAGAGGCGCGAGCGCGCGCTCGACGATCGTGCGTGGGGGGCGGGGGGGGTGTGGGGAAGAGGCGCGCGAGCGCGAGGGAGGTGGGGGAGAGGCGGCTCTCGCGCGCGCGCGCTGCTGCGCCTCAGGAGCGCGAGGGGGGGACTCAATCGCTCGGCGTCGTCGTCGTCGTGGCGGCGGCGGCCATTTTACACGTGAAATAATAAATGGGCGCTGCAGAATAGACCCCCTCCTCCTCCCCCCCAGACCCCGCCACGGCCCCGCCACGGCCCCCTCAGGTAAGGCGGACTTGTCGGTAACGTAAAGCTGAGGCTTTATTTCTGTGTTTGTTTTTCCTCTCACCGCCCGAGGCCTTTGTGTCTCTGATGTCCCGCCTTGATGTCACAATGAGGAGCGGCCCCGCGGCGCGTCTCTGACTGTGAGACCGACAGACAGACAGACAGACAAGACAGATAGAGAGGGAGGGGAGGGGAGTGTGAGGGGAGGCGAGGTGGAGGGGAGGGCAGGGCAGGGCGAGGAGGAGAGCCACTGACTCGGGGCCACGGGACGGGGAGGGAGGCAGAGAGAGAGAGAGAAAATCAGGCCGTTTCTCTGCCCTCTCTCGCTCGATCATGTCTTTGGCGCTGCCTTCGCGCAGATGGAGTTGGGCCGCCTGTGACTTGAAGGTAAAACAACAGTCCTCCCTCTTCCCCCTCACACCCCCTCACCCAATCCCTCCCTCACACACACACACACACACGCATCGACCCCACTCAGCCCCCCCCCCCCCCAAACCTACCAACCCACATCCACTCACAACAACAACAACAAAATTACACTGGTACAGCGCCTTTCACGGCGGGCGGGCGGGAGGGCGTCCCAAGGCGCTGTGGGCAGTCAGGAATTTCGGACCCTACCAACTTAACCCACCAGCCCGCTCCGCCCGTTCTGCCCACCCATTCAACGGATCCGCTCACCCAACCCACCAGCCATTCGACCGACCCACTCTCCACACCCACTGACTGACCTACCGATCCCACTCTCCAAACCCACTGACCTACCAACCCCGGTCACTCAACGATCAACCCAACCGCCAACCGACCAAACCCACTCACACAAGCTACCAACTCACTCCCTTAACCCACTCGCCCGCCCCACTCACTTACTCGCTTGTTTCTAAGACAACTGAACCAAGCGAGCGAAGATCCATCCCTTCAGCGAATAGAATTGACCACTGTGGCCACGCTGTGTGGAGAAAAAAGATGTTTTAACTAAATCTGCAACTTCTGCTCGCAAGTTACCTAGTTTGCAGTTTATGTTTTGGAGAGTTGCTTTGAGGTCTCCTCCCCCTGAATGCAACTCCCACCTCCTGCGATGCAGGTTTTTGAAGCGAATAGAACCTCTATCTGAAACTTTAACATGTAATTTGAAAGAAGTTGAAATCTGCTTTAACTTTGTTTTGTGCTCTCATTGATGCCCCATAATCATAAAAGCCCAGTGGTTGCTATAGTAACTGGTTGTTTATGTGTTTGATTTGCAGGAGTGAAAGGGGGAAGCTTGATCCAGTGAACTTTAAACAAAAAAAATTATCGTAAAGGAATCAATGACTTTTTAAACTCCTGTTAATTATTTTTATCCAGGGGGGGTGGGGCGCCTCCTTGGAGCTGAACTGGCTCCAAGGTGACATGCCTGGCAACGGAATATCGGAATCAAGCCAGCCCTCTGGCGGTCTTGGTAGTTTGGTTCCCGAGCCAGATGGATTCACAGTATTCCAGGGCACTGCTGATGACAGCACAGCCCAGCCTGGCTCATCAGCAGGACCTGGAAGGGCAGTTCAGTTACTGGAGCAGGGAGTCATCCCACTCAGCTCCTGTTAATCCTGCAACCAAAGCCCTAACAGGTAGGGTGGTCCTAGCTGGACAAGCAGCGGGAAAGCTTGCCGCATAGTATTATCAATGGTGTTTTAGCTGATTAGAACCCAGAAGTATCCCAACGCACACTCTGGGGACCCGAAGCCTTGTCTCTTGCCAACTGCCGCCTAATACTTTCCGGACGTAGGTAAGCAGGATGCGTCCCTCCAGGGAGAGAATGCACTTTCCATTCCAACAATCTATATCTGGGATTTCCATGTGTAGGTGGGATGCATGGAAATTTCAGCTTGGTTTGGATACTCTTAAGGATGGTGATGGGTTTCTACACTCAGCTGACCAAAAAAAAGTAACTGCTACAATAATCTAATTTCTGATTTAATTAAGTCCTTTTTAAGCAGCTCATTGTTGTCCTGTAGACAGATGTTAGTACACACACAGTGCACTATTCACACTGCTAGTTTGATCGCTTCAATTTTTTTTCCCCATTCTACCAGCTGGATTAGTATAGTGGCTGTTATAATGTTTATATCAGTGCCATGTGGGATTGGGTAGTGCAGTGGGCTAGGGTACTGTATTTTTGATTGAAGAGCTGAAAGGAATGGAATTCCAGCTGAGAGGGATGGGATAGAAATCTGTTGAAAAAACACTCACGATGATGAAGTCGGAGGGAACACCCAAGCATTTAAGATTCCTGTGTAAAATAATAATGATAATTCTTGCATTTGATATAGCACGATATCATGTCTTCAAGACATCTCAAAGTGCTTCACTGAGTGTGTTTAGATTCTCAACCTGGTTTGTAGTAGACATTACATTAAACAAGTATTTCATTAAACAAGTATTTTTCTACAGTCTTCACCGTAGAAGACACTGGAAACATACCAAAAATGGAGGACCAAGAAGACAATGTTAGCGAGCAACTTAGGGAGATTAACATTAGTAAAGAGATGGTTCTAGGTAAATTGTCGGGTCTTAAAACCGATAAATCCCCTGGACCGGATGGCCTGCATCCGAGAGTTTTAAAGGAGGTGGCTACTGAGATAGTGGATGGCATGTCTATAATCTTCCAAAAGTCTGTGGATACTGGAAAAGTTCCCATTGATTGGAAGATTGCAAACGTAACTCCACTCTTTAAGAAGGGTGGGAGAGAAAATAGGGAAAACTATAGACCAGTTAGTTTGACGTCAGTTGTAGGGAAAATTCTTGAGTCCTTAATAAAAGACGTAGTTATGGGATACCTGGAAGACCATAAAAAGATTAGGCAGAGTCAACATGGCTTTACAAAAGGGAAGTCATGCTTGACTAACCTTTTAGAATTTTTTGAGGATGTATCCAGCAGGTTGGATAAGGGGGAACCAGTAGATGTGGTATATTTGGATTTTAGGAAGGCATTTGACAAGGTGCCACACAAAAGGCTGTTACTCAAGATCAAGGCCCACGGGATTAATGGGAAAATATTAACATGGATAGAAGAGTGGCTATCGGGTAGAAAGCAGAGAGTAGTGATAAACGGATCATTCTCGAATTGGCAGGAGATGTAACTAGTGGAGTGCCACAAGGATCAGTGCTTGGGCCTCAGCTATTTACCATTTACATCAATGATCTGGACGAGGACATTGAATGTAATGTGTCTAAATTCGCGGATGATACTAAACTCAGCAGCAGAGTGAGCTCTCAGGATGATGCAAAATGATTGCAACAAGATATAGATAGGCTCGGGGAGTGGGCAAGTAGGTGGCAGATGGAATTCAATGTTAGCAAGTGTGAAATTATTCACCTAAGTAGCAAGAATAAAAGAACAGATTATTTTCTGGAAGGGGAGAAGTTAGATAGTGTTAGTATTCAAAGGGATTTGGGTGTCCTTGTACACCAGTCCCAAAAAGTTAGTTTGCAGGTGCAGCAGCAACTAAGAAGGCGAACGGCATGTTAGCGTTCATTTCGAAAGGTTTAGAATATAAGAGTAGGGAAGTCTTGCTGCAGCTGTATAGGGCTTTGGTGAGACCGCACCGAGAGTATTGTGTGCAATTTTAAAAAAGGACATACTTGCCCTAGAGGGGGTGCAGCGTAGATTCACTCGGTTAGTTCCTGGGATGAGGGGACTGACCTATGAGGATAGGCTGAATAAACTAGGGCTGTATTCTCTAGAGTACAGAAGAATTAGGGGGGATCTTATTGAAACTTATAAGATTCTTAAAGGGCTGATAAAGTAGACACTGAGGGTCTGTTTCCCCGGTAGGAGAATCTATAACCAGGGGTCACAGTCTTAAAATTAAGGGTCAGCCTTTTAGAACAGAGTTGAGGAAACATTTCTTCACTCAGAGGGTAGTGAACTTATGGAATTCACTACCCCAGAAGGCTGTAGATGCTCAGTCCTTGAACATTTTCAAGGCTGAGACTGATAGATTCTTGAAAAATAGAGGGATTAGGGGATATGGGGATAGGGCAGGTAATCAGAGTTAGGTGAGAAGATCAGCCATGATCTTATTGAATGGCGGAGCAGGCACGAAGGGCCGAATGGCCTACTCCTGCTCCGATTTCTTATGTTCTTATGTTCTTATTACTCTATAGCAAAAAAAGTGCCACAAATTGTAGAGACGGATAGACAGGGTGGTTCTGGTATGCTAGAATCCATTGGCTTCAATTTGGCTGTAAGGCTTTGTGTAAAGTTCCCAGTGCTCATTATAAAGCGCAGTGGAACCAACTTCAGCATATGCATCCTCTTGTTTCTTCTAATATTGTTTTTTTTAATCACTGAAGATGCTAGAGTGGCCTAAGACAAGCGAGTATTTCTCCCTATATAAAAAAAATGATAAATATGTTATTCTTCAGTATACAGGCGAGAACTCCCTTGAGATCTTTCTTTTCCCTCTAATAAACCTTTACAAATCATTTGTTCTATATTAGCATCATAATCAGAGAGTAAGCGATGTCATAGTAAGGCCGTGAATGATGCCGAAGAGAGGAGCAGGCATTGAATTGGGAGTAGAAGAAACACACTGGCTGGCTCCCAATGGTAGAAGTTAATTGTACTCATAATTAATATATAGAAAGAAACCTAAATGTCCCAACTTTGTACAGCATGAATTGTTCTAAAGTTGGGATAGTTTTAAGATTTTGCACATAGTGCCTTCACTATTGATTAATAAATATTTCCAGAGAAATGTTTTCAGTTTTTAAAAAAAAGGTAGATGTGGGTGTGTATAATGAGAAGCTAACATTTGGATTTAGTTTCAATTTTGCATCAGTCAAAATCAAAATAGTGCATCCATCTACATATTACCGAATGGATGAAACTATCAAGATGAAGATCTATGAAAAATTTCAGTGGTGGAGGGCAGATTCTCGATACATTATTTGGTTCTTCTAGTTTCACTGACACCAGTATTGTTTTTGAAGTGAACAGATAATAAAGGAATTTATTTGTATGTTTTCAGATTGAGCAACTACAGAAGACCAACCAAACTCTGGATAAACAAATCCAGGACTTGTTACTAAATAAAGAAGATGTAACCCGTCAGGTGAAGAATTTAACAAATGAGAATCAGGATCTGTACAAGGAAGTTAATGAGATAGATCGATTAGCTGATCAGCTTGAAAAGGATAAGGTATTAGCACTGGCTATTGCCGGTAAACAGATAAGGGCAGCTGAGGTGGGTTACAATGTAGGATTTTAATAACTTTGCCATAGATTTTATAGTAGTTTGAGTTTTAATCTGTTGATTGCAAAAAAAAGAGCAAATATTAGTGTACTTTAGAAAGAACAACAACAAAATTACATTTGTATAGCATCTTTCCTGTCAGGAGGACGTTCCAAGGCGCTGGACAATCAGTTTCGGACCCAAAGCTGGGGGTCGGATGAGGATTTGGGTGATAGATTCGCGCAACCTGGTGCTGGAGAGGACATGGGTTGGATTGGACTGGACAAAGACTGGACTGATCAAGGACTTGGATGTATGGGTTGAAGTTGAGCTGGGAATCAAGCACGATGTTGAGGTTATAAACTGGTGCAGTTATCTTGAGTAGTAGACAAGGAGATTGATAGCGTTGCAGTTAGCGACAAGAAGGCACTTGCAGGAGGGGAGTAAGATGACTTTGTTGACAAATTTTGCAGGAATTTGAGGCTCATTCAGGACTTAATGTCTGACACATGGTAGCATAATTTCTCAAATATTCAGGCCTTAGATTCTGCCTGCTCATTTTGTCTTAAACAATAATGATAATCTTTACATCCTTACTGAAGGAGGTAATAGAAAAACATCTAGAAACGGAAAACATAACAAAGAATAGTTAGCACGGATTTCAAAAAGGAAGGTCATGCTTGACTAACCTCATTGAATTCTTTGAAGGCATAACAGAAAGAGTGGACAAGGGTAATGTGGGTATATATTTAGATTTCCAAAAGTCGTTTGATAACATAATAGGCTAATGAATAAGGTCAGAGCATGTGGAGTCAGGGGGAAAATAGCAGAATGGATAGCAAGCTGGCAAAACAGAGTAGGGGTAAAGGGTAGCAACTCAGACTGGAGAGGGTGGGAAGTGATGTTCCACAAGGATCGGTATTGGGACCACTGTTGTTCACAATATACACTAATGATTTAATTAATGATTTGGACTCGGGAATCAGCTGTACAATTTCAAAATTTGTAGGAGGACTGCAACAAATTACAGGGTCACTAATAAACTTGCTGAATGGGTATTTAAGCAGTTTTAGGGGGAGGTCAGGTAGGTGGAGGAGGTGAGAGCCATGATAATTTAGACGTTGACAAGGAGGACAAGGAGACAGAGGGAGCCCTAGTCACAGATAGAGAGGATGTCATTTGTGACGTTCACAAGCGCAGTCGCTGTACTGCGAGCGGAAACCGGACTGGAGGGGCTTGAAGAGGGAATGGGAGAAGAGGTGTGCGCGGAGTTGATTTGCAACAACTCGTTCTAGGACTTTTTCATGCTGGGAGACGTCTCAAAGTACTTCACGGCATTTACTGTAAAATGCAGTAACTATTTTGTAGCTGAAAAGCAGCCGCTAATTTACGTACAGCAATTGTCAACTGGTGTGCATAATCAGCCAGTGTACAATCTTAGATTTCATAGATTCATAGAATGTTATGGCACAGAAGGAGGCCATTCGGCCCATCAAGTCTGTGCGGCTCTTTGACAGAACGTCACTTTCACTACCCCACTCACCAGCTTTCTCTCCATAACCCTGCAAACCCGTCTTCCCCAGATACCTGTCCAGTTCTCTCTTAAAATCTTGGTGTTCTACTTTGGCGGTTTATGGGGCAGAGAGCTCTTAAATGATTTTTTTTGGAGCCCTGCAAAAATTATTCTTAACCCTGGAGTGAGGGGGATTGTGTTGGGAGTTTGATGGGGCTGAGTTTGTACGAAATTAAAGAATTGTGAAGCAGTGTTTGATGCACTAATTTGTAGACACTGCTCCACACATCATTGACTTTGTTTACATAGAGCATTGGGAAGAGAAGCATACTTGTTACAATCTTAAAATTGCTTGTCACAATTTACACAGGCATGTAGGGACTTGAGTACTTGCTTTACTATTGAAGATGAATTTGGCTTATGCATATTGAAACAAATGCGAGAGGAAGAATGATACATATTTGTACGTATTTATTGGTTCTGAGATGCAACCCCTTGTGAAGGGCAAGTTGTTGTCAATCTCCCCTTTAAACATACAAATAATCATTTATAACCTTCTGGGAAAGTGCAATCCCTATTCTCACAACCCTTTGTGTGAACAACAACAAAATTATATTTGTATAGCGTCTTCCAAGGCGGGAGGATGTCCTAAGAAGAAATGTTTTCTGATCTCAGCTCCGACTTAGTTCTAATTTGAAGACTATTTCCCCTTATTTATGCCTCTCTCTACCCGATTAGAAAATTGTTACCTATTTAGCTAAAAATAAACGTAAATTAATATTTTTCCTTGTTTCCTCACCACTGTGCTTTCTTGAGCTGTGATGGAGGGATTTTTCCGGGGTAAGTATGCTTCAGGATCAACTGGAAAGAGACACATTTCAAGTGGAATGAGGTGGTGAAGGTTGCACCCATACATACAGTGGAAGCCACTTAAACCGGACACTGGTTAACCCAGGATGCTGTGCAAATCATACACAATGCCCGGCCCCGATTCATTTGTATTGTCACCTTTTTTAAAATATACCAGTTAATTTGGACAAAAATACAGCAAATCCGGACAAAATGCCACGCTGCGTCTCGAGAGGCTCAATTCAGCCATGAGCAGCCCCGGGATGTAGTCAAATTGTGGTGATTGACAGGCAGATCCCAGCCATTTCCAAGCGGCTTCAGGCTGTCAAGCAGTGAGGGTGGGGGCGCGGAGGAACGGGGAAGAAACAAGGGAGGGAATGGGAGATATCAAATCCCGATTGATTGACAGGGAGCCACTTGGGAATGGCTCGAGTGCTCATGCATTCACAAGCGCCTTCAGGCTGCCAATCAACTCAGAGCTGCCACTAGTTGGTTCTGTTCCTGTCCAATGGAAATGGCAATTGGAGGGAGACGGAGCCGCCACCGCTCCCTACTGAGCAGGAAGAGGTAAAAGAACTTCAGGTAACCTTGAACACCCTTTAAGCCAGACAAACAGCTGGCTGCGATGTGTTCCGGTTTTAAACTGCTTCCACTGTATATAGTAGACATATATATTGTTTGGTTTTACATAGATGGAAGGACATCTGACAGTTGAGGATTATTTTATATTTTCCAGAATGCAGATCATTCACTTGTTAAATTCTACATAAAACAAATGTTTTTAATACCTTAAACATGCCTGCCGACGTGAAAGGCGCAATACAAATGTGATATTGTATTGTAAAAGGCAATGGTAGTTTACATAATTGCTTTTGCATCATAATGCAGGTGACATGCATCATATGCTGGTAACTGCCTGTATACTTTGTATGGTACTCAGTCACCGTGTATTAAACCTGTATTAAAATCCATGTGTCATTTACTGCAAATCACGTGGGATAAATGTGATCAATCTACAACCATTTTTAGATGTTGCTGTGTTAATGATGTATAATAATCCAATGTCTTTGTAATAGATTGAACTTGAAAGGCAAGAGAGAGACATTGCTGTTTTGGAGCACGCCATCTTAAAGCTCAGATCAGTAAGTGGTGCTGTGTAATTTTTATTGTGATTAGAAATAATTGTCAACTTTGTACTGGTGAGAAAGTTTAAATGGGCTAGTACAGGACATTTGAGCAATTGTATTTTAACAAGCTGGACATGTTTCCTACAGAAAAGTATTCTTCTGCGTTCATAAAGATCTCTGAACTTAAAAAACAACTAAGAAAAACAAAAAAACTGATAGAGCAAAATCTTCATGTGTATTATTGCTTCAAACCTGGCTTTTGACTTCTTTTGAATTGAGTTGTTTGAGGTTGAGGTTGATAGAAAATCTAAAATATACAAATTTATGCATTATTTGATTTGTTTTGATGTTTTGCTCTATTTTGGTGTAAGAAAAGGCATTTCTCCCTCTCACAGGATACAGTAAAATCCAAGAACCAACTTGAAGAAATCCGAGTGGAATTACGAGCAAAGATCGAAGGGAACAATGAGCTGAATGAGGCACTGAATCAACAAAAACATAAATTTGAGGAAATCGGTGGCACAGGTTGGCTTTAGATTTAGAAAGATTGAGATAATACAGTAATTGTAAACTATACAAAGATGAAAAAAAGATTATTCAAATGTGTATATCACATCTTCATGTACTTTATTACATTAGACTGACATAGTAATTAAGCACTCTGTCAGATATGCTAGTCCGTATGAAGTGTGCTATATAAATGCAAGTTGTTTTTGGACGTTGTGCCTGAACTTTTAGAGATTTGTTTCTTTCTGGTTTCTTGTCAATTTCTGTGAATTCTACATAAAATTACTTTTCCATCCTAATAGTTCAGTTGCTAGCTCCCCAAAAGAGAACTTACTTCTAGTTTATCTTTTACTGTTGATGATTTTGGCAAAGAACCTCATTCCAATGGCCTCTTCTGTCCTAGTAAAAAGTCTATACAATGGTGTTATACAGCACCATAAGCAGTATTTATAGTACTATTTCACTCTTTACATTACTTAAAATGTGAAAGTTTAACATGGGTCAGGAATATTACAAAACATGCTTATAAAAGGGAGGGACTAAGGCCTGTTTCACTTCCCTGGTCTTGTCCGCCCCATTGGCAGGCGGGCCTTCAACCTCTCTGCCCGACCCTCTAGAACTCCATCTCACAGTCCCTCTGCCTCGCCCCCTACCTTGCCTCCTTCAAGACCTGTCTCAAGACCCTCCTCTTCGACCATGTCTTTGGTCATCCTTGCTAGCCTCCCTGCCTCCAGCCACCCCGATGCCGACCTGTAGCTCGGGTCTAAATCCCTAACTGTCCAGCACCTTGGGACGTCCTCCTAACATGAAAAGTGCTGCACAAATGTAATTTGATATTGTATTGTATCGCGTAGAAATGAGTGTCAAGTCTCAACTCTGTTGATCGAGCAAGAGATTCCCCAAAGATTGGTAATAAACTATTAATCTCACTCAGAGGATAACTGATGCATTTGTTTAACTGATGTAGAATATAGAAATATTTGCATAAAGTGCTTTGAGTTTGGGATTAAGGCACTTTGTTTGGGAGATGTATGTATTCCTCATCTATAAATTATACTCACGCTGACATGAAGAGTGCTGGATCTAGATTTACTCTCTTTGACATTTCAGAGCTTTTGCCTTTTTAAATAGCATCTTAATTTTGAAGGTAAGTAAGTTGTTTCACGAACTACAGAACCCATCCTTCAAAGCTAAGATTGAATTCAGTAATTTGTCGAGTACTGCATGCTCTGAAATGCTAAGAAAATAGAGTAAAATCATTGGACCAGGAGGATTTTTTTCCCCAAATGCACAGCATGGAAAAGTGCTTATTTTCTCAACATTGACATTGACATCCTTTGCCTTGTTGAGCTTTAAAATTATTGAAAAAAAGTAGTTTTCAGCAGGCCACAGCTGTTCAATAAGATGCATAATTTTCCGCTTGCATGTTTATGTTGTGCTTATTTTATTTCAGAAATAGAATTAGTTTCAGAATCTGGAAGCACTGAAACTGAACAGGGTTCATGTTTGCCAGATAAGTCTCTTTTTCTTGTGAATACCTTCGTGAAGGACTTGGAACAAGAAAGAAATTTCTATAAAGCGGAGGTAGATTACTTACTAAAGATGTTGAGAAACAAAAGTTGCGGCCAAAGCAACCCCTCGAGAGGACGTAGTCCAGTGCACTCACCACCTGTAAAGGTATTTATTTGTAGCGTCTTTGATGTGACATTTTTCTTAAAAGATGTGCATAATCGCAAAATCGCTCTCAAGGGAATCTTGTTTTAAAGTGCCTTGGAATGTCCTTCTTGACCTGAAAAGTAATATATAAATGTAAATTTGTATTGTATGTTGTTGTATTGTTGGACTGCTGGACAGAGGTTTCTGAAGGAAAGGGATGCACTGCATTTGAAAGGGGTGGGTTCGTCAGAGGGAAGTCCAGCAGACCTGTTCCTGGTCTAATACAATGGTACTTCCATTTAATTGGTCACAGACACTAATGGGTGCTGAGGAAAAGTAATGATTCAGAGCATTTCATCCTGTAGGCCTAATGGAAACATTGTGTTGATTAGGGTTTGTGCAGCATTGGAAATTATGCATTGGTTTGCAGAAAATAAACTGATACAAGCAATCCCCTCTGACCGCCAGCTGAAGAAATTGCGTGGTTTGGGGAGATGGACAAGAATCTGCTGTTGTAAAGCATTCTGTTGCTAAGTTGCAATTGAGAATAGCAATTGCAATCTCTTTGCATTGTTTTGGGTCAGACGTCAGTCACTGATTGCCACGCACATCATAGGGTGCTTAGATGTTACAGTATTCAATTGATGAATTTGAAATGAGTTGAGGGGAGTGGGAGGTGGAGAGTGCTATAATTACTGAACAGTATGGTATGCAATCCGTTTTGTGTACAGTCTGGTTTGTTACAAAATGTTTGGACGGAAAAATGTTTTTTTATCAAGTTGTGACCAGTAACTTATATGTTATTAAAGTGAAAATAGAATGGAGGTGAGGCGTTGGCCAATTGAATAAAAAACGTAGAAAGTAAATTAGAACCACTGTATGGCAAATATAAGCAAATGTACATAAATGTGTATTTATGTGTTTGACACATGTGAAAACTCATGTATTCCACCTACACATGAAAATTCCAGAGACATTTATTGGAATGAAATGCACACTCTCTCCCTGGAGGGACACATCCTCTTACCTAATTTGGGAAAGTAGTGGACCCAGGTTGGCAAGAGCCAAGGATTGGGGTTCCCAGTGTGTGCCTTTGGGTACTGCTGGTGTCTAACCAGCTAAAACCACATAGCTTGCCATTGAGAGTAATGCCTGGCAAGCTTTCCTGCTGCTTGTCCAGCTAGGACCACCCTACCCATTAGGGTTTTGGTTTGCAGGGTTAACGGGAGCTGCATGGTGACTGGTTTGTCCTTCCAAGTCGTGGAATACAAACTGATACCTTAAATCCACCATCTGATTTTCATTATATTCAGTTTTCCACACATTTTCACATTTATCAAATGTTTGTCTTATTTAATTCTTTACTTTTTAACTTACTTAAAATATAAATTGTTTTCTGATTTACAAGATTGATCTTGGCATGATATAATAATTATCAACCTTGTGAACATGACTGTTCAGAGCTCATAGACTGTTCAGCCTCCTGATCATACAGGATTATGTGTGTTCTAAGTTTGGAAAAGTGGTCTTTGCTTTGAGTGCTGCACTCACTGGCTCAAATCTTTTCAAACACATTCTTGTGAACATGTCTTGTATAAAATGTGTGCATTTCCTGAAAAAAGGTGAAAACAAATAGACTGCAAAGTCTGCCTGTCTCAGTTAGGTCAAAATAGTCTAAGACCCTACAGATAAATACTTTTCACCATTACAAAATATAATAGTCTACATGCTATAGTATTTGTATTGGTTTGCGCCATTTTTGAATTGTTTTTATGTAGTAATGCTTTCTTTATACAGGTAGTGTTCATGTTTCTAATGTATTTAAGGTGGACTCAATCTTACAATATATTTTGATATTAGGGAGGAAGTTATGAGTCTGAGCTAATATGCATCATCAAGGAGCGCGATGATCTTCAAAACATGTTAAATAAATATGAAAGGCACATGGCAGAAATCCAGTCAAATGTCAAAGTATTAACTGCAGAGAGAGACCAAAACAAACTGTTTTTTGAACAGGTAAGGTTTTGTTAGTAACTTTTGTTAACCAACTGTCCAACGCCTTGGGACGTCCTCCCGACGTGAAAGGCGCTCTATAAATGAAATCTTGTTGTTGTTGTTAGATATTTTGTTTATGGATGCATTATAACTTTGTTTTTAATGTTCACTTTTATGCCCAGAATTAAATAATAATAATAATCCTTGCATTTGATCTAGTGCCTTGTCACGTCTTTGAGACGTCTCAAAGCACTTCACAGAGTATACTGTAAAGTGAATTGACTATATTTTGTGGTCAAAATGCGGCAGCCAGTTGCGCACAGCAGTGTCCCACAAACAGTCGTGGATTGAAGTGACCAATTTATTTTTTTAAGGAATTATTACCCCCGGAAAAGCGATCTGCCGAACGACTAACTCTTTTAACTGGATCCCTCATATAAATATCCGGTTTCCTCCTAAATACATTGATGCTTTTTGTTTCAATTAATTTGGCTGTGTTCTTTTTTTGTTGTTAAATATACAAACTAAAACTAATCTAGGCCCAGGAAGAGCTTGATAGACTACACAGAGATGGTGTCAAGGCCCCGAGGTGTCCAAAAAACAGTCTAACAGCGCAAGATATTCTTCGGCGTTTGGAATGTGAGCGGGATGAAGCTGCCGCAGACCTAAGAAGAATGATTACAGAACGTGACAGTCTAAGGGAACGATTAAAGGTGATGGAAAGTGCTCATTTGTTTTGAGAACCAATTCTATTCAGCTAGAAACTAATTAATATAGAATTTGTACAAAGTAATTAATTCTCCTGTATGTTCAGAATACAGTAAAACTCGCATAAGTCATCTTTACAAATTGTATAATATTTCCAGAGTCAGATATTCATTCCAGTCCAATTCAGTTTTCTATGAAAACCACTTAGATTTCTTTGCCCTACTCGTATTAATTACCTCCCAACTTATAATGCCGCTCCCCTACCCTCCATTACTCCTGCATTTACTGACTGTATTGAATCGCGGGAAATGACATTCTTAGCGGGATCATGACACCGTCGATACATGCACTTGTACTGGTGCCAGCTGCATTGAATCGTGAGAATCTTAGTCTTGATCTATTGACGCATGCTCAGAAGAACTTAATTTGCCCCGATTCCAATGCTTTCTAGTAAACGCACATGCAGTGATGGGTCAAGACACATTGAATTACAGGAAGCATAGTCTTGATCTGTCACCACATGCACACTTACTGGCTGCATTGAACTATGCATGTGCAGGGTAGATTATTGATGAAATCGGATTTCACCTACAAAGCCCTCCATGGCCTCACTCCACCCTACCTCTGCGACCTCTTAACCCCCTACCAACCTACCTGCTCCCTCCGCTCAGCCGGCTCCGGCCTGCTCCACATTCCCCCACCCACCCGCCCCACCATTGGTGGGAGAGCCTTCAGCCGCTCTGCTCCCAACCTCTGGAATTCCATCCCCCTCCCTAGCCTCCTTCAAGTCCCGCCTCAAGATCCCCCTCTTCGACCATGCCATCGGTCACCTCCCTTCTCCCTCCCTCACCCTAGCTCCGGTCTGAAATGCTGTACACTGTCCAGAGCCTTGGATGCTCTTCTGACGTGACTATACAAATGTATCTTGTTGTTGTTTATACAATTTATGCAGTTTGCCTGTAACTCGGACTTTGAGTAAATCATATTAATTGATAAGACTTATTTGAATATTACTGTGTTATTCTTGTACAGCTGCATGTTTTTTCGTGAATGCTGATTTGGCACTTTTAAGCTATGTGTTTGAACATGGGAATGTGCGGGACTGCAAAAGACTATTGCAGTCTATCTGTCCAGTCTCAAGGTTAAAGCATCATTGCATTACTCCATATCTTATATCACTCGATCAGTGTCTTCCCCGATTAGCTATTGCATTCACTTTTGAATTTGCAGCATAATTTGCTTTCACTGCCTCCCTGGGAAGGTGACAACCTAATTCAGCTGGTAGGACAAATTGCTGGTAACAAATTGCTGAATAAAAATGTACCTTGAGCTTCTGGTTCACAGTCACCTATGCTGTATCACATTCCCACTAAACCTCCAGTTTGTTTTCCCAACATTTTTTTCAACAAGCATCATAGTTCTTTCTACATTAGAGTCTGATGTGGATAAGTGGACATGTAAATAGTTTGCATACAGATGCACTTAATTGTGGTTCTATGAAGTGAGACATGAATGTGTGTAAGGAGCAAATGATTCATAGTTCTGTGCATGGTCAAGTGGAATACTGCCAATAAATGGCAACAAAGGTAATAAGTAGAGTTTTATTTTTAAGGTATGGAGTAAGAAAAAAAAATCATATGCACTTTAATAATAATTAATTGTCACAGTTTTGTTCTATTAGATTTCCCAAGAGGCAGCAATTAACGAGAGAGCGCATCTGGAGCAGAGAATAGAAGATCTGAAGTCCTCATTGCATTCAGTAATGTTGATTTAATTATTTCTATAATCAGATTTGAATTTGAAGTGAAGATTATTCACCCAAGGCTGAAATTCAGAACTCTAAATTACTTACATCAACTGCATACGGGTAGATTGTTTCTGCCATTTCAAACTGTTAAGTTGAGTCCTGTAGTTTAGTGGTCAGAGCTATCGCTTCACAAGCAAGAGACCTGGATTCAATTCCTGGCAGGGCGAAATGTTGGGCAAGTTTCCTTACTCCACACGCCGCTGTTTACCTAGTAGTAAGTAGGAACCAGATTGTTAGTTGATTGTCGGATCGCTTTTCTGGGGGTAATAATTCCTTAAAAAAAAATGGTCACTTCAATCACGACTGTTTGTGGGCCACTGCTGTGTTGGCTGCCGGGTTTTGCCCACAAAATATACAGTCAATTCACTTTACAGTATATTCGGTGAAGCACTTTGGGACGTCTCAAAGATGTGATAAGGCACTATATCAAATTATTAAGTGTAGGCATTTATATGAACACTATGATTGTTTTCTGAATAAATGGTGAACTACACTTTGTAAATGACTTAACACCTTCAGTCGTATTTGATTGGGGTTATTTAGTTGGGACGCAGATGAGAAGAGATCACAATAATATTTCCATTTCTTATTCAATTGACATAATTTACTGACAAACGTCAACGGTTATGTGCCCCAAATTGGTTGCTAATAGGTTGTGTGGACACAGCTTTATGGTGTTGCATTTTCTTGGAATCCCTGAAAATCATAATTATTTTCACACTGAAATGTATTGGAGAAATAGGGAGGTCCAAGAGCGTGAGGGGTTAGGGTTTGCAACGCCTTGGGATGTCCACCCGACGTGAAAGGCACTTTTATAAATGTAATTTTGTCGTCGTTATAGGTGAAGGTGAGAACCTTGAAATTGATATGCTGTGAGGGAGCAAAGGGAGCTTACTGAAGCCTGGGTGGTGGGCGGATGGAGTTTAGTGCAGTGAGGTGCAGGTGGTAGAGTTTTCTATAAGTTGAAGTTCATGAATGGTGGAACTAGTGGGGAGGGTGTTAGAAAATTCCAGCCAGGAGATGACAAAGGTGTGGATAAGGGTTTTGGCGACATTTGGACTAAGTGAGGAGCAGAGGTGGGTCATGTGGCGGTGGTGGAGAAAAGCAGTGCTGGGTTAGAGACCAGATGTGAGGGAGAGAGCAGAGCTGAGGATCGAACCGTTTGCCAAGGTGGTGCATTGGTTCAGTGAGTCTGGGAAGGTTAAGGAAGTCAGAGCCAGAAGTGAGGAGCCTGTTTAGTTGCAGGATGTTTGGGCTCATCAGGCCTTGATGTCTGACAGCCAAGCGGATGGAACATCAGTGGGCCTGGAGGATAGAGTGGTTGGTATTCCCTAGGTGACTGCCAAGACGGGAAGAGAAACCCATTGGAGGAGACAAAAGTTGGAGTCAGTGGGTCAGGTAGAATTGGAACTAGGTGAGAGTGGTCCCACGGACATGGTGATGGAGGTGAGGGATCAAGGAGGATGGCGTGGTTTAAATCCCAGTCTATGTTGCTATCTGATCTCACCCAGGGAAGCAGTTTGGGTCCCAGTGGCCCGAGAATTGGAGAGGCTGAAATCAACCCTGTTGAAAGGTTTGTGTGTCTGGATGATGATTGACAGAATCATGTTCAGCGTTGATGGTCGAATGACCTGCTGACGTTCCCTGTCTAGGCTCACAAATGCATAATAATATCTTGGGTGAGATACCAGAGGGCAACTAATACCTGTGGAATTGTAACCCTAGAAAAAAATGTCAGAAAAGGGAGTCAAAAGCCTTCAGGAGAAAAAGATGTGAGAGGAGTGGTAGGATTAAAAAAAACTGAGGGAACACAATACTTACTCATTGCAAGCCCTCTCTCTTCTGTCTGAATTATTTGAAACCTTGAGCTCTTGAAATCTCAACTCAAATATTTTATGCCCTACTTCTATCCCCACATTTCAACCACATCATGCCAACTGTTTAGGTTCAGTCTAATGTCACTTTGTTACTAGATTCTTTTATTTTGCTTTCAGTTGGAAAGTGAAAGGTTAGAACATCGATCGAGGCTGACTTGTCTGAAAGACAGTGTGACTTCCCTTGAGGAAGAGGTCAAAATATTGGCTAGAAAGTCGGCTGACACTGAAGATGAACTATGCAGACAGAGATCGGAAAACAATCAAATCAGGTAAAATAGCCTTTTGTATTTGAAAATTGGCTGGGCAACTGGACTATTCTAAATCTAAAGCTTTAAAACTGTCTACTATGACACGGAATTTTACTTTAGAGCGTACTTTAGTTATTGTGAAGAAAGCCACACTGTAATTGTAAAGGCACTAAAGTAGTGTGAAGGTTAACTGTGCACAAGACAAATCTTGTACCTAGGAGGATTGTTGTTGAACTGTATTTTCAACAGTGAAATGTAGCCTGAACTGGAATAGAAAGGCAGTTCTTCATTTATTCTACTTGGCTAACATAGCCAAGTCCAAGAGGATCTTAGGCTCAGAAAAAGTCAAATAATCTTACTTTCTTGTAAGAAGGTTCTATGAACACCCCTCTAATAACCAGAAATTCTATCTTAACATTGATAGATTTAATTTTGGAATTTGGAATGAAATAAAGCAGGCCATTTTAAAATACTTTTGAAATTACTTAGGATTTTTTGTGTTGTAAACATTTCCATGTTACCACTGCTAAAATTTTAATTGGCCTCATTAACAGATGGGGTTCAGACCACCTTTAGTTACTGTGTATGTTCTGTAGACTGTTGTAGACTTGTTTTAAGTCCCCTGCTGATTTATGTCTAGTGGTATATGCTGGGATAAGAATGTTAAATATGCTCTAGGTAGAAGAGGCCAACATGCTGGATAGGACAGCAGTTCTGATAGGGAAAATATTGTTTTGAGTAAAACTTTCATTTGCAGCTTTTCTGTTTTCCCCCACAAACATCTTAGTGTTAGACAAAGGTCGCTTTTATGTGCAGATGTTTGTCTTCCCAGCATCTTTTTGCAAAAATATCTTGGCATATTTCTTTACTGACCTTGAGAAGAGGTGGGTCTGGAGGAGTCATGTCTAACATGCCTGGCTAATGATAAGAAAGTTTCTGGACTCGAGAAATTAAACGTGACACTTGGACTATGATACTTCAGATTTACTAGTCCTTAATAATTCAGGATGATATTACTCTTTCATCAAACTCACAAAACATTTGAATTCTGCGGGTTACCATGGAGTTTGGTATTTTATACCCAGTGCTTCAGTGATTAGAGTTGGGGCTTCTCGAGTCGGGAGGACAAAACCAATATCCTGTTTATATTAACAAATTTAAAATTTGAATTCTCAAAATAACTAAAATACTTCATGGACACAAGCATATGTTTCGACAACACCCCAAAGCCTTAAATTAAGTCGGAGTCGTAAGACATAAAATGCTGGCACTTACAGTTTGAGCAGAGGAGCGAGCTGTCCCACCTGTTTGTTACAAGCCCCTCCAAGGTCCAACTCTCCTGCCTGCTCAAACGTCTAGTGTTTTATCCCCTTGTGAGTGTACTGTCACACTCACACAATACACATTCTTACAGATATTAAGTTTTTGTGTAAATCAGACCTCCTTCAGGCAACAACAACATCCTTAAACAGTTCCTGCTACCTGTGGGGTTTAAATGACTGAAACTACGCCTTGCAAACACAAAGGCAATATTCTAATACTCTTCATTCAAACGAGTATGCAGCTTCCCTAGTCATGACACCACCACGACCACATAGGAGACCACTTCACTTACGAGGATCCTATCTGCTGCTTCCCCCCATCCACAAGATAGCTATCAGCAGTGCGATTTATCCATGGTCACTAATTGTAGTTAACAGCTGGGCTCAGCTATCAAACAAGGATTTATACCTTCACTCAAATGGTCTAGTCCTAAACTTGTACTAACTAGGCTAACCTACTTGTTCACTAAAGTATAGCTAGCAGAAAGATTGTGTATGTTTGCTTGGGATTTATCTTTTGTGTAAATCATTGAAAAGGAAATTTTTATTCAAAAGAGCAGAAGTTCCAGTTAACTTTACTTTTGTTATATCTTAAATGAGAAATTCGAGATTAATTTGCCACTAAAATTAATTGGATCCATTTCAGCAACAGCATTCTGAAATTATTAAATTTCCAGTAATGGGAATGCTGCTGCCTACTTATAAGTGAAGTATTGTCTTAGTGCTGTTGATTGCTACCCTTGCATAGACATCATTGGTTTTTCAAGAGAGATGGAAGGCATACTTTAATACGCCTTCCATCCCTCGTCTCGCAAGCGAGAAGACCTGGGTTCGATTCCCAGGCAGGGCGAAACGTTAGGCAAGTTTCCTTACTCCACGTGCCCTTGTTCAGTGCCTTGGGATGTCCTCCCAATGTGAAAGGCGCTTTACAAATGTAATTTTGTTGTTGTTGTTTACGTAGCAGTAAGTAGGAACCCACTTGTTAGTCGATTGGTGGATCGCTTTTCTGGGGATAATAATTCCTTCAAAAAAATAATAATAATAAATTGGTCTCTAATTTACACGGCTGTTTGTGGGACACTGCTATGCACAATTGGCTGCCACGTTTCGCCCACAAAATATACAGTCAATTTGCTCTACAATATATTCTATGAAGCGCTTTGAGATGCCTCGAAGACATGATAAGGCGTTATAATAAATGCAAGTATTATTAATATTTGAAACATTACAAAAATGTTGTAACTACATTTAAACTCTTTATAAATAATGACAGTGATTCTAAAATCATTATCAGTGTGATCATCATTACAGGTTACTAATGGACCAAACAGAAGATACTCTTGGTGAAACCCAGCGTCGCTTATCATTAAAATGCACTGATCTGCAACTTGCACAGGATAAAAATGCTCGACTCTGTGAAAAGAATGGTAAGACTAACTTTTTCACAAAGCTGAATAAAGATCATTGAATGCCTAAGATTTCAAATCATAAATCATAAAATTTGTCTCTTTTTAATATAAACCATCATATCCAATTTAAGTCATTTTCCAGGAGAATATTTTTGTTCTATATACTGTAGCCAAGGAAAGTTAGTTTGAGAGATGCCTTTCCCTTTTTAAAGGATTTTTCATGTGATCCAGGTCCTCTTCCCATATGTCCTATAAAAATCCTATTTTTTTATCATCTTTTCAATTCCAGGCAGGGCAAAACCTTGGGCAAGTTTCCTTACTCCACATGCCTAATAATCCTCCAAAAACAAAAAACAATAATAAATTGGTCATTTTCAATCCATGACTGTTTGTGGGACACTGCTGTGCGCAATTGATTGCCACGTTTCGCCCACAAGTATACGGTCAATTCACTTGACAGTCTATTCTGTGAAGCGCTTTGAGACGCCGAGGAGGCGTGAAAAGCGCTATATCAAATGCAAGGATTATTATTATTATATCCTGTGAAGCGCTTTGGAACGTCCTCCCAATGTGAAAGGTGTTATTACCACATTTAAGTATTATTTTTTACCTTTGCTATAAGAATAAATGGTGTAATTGCCACTATTTTGAGGCATTTTGGCTGAGAAGTCAGTTCCTTCTGCGCTGACTGGCTGGCTTCAAACGCATAGCGTACAGGCACAGAAGGTCTGGCATTAGCTGCGAGAGCGGTTATCAGCTTCCTGAGTTGATGACTACCCTGTATGAGGGGTGCCATATAAATGCAAATTGTTGTTGAGGGTTTGGCGTTATCCTCAGGGATCTGATGTTAAAGATGTTCTTGCTGGCAGGTGCTCTACTCCTGCAATAATAAGGCAGGGTATGAATTTATGGAGCCAAATCATCACATTAGAGGAGCAGTAGGACGCCCCACAATATGAAATAAATGTCCAGATGAGCTTACACATACATCCAGTAATCTTTCATGTTTGATAATTGATTCTAGCATAATTTTATATTATTGTAATTATTCAGTACTAAGATCTGAAGTATTATTCCTAACAGATGAATTGAACAGACAGATTGCTTGTCATCAAGAAGAATTAAACTCAATTCGATCCGATGCTTATGACTTTGATAAACAGAAGAACTGTCTGCAAGAGCTTGTGGATGAAAAGACCGAGACAATCACCTCCTTAGAAGAAAGCCTCCACCAGAAAGTTAGTGCTTGTAAAATGCTCAAATTGGCACCTAAAGCCTAAGTATAGCTTTACTCCTTCCTATTCGCCCTCCCCTCTTAAAAGTATTCGGAAGACCTACATGGGCAGAACTCTGTGAAAGTTTCTGATGCTGTGGACTTATTAGAAGATAAGATTTCATTATAGCTTCAACAAAGTGTGGAACCCAGATGCAGAGGCTGTTTTGACAGTCTGACTGCCTTTTCTTGTTTCCTTCCAATCCCAATCAGTAGGAGGCAGGATGTGCCAGCAAACATACCCTTCTAGTAGCTCCCAAGCCAGACTTGACTGAGCTGGAATGATTAGAAGATGAAAAGCAGAATGTAGGGTTTATATGTGGGATGCCTTCCAGGCAGATATTATCTGGCAAGTTGCTGATTATATTTTGTGCTCCTCAATGTGAAGAATGCAAAGAAACAACATTTTTTTTACAGTATGTGCAAGACATTACAATATCTCTTTGGTTCAATACAATTATGCATGTTAGGCGGAAGATTTACACTGTTTGAACAAAATGCTTTAATGCAAACTCAGAACAATACCCCTTACAATATACACTGAACTATATTAAAATCAGGTCCTTCATATCAGCTTCTTATCCTTTTAGGAATAACCATCCTATTGCCTTCCTATTAATAGCAACAAGCTGTTGTCTGTTTCTTTCTGGCAATACTGTGTCTTTTCTGTTAAATTGGTATCCTGTCCAATCTGCTGTGAAGGAATATCTAGATGGTGGGCTTTATAACCCGTGTCTGGAATATAAGAGCAAGGAGGTACTGCTCTATTCATAAAGACCACTGGACAGACTTCATTTAGAGTACTGTGTTAAATTTTGGCTGCCCAATTTAGGTAGCCTTGGAATGTGTTCATCAGCCATTTACTAATTAATGCTACGGATAAAGCCATAGAGGTTAGATAGGATTTGGTTACATTTCTTTGAGGTGAGGCAGTTAAGTAGCTATCCGATTGAAGTGGTTAAGATATTGAAAAGAATTGACTAGCTAGATAGTGTTTGACATACACCTCTGGTAGGTGGATCAAAAACAAGAGGACATAACCTTGCATTTTGAGCTATGCTGGTAAACAAATGAGATAAGAAAACCTTTCTGCACACAGAAGGTAATGAAAATGTGGAATGTTTTAACTCAAAAGGCATTACAGTCAGAATCAATTGAGTTGTTTTAAAAGGCAAATAGATAAATGCTTGGGAAGTAAGCATATTGAGGTATGGAGAAATGGGATTTAAAGATCTGCCATGATCGAATAAACTTCCATACAGGATCAATGAGTTGAATGGCTCCTATGTATATCAAGTTCTCACTTCGTCATTTCTTAATTTAAGTACAATCCAAGTTTGTGTATGTCTTATTGATTTCTATTTTTCTCCTAAAGAAGAAAATCATCATTGATCATGAAATAAACCTAAATGAATTAGAGTCAACTGTAGAGTAAGTACACCTTTGACAGGATTCTGTGATACCTGAAAATGTTCTCTTAATTTTATTAGGTCAAAATGTGAAATTGTATGCTTGTGATGTTAATTAATGTCTGATGTTGCACATATGCATTTATTTCAATGCATGTTTCTGGAAGAAGATGAGATTTAAAAGATAATTTAAATAAATTTAAATAGATAGTTTAATAATTTCCAAATGGCTTAGGTTATTGTCAAGGTTGTTTGTTTCCTGGCTCTAGGTATATATGGTGCGTGCATTGCTTTAAGCCAATTTGATTATATTTATTTACATGACCAAAATATTGTGCCTATTTTGCTATTGACTGCATGGTTGCTTATTTTTTCCTTGACTGTTGCTTAAATAATATTATAATTGGTGCTCACACCTCAGTATTCACTGCCTTCATTCAGCTGGCTGAGGTTTTCTGCATGTCGCTTGTCCCCTGCGCATTACAATTGGCTCAATGGAGTCCTGTAGCTCAGTGGTTAGAGCACTCGCTTTGCAAGCGAGAGACCTGAGTTCAATTCCAGGCAGAGGGCGAAACCTTGGGCAAGTTTCCTTACTCCACACAGAGCCTAATAATAATCCCTCCAAAAACCAAAAACAATAATTAAATCAGTCATTTTCAATCTACGACTGTTTGTGGGACATTGCTGTGCGCAATTGGCTGCCGCGTTCGCCCACAAATATACAGTCAATTCACTTTACAGTGTGTTCTGTGAAGCGCTTTGGGACGTCCTCCTGACGTGAAAAGCGCTATATCAAATGCAAGGATTATTATTATTATTATTATTAATTGGGGGCTGTATTTAGTCTTCAATCTCTGGAACTCACTGCCTCCATCCCTCTCCGCCCCCTCCATGCCCATCTTCAAATCACACCTGAACACTTTCCTTTTCGACTGAGCCTTCAGTCACCTCCCCTCCCTTTCCAGGTCAGCGTCAAGCAGTGCCGTTGTTAAATGCTCTGAGACGTGACCTGTTTGAAAAGAGCTATAAAAATACAAGTTGTTGTTGTGTCAGCGTCTCTTCTGTCAAAATTGTATCTGCTTGACTATTCTAGGCAACTAAATATAAAGTCCCTGAGCTAGATTGCCACCTTTGACTCAAACTGGATATTGTATACTACATTCACCTGTGTAGATATAACTGGTGAAGTTGCAAATAACCAGGGATTCAGATAGAGTTAGTCAAATGTCAAATGTGGAGAAGTGGCAATTGACAAGGTTGGAAAGAAGAATGGATAGAAAGCTAAATGGTGTTAGTCGGTAGGATATACTACAGAAGAAGGATTTTATGTGACTCATGGATAGATTGTTGAAAACATCAGCACATTGTGCGATAACAACAACAACAAGATTCCATTTATAGAGCACCTTTCACGTCGGGAGGACGTCCCAATGAAGAAAGGGAATACTCTTGAAAGGTATAGCAAAAGGGATAGTGTAAATCACGCACCCAACCTGAATTTGTACACAGCGCTATTCTGATCCCAAAGCAATGTTTATAAACACCCCAAATTGAATACAATACAAATTTACATTTATATTGCACCTTTCATGTTGGTAATTTCAGCTACTTAACACTTGGAGAAGAGAGTGGCTGGACTGATACTGTTTGAAGAGGTTGTCAAGATAGGGTGGCTGAGATTGTGGAGGGATTCAAAGGTGAGGGCCAGAATATGGAACTCAATCCCCTAAGGAATGGGAAGTCAGTGGAACCAGGCAAGGATGGGGGTGATAAGCATGCAGAACCTGAATTATAGGGAATCCCAAAGGCAAAACAGAAATGCCAAACCTTCTAAAATCACAGTTGTTTAGATCTGACCTCCTTTGCTCTGCAGAGCCATTTCTTAAATTAAGCTGATTGGTTGTTCCAAATACTAAATGTGCCTGAAAATACCTCACATATTCAATGATTCTCATTTAAATTGAAACCCAAATAATTTATTGGATATAAACCACAAACTCAGAAAAGGGAAGTTGTTGTTGTAGAAAAGGGAAAGGTATCAAACTACACAGAGAATAGTGAATATATGGGACAGACTACCCAGAGATACATGTTGGCAGATTCAATAGTTTGGTACAAAAGACAATTGAAATCTGAGAGGACAGTATGGTATTTTTGATGTTTGGGATCAATAAGATGAAGCACAATCTCCTTCAGTGCTGTTCATTTGTATGATCCTATACATACAATCACAGGTGTTCAAATCCGACCTCTGATCTTGTAAAAGGTTGTCATTTAAGCAATCTGACTGTTGCAAGGACATGTGTAGCTTTTTCTATAAAAATGCATTTGGGATTGTACTGTAGTTTAAATTGCATTGGGAGTGAAAATACTAATTAATCTGTCTTCAAATGTTGATGTACATTTTGTACTGGTGATCTGTTTGGTTCTATAGATTTAGTGTTTTGGGTAAGAGGGAACCCATTTATTGTTTTGGGTAAGAGGGATCCATCTATAATTGCAATGTATGTAAATGAATTTTAGTTAATTTGAGACTGAACTAACGTATTTGTTTGTTTTAACATCTCAGACAATTGAATGAAACTGTGAACAGTAAAGACAATGAAATTTGCAATCTCAAGCGTCAGTGTGATGCCTTGAATAGTGAAATTGCTGAAATGAGTCGATTACGAGACTCAACATGTCGGGAAAGTAACCATCTACACGAACAGTTATCAAAAATAAAATATGACTCGCAGGTAAGTGAAAAAAACAATTATTGTTCTGTATCTTACAGACGGATTTTAGTTTGTTAGCTTGACTTAGTAGATAGCACTTTAACTTCAAGGTCCAAAGGTTGTGGGATCAAGCCTGTTGCCAGGAGTTGAGCACATTGTCGAGGGGGCTAACAGTCATCCGGTGCAGTACTGGCAGTGTTGTAGGATGAGACATTAAAGTGAGGTCCCAAGTATCTGTTCAGGTAGACAAACGTCCCACATCACTATTGAAATTCCCTTCTCTTTTGAACATTTTTGCCAGTGTGCTGGCCTACGTTCTTCTAGATTAATTGATTGTGCTATCTTGCCAACTCAAATAGTTGCTGATAAGCTTGTGAAGAGGTTTCATCGTGTTATAAAAATGCAAGTTCTTTAAGGAAGGGGGAAGGAGCGAAGCTGGAAAGCAACAACTTGCTTCCAGGACCTTGGAGAGTAAAGGGAGGTTGGAAATGGGGTGGTAGTTTGAGAGTAGAGGTGGGTCCAGAGAGGGTTTTTTAAAGATAGGAGTGATGATGGCGTTTTTTAGTGGGGTGGAAACAGTACCAGTGGACAGGGAGAGATTTATAATGTCTGTGAGTAGAGGGGCAGAGAGATGGAGCTGGGAGGTAAGGAGAGATGTAGGGATGGGGTCGAGGTTGGTTTCATGTGGGTTATAGTGGTGGTGAGAGAGGAGACAACAACAACTCGAACGTGTGGAGGGAGGGATGGGTACGGGGAGGGGAGATGGGGAGGATATAGTAGACGGAATGGCGAGGCAGCTGAGCAGATCCCCTCGACTTTGAATTTCAGGAAGTCCAGCATCGCCTCGCAGTTGGCATTTGAAGCGGGAGAGGGTAGGTGGAGGAGCCGGTTGGTGATGGCCTGAATTATTCTTTTTGTATCATGTTTTTTTTGTCCTTTTTATATATCTCTTTCCATCATTTCACAATCTGTTAATGACATGCTAGCTGTTTCTGTTCTATATAAAAATGGTTTCATGTTGATAATTCATAAACTTGCCATCCATAATGTTAATTATCTCCAATCTAATCATTTAATTTCTAATGAAGGTTTAAATTAACCTTTTTTTGAGATGTTCCTGTTTTACCTGTTAAGAGTTTTCTACTTTTATTTCAGATTTCCACGATCGGTTTTCTTTATGTAGGGGACTGATTGGGGCTGGGAATATGGGAAACAACAAGCTCAAATTTAGAGCAGCAGCTAAATTTAGATGACTTGGAGAAGCCATCTGGTAGATGTTGTGTTAGGTGGGGATTTAGTAGAATTTGGTTTTCCCCTGAATAAATGGATGTTTGGGCCAGTACCTACAGGAGCCGGTGTAGAGTTTATGTTATGTGCCACTGCTCCCGAAGTAACACCTGTTTCCTTATGTTGACTTTTCCCAGGGAACCTGGAGAACTATTTCATTAAAGTAATGTATTGTAGAAGGTTTTAAGGTGATTTAAACCTGTCCAGCCAAACGATTAACACGCTTAAAAATCTTACAATTTTTTCAGATCTTTGGCGGAACCTTTGCAACAAGTGTTTTTCTGTTCTGTATTTTGTTTTAGGGAGCAAACCGAAAACTAGAAGAATCTACGCAGGAGATTAAGGAGTTGAAAATAAAGGTACAGGATTACATCACTGAGGTCTCCAAGGTAGAGAATTTGCTTAATGCCAAGGTGAGTAGCACAAAACGGGCTGGTCAATTATGATATTTTGGTGGTTCACACAGTATGTTTGGATTAAGAAGGTCTTTTTTCCATTTGGTCTCCTCTAAATATTCACTATACGATCCAATTACAACATCAAGCTTTTTGTTAAATGAGCCCTCACCCATCCTTCCTGGTAAAGATAATCCTGAATTTAATTAATCCTTGCATTTGATATAGCGCCTTATCACATCTCCGAGTCGTCTCAAAGCCCATCACTGAAGATACTGTAAATTGAATTGACTAGATTTTGTGGGCAAAATTCTAGGATTTTGGTAACCTGTTGCAGGCATTAAGTACCCTCCCTGAAAAGAAATACTTCCTTGTGAAATTGCACGTTGCAACCCTAAACCTGTACACTCTTGGATTGCAACCTTGGTGTATCAGAAAGTACTGTTCTAGTTTTAATTTTTTGACCAAAAAATGCAGGGACATTGACCCTCATAGGCAAACCTTGGGAAGCTAATATTAAGCAAAAGAAAAATATTGGGCTTAGAATTTATAAAAGTATTGCTTACCTTAGGTTCAACATGTGCCAGCCTGACTTTATTTGGAGCACTCTCACTTCTGAATCAGAAAGTTGTGGGTCCAACTGTCACATCAGGATTTTGTGATCATGTAGCCTAGGCTGATGCCACAATGCAGTGCAGGGAGTGGAGGTACCATTTTTTAGATGAGATGTTACTGGGATCCCGTCTGCACATTCAAATGGACTTTAAAGATCCAATGGCAGTATTCACAAAGAAGGGTTTTTCTACTGTTGTCCTGGCCAAGAATGCCACACATGAAATTAACCATTCACTTCATGATTGTTTCTGGGACATTGGTGCATGCAACTTACCTGCTGTGTTCACCTACAGAAGGCAAAAAAAGTTTGGAATATGTTTAGGAATCCTGTGGATTTTACAACTTAAATTTGCAATTTCTTGAATTTTGGTTTGAAGATTTGATATGAATTTGCATAACATTGCCATTTTTTACAGTCTTGATAATTATTTTTGAATAGCATGCCCTAATTTAATCTGTTGGGATTCCTGATATATGTGACTGCTCCCTTTCTCCTCAGCTGCCTCTCTCGATTATTGGCTGTTATCATAGTTAAAAATACAATTTCAGAAACCTACTTGGTAATACAGTAATATTGTTTCAAAGCTGCCATATATATATGTATATGAGATATATATAATATATTGTAAAAAACAAGTTTACACATGTGTATATGTACTCTAATACTGTATTAGAATATATATACACTCTTAATACTGTATTAGATTCTATATAATATATATGTGTGTATGGATTTGAGTTTATGGCTAAATTGGGTCTTTATTTAATGTTTATAGGAAACAGAGAATTTTAATTTGATGGAACAATATCGTAGAGCAAATTCACAGGTAGAGACCTGGGAACTGAAAGGTCGCCAGATGGAAGGAGAGAATAATTCACTTCAACTGGAGCTTACTTCTTTTAAAGCTGAAAACCGAAGGATGTGTGAAAGACTTCAGAGTCTTGAAAAAGAAATCGAGGAGGTAGGAAAGAAGGGATTTTTTTNCACATATATTGTTACAAGTAGTATCAGCATGTGTACAATTGCCCCTTGAGACTGTAAACCCTATTCATAAAATAAATCTTTGGTCCAATTGGGGTGTATACATGTATCCAAAGGAAGAATACATTAAAGATAAGTATCATGAAAAGTATGTGGTAGGTTGTATCAGTTGCTGTTAATGGGTTTCTTTCGAAAAGGGCAAATTTAGAACTGAGATTAAGGGTTGCAAAATTATGAAGGGAATTGAGAGAGTTGGTGTAGACCAGTGGTAGCCAACACATTGCCCGCGGGCCGGAAGTGGCCCCCGGGGTCTGTCAAGAAGGGACCATTGAACATTCGTACCAGTCTAGGTAAGTCCGTGTTGGATTGGTAGTGTGTTTCCACATTTTTCTTGATTGAATATTTCTAAAATTTATGGCATAATTCAAGAACTATTCAATCATGAAAATGCATTTTGTTGGCGACCAAAAAGGTTGGCCACTGGAGTAGTTAAATTGCTCACTGTACAAAAGTTAAAAATGAGCATGTAAAGAGGGAAGTATTTTATACACAGATGGATTTATTTTATTTATAATGGGTTATAGATTTGAGGATTGAGTGGTACAGATTAGTTCAAAGAAATCTATGGAATGAGAAGTAATTGAGGGATATGATAAAAAGCTCAGTAGATGGGTTTGAGAATCAAATAAAGTTTGTTGAATATTATGGTCATTTCCTGTTTCTAAAAATTCTTATTGTCTATTGAGCTCTGACTATACTTTGATTTACATCTACAGTGACAGATGTTCATTGGCAAAAGTAGTTATTGTATTCTAATTTCAAAGGTTGTTTCCAAGATCAAAGTATTAATAGGTTTCGCTTGTTTACTTTTTAGCATAATATCTTATAACAAATAATTTAAATGTGTTTTAACTTAATTTCACCAAGGATTTTTTGTACTTTGTGTTTTTTGATGTGCAAAATGGATTTCCTCTTTAGCAAGAGGCTGCTAGGAACGCCTATAAGGCCCAGGTTTGCTCACTTAACAAGTTGATAGTGAAAGTGGAAAACGAGCTCCGACAGGTACAGTGTGAAAAGTCCTCGGTCCTCACTGACCTGACTACCACTCAAGAGCTGTGTTTGAAGCTGGATTCCAACAAAGAAATGATGATGAGGCAGGTGTCCACCAAAAACAAGGAGATGGAGCAAGTATGTAGAATGGACAAATGTGACTTGAATTGTTTTGACTTCTCTTTATTTTAAGTAATTAGTACAGTAATATCAGTGTATCAGTAAGCGAGATGATAAGAGTGACAGAAATCGGTAGCAATAAATATACAACAGATTCCACAGAATTTTGTCACCTGTAAAAGATTGCAAATTCTCCCTTCCAAGTCAGAATAAAATATGTATTCTCGTTTTCAAGCAATAATAATTAATTTGCCCCTTGGAGAATCTTTAAAGAACATTCTGTCCATAAGTCGTTCATTCCTATCAAAATGGCTGTGAGGCAGCATCTGCTTAGCCAATAGAACTAAAGACGTATATGTGCAATTTAGACAATTAAATTTGAGGTATTGCATATTAATTTACAGGGATACACTTAACATCTGTCCCATATAACAGGGCTAAAAGTCTAAAGGCAGCAAAATTTGGTCACATTCTCCATTCTTAATCAGAGAGAAACAAAATCACCGTAAAATATAACGTTTTTTTTGTTTGGGACCTGCTGTCTTCTGCTACAGGAAGAAGCAAGGCATCTCCCAGAAGAGTTCCATTCATTTTAGCAGAGGTGTATGTTCCTTTGACTGGACAGAATGACCATCTGAAAGTTAATTCCTGGCTGGATATTGATGTACATTCATCACAACCAAAGTTCCCAGCGCGCCAACTCAATGGAGGTGCTGTAGTTATAGCTATTCTTACAACTGTTTACATTATATAGCGCCTTTCACGTCAAGAGGACAACTCAAAGCACTTCTTGCAGCAGACTAAGCAGGAGTCTAAGATAGGGTTGGTAAAAGTGACTGTCATCACAGTTGAAAAGCTATGTCTTAATGCCAGCTGCAAAGGCGAGGATGGAGGGGGTGAGGTGGAGTGATTTCAGGATGAAATTCCAGAGAGTAGAATGGCTAAACAATTTCCCAACATTGACGGGGATGGATCCAGTGGGAAAATAAAGTAGGTGTTCACTGAGTGTAGGGAGTAGCTGGTGCGGTAGGGTTGCAGAAAGTCACAGAGGTAATGTGATGCAAGATGTGAAGAGATTTGAACATGAGGATGAGGATCTTGAAGACGATTCGAGAGAAGGTGGGGAGCCAGTGGAGCAAAGTAAGGTTGGTAGCGATTGGCTCCTAGAACCTGTTGTATAAGAGTACACAGTCTGCAAAATTCTGGATGTTCTGCTGTTTGTGTACAGAATTCAGCAAGTAGGGCATTGGAATGATTGAGTGGATGTGATACAAGTGTGAATCTAGGTCTCAGCAGCCCTGTGGCGGATAAGGGCGATGTTGTGGAGGTGAGGGAAAGCCGAGTGTGAGAGACTAGATCCTAGTCTTAAAGAAGAGCTTGTGGTGGAACAGAACACTGAGTTTCTGCACCAGCTTCATGAGGTGAAGTGAGTTTCCGGCAGATGAGAAGGCATTCAGGAGCCAAACAGGAGTGTCTTGTTTTTGTTAACATTCAAATAAAGCAAGCTACAGCTCATTCAAGATTGATAACAGATAATTGGTCAGAACAGCATTGGATCTGGAATCAAGGATGGAAAGACAGAGATAGCATGTCATCCACTTATATGTGGAAGTGGATCCCATGACTTTGAATAATATCAAGTGGAAAAAAGTGATGAAAAGGGGAGTACCAAGATTAGAGCCCTGAGGAACGCCACATATAACTAGGACAGAAGCTATTGGAAGTGAAGATATTGCAATAGATAATGTATATGAAAGGGAAGACCTGTGGAGCAGGAAGGAACATAGGAACAGGAATAGGCCATTTGGCCCATCGAGCCTGTCCCATTATTTTTCAAGGATGAATAGATGGTGGAGAAGGATGAACTAATCAAGTGCTAAAATTCACTGAGAAGTTGAGGAGAACAAGTCATAAATGTGACCCTCATTGTGAGGTCCAGCTCTGCCGATGACAAGAGCTGTCTTGAGGGTATGTTTTGCTACAGGGGTGTTCCAAGGTTCCAGAGGAGATTACCAAGGCACCACATCACAGTGTAAATTGGATGTGTCTGAAGCTGTCAGGGGTATTCTTCGTTCACTACAGGTAGAAAAAGATTCATTCATTTGCTGTGGTTCCCCAAATAGGGGTATTGTGGCCTCCACATACATTTAGATACAAACACCTTGGTCCACATTAACAACAGATTCCACTTTCTCATTTTGTGATGTACGGAACATTATGAAGAAGATAATCATTTAGACTCTTAGGTTTCCATTCAAATTATGGCTCCATTGTGGAACTCTTGAACTGAAGTTGAGAGGCATTGCGACTGAGAGACATTGCAATTAGACTCTTCAGATTGACATTTGTTGAATGCTAGGATTTGATGATGGCTTCAAATAATCATCCTCAGGGAGTCGGTTTGCTATTATACATTGCACAATCTGCAATAATTGTACATTCATTTAAAATAATATAATAACCAAGTAACTAATGAAGAGAAATACTTCCAATGTATTTATCATACAATCAATTAATAATAATCCTTATTATTGTTAAATGTATGTGAAGTCTTTATATACTTAGGATTGACGAATGGAAATACAAAATATTTTTCCTTGAAATGTTTACGTAATGGTTGCACCATTGATTTTTATGCTAATAATCATGAAACATGGTAATTCTAACCAAATAAATTCTAGTAGACCTCCAGTGTTGAACCTCTGGCTTAGATGCAATAGAAAGAGAAAGGAATTGCATCCAAAACGTGAATTCAAACATTGTCAGAGCTGAGTAACATTCATAATACTGCTTCATGTCCATCGTCAGAGCAAGAAATGTCTGCTTGGAGAGCTGGATGCCTACTTTTGTGGATATGTGCTCATAGGCAAATTGTGGGCCAAAGGTAATTGCGTGACTGCTGGGTGAATACCTTGTATTCTTGGATCATTGCTATTGTAGCCAGATTTTTCTGTTCAAGCACCTGAATTTGGTGGCCCCGACCTGATCTGGATCTGAAGAATGTGCTTATCTTGACCAGTGATTTTAGTTCATCAGTGATGCTGGCAATGTGACTAATGTTTGGGATAAAGTTGCACTTGACAGCCATTTATTTCAATGTTGTGCATCGTTAGCAGTTTTTTTGTGTTAATCAAAGTAGTGCCTTGCCTCAACAATATAATGCAATATATTGCATTCAAACACTTTGCAATATTCTCTGCTGAATAAATTATAGATTTGTGATTTCAATGGTACTTTATTCTCAAAATATTTTAATCCATCTGGACCTTCGCCTCCTCAGTAAAACATCTCATTTCCTCCTGCATGAAATGTCTGCAAAGGATCTCGACCAGATAGAACATTTTGTGATTTCCTCAAGAAAAACACGAGGATAGCAAAGCCTCTTTAATATCTTTAGGGTGCTTCATAAATATGGAGTCTAAACCTGACGATTTAGGGGAATGATGAATGCTTTGAGAAGTGAAGATAAGAATTATAGACCAATTAGTGGAACACTTACAGTGAAGAAAATACATGAGAATGTTTAACGGGTTGTTTATACAAAGAAACAAAAGCATCCGTAAGGAACAGGCAGCGTGAATTTAGAAGCAATTGATCATCTATTAAAATTCTTTGAGAAGATGACTATCATTTGACTGAGATATAATTTAGTTGGATTCTCAGAAGAATTGTAAATTATTCGGTCTTTAAACATAGTGATGAAGATGAACAAAACTCAGTGAATTGGCTGCTTAGACCCACTGCTTACACTGCCCACAGATAATGTAGAAGACAGAAGTTCCAACAACATAAAATGTGCTGATGGTTCTCATCTGTGTGGCTGGTTGTTCTGATAAAGAAGCTCAATAGTATTTTATTGTGATGGGTTAATTAACTGGATATACTAAGGAATAGAAGATTGAATTTAATGTGTCTAACTGTATGGTGCGCTCCAGGTCGCTACCACGCGGGAAGGGCACTTGTATAAATGCAAGTTGTTGTTGGTGTAATGTACATTGAAACTCGAGTACATGATGGAGTTATTTGTGGTCGTTTGCCTCCAACAAGACTCAGTGGTTTGGGTGGATTTATTATGTAGTCTGTGGTAAGAATGAGTTATGAGTCGAATATGTTTTCTAAGTCACTACTATTCAAAAACACTGGGAGTTTCTCCCAGTGTCCTGGTAAACAATCCCCCAGATAAAATGGTCATTCACTTCATGGCTGTTTTGTGGGATATTGTTCTGTGCAAAATTGGCTGCTGTGTTCATTTACAAATACACAGTCACGACACTTTACACTAAATCCTGCAAAACGCTTAAGGTGTTTTGACGACAAGTTAAAGAACTATATTAAATGCAAGGATTATTAAAAAATATTATTTAACATTGGTTTAGATATTTGTTGTGGTAGAGATTGATGAGCATTTTTATTTCTCACCATCAGCTAACAGCAGTATTCATACTCTAGACTTGTCCTTGTGCAAAGCTGGAAACATAATCAGTATAGAGCATAAGACATCTGCTTAGAAGTTTATTGTCCCTAGTTCAGATGCTAGACAGAGATCATTTGTTTGTGGTTACAATGTGGACTAGACCTTCCACTGCCCCTATAGATGACTCCTATAAATTAATGAATTAATTTCTTCACTACTGTTAAGCCAGACAGCTATGAATGTCGAGTCAGTGGCTGTGTCATCCAGGGTCTTCATCAAGTGAAGTGGAGTCAATGGATGTTGTGCAGGACACCACCAATGTCGAAAAGAGGAAGGAAGGTGCAATAAATCAAGTAGTGGTTAGCTGCTGCCAAACATGGGTTTGAAAGCCAGTCCTGCCAGACCTGAGGGCAATAAGAGAGACATCAAGAGGGCCCAAAGCCCTTATTTGCTCCAGGAGAGTGAAGGATCGAATAGATTTGGCCCTTGATTAAATTTCTAAAGAGAAGACATATAGACAGTTGTAGACTTGCATATAGATTATTTCTCATGGGTGTCTGAGCTTGCAATTTAGTGCAAATTAATTTTAACAAGATGCTTAATATAGCACTGAACATAGATTTATGCTATGATTTGTTTTTTAATTGAAAATCTAGTCATAGAATAGAATGGAGAGAGATGTTTAGGGAGCATCATCAAATAAGCACCTGGAATACTTTAATTAAGCTCTCAGGGACACTGCCCTGCGTGAGGGGCGCTATATAAATGCAAATTGTTTTTAATATCCTGTTAATATACAGGAGTCCTGTAGCTCAGTGGTAAGAGCACTTGCCTCGCAAGTGAGAGACCTGGGTTCGATAGACGACAGTACGAAACCTTGGGCAAGTTTCCTTACTCCACACGCCTGATAATAATCCCTCAAGAAAAAAATAATAACTTGGTTACTTTGATCCACGACTGTTTGTGGGACATTGTTGTGCGCAATTGGCTGCTGCGTTTCGCCCACAAATATACAGTCAATTTACTGTACAGTATTTTCTGTGAAGCACTTTGAGACGTCTAGAAAAGGTGAAAAGCGCTATATCAAATGCAAGAATTACAATTATTATTTCCATTTCTTGCTGGATTGTTAGTAGCCATCATTTTAAAGAATTAGATACCAAAGGTGAGGGGGGTGGGAGATAGCACCAGCTTTATGACTATAGTAGATAATGATTCTGTTTCACAATCTTCATACCAAAATATATTCCCTTGGGAAAATAATCAATTAAATTGTAATCTAGAATTCCTTTACTGAGAAATGAATATTCCATTAATAATTCATCTAATGTTTCTGGTACTTTTAGATTAATTATTCATTTCTTAGTTTTTTTGTCTCAAGTTTCCTTGAGCCTTGTGTGAGAAGGCATCAGGCAACTGCAATAATTAAGGGGTTTGGCCAGAGTGACTCTCAGACAAGGATTTAATTTTTCATTCCGTGTGTTGTATTATGTGTTCTTTACTCTGCTTTCCAAGGTAGCTCAGCTAATAACTATAATTACAAATGCAAATCCACATTCTGCTCTTTACACATTGGTCCTTGTTTAAATTTCTAAAAGGAAGACATATAGATGGTTGTACACTTGCATATGGATTATTTCTCATGGCTGACTGAACCTGCAATTTAGTACAAATTAATTTTAACAAGATACTTACTGCAGCACTGAACATAGATTTATGATATACGGCTTGCTTTTTAATTGATAAGTTTTAGCTTTAAGGAAAAAATGAGCAAGGAGATCAAAGCTGTGATTTAATCAAGAAACTTCTTGATATTCTAAGATGTCACTGTTAACCGCTTAACTTTGTATTATCCAGGTTCTAAGTGAACATGAGTCAGCTCGTTCTGAAATAGAGCTCTTAAGAAATCAGCTGGCAAGTGAGAGAACTGCTATTAAAAATCTGGAATCCTTACTTGCATCCAATCGAGAGAAAAAATATCAAAGCCAAATGGCTACTCAGGAGAAAGAAGCTGAAATTCAACTCTTTAAAGATAAACTTTCCTTGGCTGAGAGCAAACTGTAAGTACTTCGATGGATTCTTTGTGATGGATCTGTGTTGTACATAATGCACTAGTTGTGCTGTTTTTGAATATCTGGGAGTGCCTATGTTTGGGACACAGCTTTTTTCACTGTAGTTTTCTGAGATTTCTTTCTTACTTTCCTGAAGGCAATAACTGGAACAGTGAGTGTTGGCAAACCATCATCCATTTAGGGGGTTCAGCACACAGCAGGGATTGAACCTGTGACCTTCCTGGTCTGTATGGCCCATTGAGAATGAACCATTAGAGGACGTTTATGTCTCAAATGTTCAGTCATAATTTTACAGATAGAACTAAAGAAATGGAGTCTTTTCAAAATGAAACTTTTGAAAAATGTTCCTGTTTCTTTTACAAAATATCTTCATAGGGTAGTTAGATTAATCTTTTTTAATTCTCACATATTTCACATATATTATGTGAGTAGAGCATTGAGCAAGACTCACAGATCTCACCAATGCACATGTCAGTTGGATGGGGATTCTGAAGGGATAAGATCAGATGGACTGATTTTTCTTCCAAACCAATCTTATGATCTTGTGAGGTTTGTGGAAGCGGGTAAAGACAGGATTGGATTCGGCTATGAGAGTCCTGCAGTCTAACAGCCTGCTAGCAGATTACCCAGGCTTACACATGAAGAATAACCACTGGAGCAAGGTATCAAATAGTCCTGTATCAATGTGGAGTCCTGTAGCTTAGTAGTTAGAGCACTCACCTTGCAAGCAAGAAGACCCTGGGTTCAATTCCTGGCAGGGCAAAACATTGGGCAAGTTTCCTTATTCCTTATTCTTACGCCTCTGTTTACCTACTTGCAATAAGTAGAAACCCGGTTGTTAGTCGATTGGCGAGTCACTTTTCTGGGGGTAATAATTTCTTCAAAATAAATAAATAATTTGGTCACTCAATCCATAACTGTTTGTGGGGCACTGCTGTGTGCAATTGGCTGCCGCATTTCGCCCACAAAATATGCAGTCAATTCTGTGAAGCGCTTTGAGACGTCTCGAAGATGTGATAAGACGCTATATGAAATGCAAGGATTATTAATGGGGAAAGGGATCCGTGGGCCAATATATCAGTAGAAGAGGGGAAAATAGTCAGAATACCTTCGAAGAGATGGAAGAATAATAGAGAAAAAAAGAAAGAAAATCCTAAATTACACCTAAAAAATCAAATATAAAGTTCTGTGTTGATCGCATGTTTAATTTTGCATTTGGTAGGACATCGCAGTCACGTGAAATGGCTCAGCTAAGGAGTAAAGCTGCAATGCTTGAATCCGAGCTGGAAATGGCTAAACGGCAGTTGGGAACTGAACGCTTTGAAAGGCAAGTGTATGTTGGATTGTTATTATTTTATTCACCTGCTTCTATCTACAAACACTCTCTGTGCTGATGGTGCACTTATCCAGCTGGGGCAGATATGATGCACTAAACAATGTGTGTCACTCATGTCATCTGGACACATTGGCTGCTCCAAAAAACCTGGAACTCAGCTGCACTTGGTCCTGTGTTTTTGCTGGGTCAGGTGAAGAGGTGGCGTGTTTCAAACAGAACTGGACAATCATAATGTATTATTCAGCTGTGTACATCTTCAACCTTCTTATTCTCACAAGTCTATAATCCCTTAAAGCAGTCCACAGATCTGATGGATTGGGGGAGGAAAGAATCAGACTCACATTGGCAAGATACAGCAGGTTGTGATGACATGAAGTAGACATTTTCTATTTTCGCACAAATCTTTCTCAAGTGGCTGTACTCTTGAATTATTTTGTCAGCCTGGGGTTCTGGACTTAACATCTGTTACCTTTGTTTAGGTCTCTGAAGATAGTGTGACCAAATCGGAGTTTGACCAAGCTGCTCTACACAGCTATTCTGGAGTTAAATGTTCACTGCTATGAGCATGTATCAAATGTGAATTCCTAGCATTCATTTTTATGTTCTAATTAAAAGCACTCTGACTGTTCTGTTGCAGAGAGTGTGCTGTGCAGGAGCTTCGTCGACATGGCCCCTCATATCGATGCTCATCCCCACCTCAGCCTTCTTTGAGTCCAATTTTACATTCAACAGAGCGTTCTAGCCGCCGATCTCCAGACTGCTCCTTAAACCGATCACTGAACAGGTATGCCTGCCAGAAGATGAATTTGATGCATATTCACATTCACTTTCCTTAAGTGAAGTAATCTTCTTCACTAGGTTCTTCAAGCCAGTAATGGGAATCCAAAAAATAGTTTTCACATAGTCTATTTCTGCTAAATGTGTAACATACATCTGCAGACTTCAGTTGAGTGAAGCCCCTCCATGAAGCATTTCCTTCTGTGTCAGGAAGAAGTGTCACCACCTGCAGTAAGCAGAGGTTATACTTAGTAAGTAAGTTGTCACCAATGCTGCCAAATATTCTACACTAAGAATCAAATAATTTCCTAGGGAATGAATAAATTTTGGGGGTCACCTGGATGTCTGACACATGCCTAACCCTAACTCATCACCATGTTTAAGTATCCAAACAAAACTGGGAATTCCATGCATTCCAAATACACATGGGAATCCCAGTGATAGATTGTTCAAATCTAATGCGTGCACTCTCCCTGAAGGGACACATCCTGCTTACATAATTCTGGACAGTATTAATAGGAAGTACCAACCCTGAAAACACTTTAAAGTATATTTCATTTGAGTTATTTCAAATCTGAATTTTTATTTCCATCCAGGGCATCATCTTTGAAGGAATTTTGAAGTAGTGAATGTTTATCTCTGCGTTTGTTTGATCAATAAATTCGGAAGGAATACGAAGCTTTGTGATTTTCATGACGAAGACCCCTGATTGTATTACCTCGAGGGAATTCTATATTAATCCACTTTGTCTGAATCTGTGTGTTAATGAATTAAGCAGTACGCTTTCATCTTAAATGCCAGAGAAATGTACCTTCATCCCAGCTTGTGTGTTTTTTTTCTCTGGAATTGGAAATGGAAAGAGTTGCAAAAGAAAAGCTTTTTTTAAAAAAAAATGCGAGCTATTCATTCATGATCACATAATCTATAGGCATTTTTTTGCATCTTTACATCCTGTAGTTTGACTTGTTAATACAGTACCCTGAACTAGACGGACACACAGATCCCTCATCTGTCAAATGTTGCCAATAAATCCATTGAAAGATAAATCACTTGTACACAGTGTTTTCTATAGTCAGTAGATGAAAATAGATCAGGAGCTATTCACGTTTTCAACCTAATTTCAGAAACAATGTCATTGTATTCATTTGATTTAAATATAACCAGCGTAGATTATATTTAAAAATTGTATTATGATCTGTCATTTAGTGAGATACAGATAACTTTTGTGAGGGACTGGAATTTCTTCCCAGAAGAAAAATTAAATGTTTAGTAATAGTCACAATGTATATTTAAGGAAGTGAAAGGTTATTTTGCTGTCCATATTTTAGAGTGTACTACTGTAGGGAGTGGTCATATGCAGGTTGTAATGTAAAATAATTGGCACATGCACACAGGGATTGGCACACTTCACAGAAGTGTCATACCATGTCTTGGACTTGTATTTAGATCCAGCTCAAAGGGAAAAAAATTAGCCTGCTATAAAGGATTTAACTACTTAATAATAATCCTTGCATTTGATATGGAGCTTTATCACGTTGTTGAGACGTCTCAAGCCCTTCACAGATCACAAAGTATACAGTCAATTCACTTTACACTATATTCTGTGAAGCGCTTTGAGACATCTCAAAGACATGATAACGTGCTATATCAAATGCAAGGATTAATATTACTGTAAAATGAATTGACTGTATATTTTGTGGGTGAACTTAACCCAGTTCTAGTCTGTATTTAAAATAGGATGAGACTAATTTGGCAGTAATATTGAAAATCATGGAAACATTCCCTTAGCACTAACATCTCTCAGGCGACTTGATAAACAGTTACTGTCACAAGAGACTACTCAGGGCAGATCAGGACATAGAAAAAATAATGGGTACACAGGTGAGTTACAAGAGTTAGTGGAGTCCTGTAGCTCAGTGGTTAGAGCACTCGCTTTGCAAGTGAGACACCTGTGTTCAATTCCAGGCAGAGGGCGAAACCTTGGGCAAGTTTCCTTACTCCACACAGAGCCTAATAATAATCCCTCCAAAACCAAAAGAAACCCAATAATAAATTGGTCTTTTTCAATCTACGACTGTTTGTGGGACATTGCTGTGCGCAATTGGCTGCCGCATTCGCCCACAAATATACAGTCAATTCACTTTACAGTGTGTTCTGTGAAGTGCTTTGGGACGTCCTCCCGACGTGAAAAGCGCTATATCAAATGCAAGGATTATTATTATTATTATTAAGGTGCTAAACTGTCATGTGAGGGCCAGCCGATATGTACTGGTTTACATTCCCTTGAAAGTACGTATCGCCGCCATTAATAATTAATAATAACCTCAGATTCGATATAGCAACTTTCACATCAGTAGGATGTCTGAAAATGGTTAACTGGATATACAAGAACAACTTGCATTTATATAGTACTCATCACGTGGGGTACTGTAATTTGACTGTTTTGTAGGTGAATGCAAAGATTTAAAATACTTTAAAAACAAAATGCCAATACTTACATTTAGTAATGTCTGAAATGTTGGATATAACCAATTGTATGACTTGGAGGATATGGCTAAATTAATGACTTGGGAGTTGCAAGTATTCTGGATCATGTTACCAAGGGTCTGTTATCATTTTATGTCCTTTCCGTTTCCCCCAAACTCTTGTTTACTTGGTGTGTTTTTTAAATACATGTCAATGTTACAATGTAGAAAATATACTAATTTCTCAATTCTGTTATTGTATCTTGACTAACTATCAGTTTAGCACTGTACGTCGCAAACTCATTCAAGGTCACCCTCACTGAAGGGATCCATTCAATACGTGTGGACATGAACTTTTAACTTATTTATGAAAACTACAGATGTTTACAATGTTGTGTGTTGTAAACTGGAGCCGTACCTGGATTTATTCTTTTTTTTTGCTTTGTGTCACTGAACACTTATGTTTAAGTGATATGTATAAGGCGCTATGCAATGTAACTGTTGTATTCTAGTGTTCTCGGTGACTAGAATATTTCTAGTCGCATAACCTTGAGATCAGGAGCAGCATTCAGTTTAGCAGCATTTCTTGGGTCAATAATGTTGAATTCACTTCAGAATTGTTGCCCATGCTTTCAGCGCCAAGCAGTTCATAATTTGATATAGAAGTCGCTGGAAACCCTCAGCTGGTCAGACAGCATCTACAACAACAAGATTCCATTTATAGAGCGCCTTTCATGTCAGGAGGACGTCCCAAGGCGCTGTACAGTTGGGTCAGGACCCGAGCATTGGGAGGGAAATGGTCAGGGTGAGGGGAGGGGAGGGAAGGGAGGGAGCGAGGAGGGGGTAGAGAGTCGAGAGGGGGAGCTGAAGGCACGGTCAAAGAGAAAGGTTTTGAGACCGGCCTTGAAGGAGGAAAGGGAGGAGGCAGGGCTAGGGAGAGAAGAAAGTGATTTAACGTTTCAGGTCAACAACCTTTCGTTAGGTCATCGACCTGAAACATTAACTGCCTGTCCTGCTGAGTATTCCCAGCAACTTCTGTTTTTATTTTAGATTTCCAGCATCTGCAGGATTTTGCCTTTCACAATTTAATATGATGGTTGTTATTAACTACTGCTTAGGATAGGTGAAATGATTCCATATGGAGTATTGGTAAGAACTGGCATCAGTGAAGGAAAGGTTGCTGTCCACAGTGTATTTGGGTTATAAAATACAAGCAACTAAACCGAATTTGTTTTACCCATTCATCGTGCACTTTTTTCCTTGAAACATTTATTTTTGTACTTACTTTTGCTTCTTATTTTTATTTTTTAAATACATGTAGTAAATGTTATAATGTAGAAAATATACTCATATTTCTCAATTCTGTTGTTATTGTAAATTATCTTGACTAACTACCAGATTAGTACTGTATGTTGCAATCTCATTCAAGGCCACCTCTATGGCCTTGAATGACATTGTGCCAAAAAAATAATAACTTGGCCACTCAATTCACGACTGTTTGTGGGACGCTGCTGTGCGCAATTGGCTGCCTGTTTCACCCACAAAATATACAGTCAATTCACTTTACAGTATATTCTGTGAAACACTTTGAGACGTCTTGAAGACTTGATAAGGCGCTATATCAAATGCAAGGATTATTATATTATTTTTGTAAACTTTTATGCCTCAAAATCTTCATTTTAGACATAGTCGTGAGTATTCTTGTAGATCTATATTTGTTCCCTTAACAACTCATTGTTCAGTTTTATTTTATTTCTCGCTGTTTAAATTTCTCAAATAGTCAAATATTAATCTTCACTCATCACTTCACGGGACAGGCTGTGGTTGGTATCTTGTTTCACACAGTGAGGGTAATGTATTTTATTATTGTGACACGGTGCTTTGGCACATCTATGCATTGTAGAACTCAGATTCCCACATTTGAATAAGGAAGTTTTATTGATCATTTTTCTAAATTCCCTTGAATTAAAGTTGAGTCTGCTACCAGCTTAGACACAATCTGGAACTCTTCCCCCAAAAGGCTGTGGATACTGGATCCATTCACATTCTCAAGACTGAGGTGGATACCTTTTTGTTATGTCGGTATCAAGGGATATGGGGCAAAGGCAGCTGAGGTAACAGATCAGCCATGATCTAATAGAATGGTAGAAAAGGTTTGATGGGCTGAATGGCTCCTCCTGTTCCCATGTAACTCATGCCTTGGACTGTAATAAAACACGTGGCTCCTTTTTGAAAATAATGATGCACTTCTCTAGTGCAAGGTGCTTCTTTCAGATTCTATAACTTTTTAATTCATTTTCGATTTGCTTTAATGAGAATATTTCCAATGACTGATGTGTGTTTTATCATATTTTTGATTTTTAGAATGTGATTAAGGTTTGTTAAATTTGGAGAAGAAAGGTGGGGAGATGGAATTGAAAGATCTGCCATGATCCAAAAAGGAGAAATGTACTCAATGGGCTTAATGAGTTACTCCTGCTCCTAATATTCCTTTAACAAAATTGCCTCTTTTTATTTTGCTAATGTTTGATATTTTCCTCAATGTGTAATATTTGTGTAAGATATACTATCATTTGACATGGAAGGGAGTTTTCCTAGTGTCCTGGTCAACAATCCCCCAAACAAAATTGTTCGTTCACTTTATGGCTGTTCGTGGGACATTACATTGCAAATTAGTTGCTGTGTTCACCCATTAAAACAGTCACCCAATTTGCAGTATATCCTATAAAGCACTTTGAGATGTCCTCCTGACATGAAAGGTGATTTACCAAATCCAAGGATTATTATTAAGTGTAATAAGGTTATGATTTAACTTTGATAAGAACATTACAATCTACTGTATTTTACGATTAACTGTGTTAAAGAGACTTGCTCTAGATTTCTAAACTTGTATTTATTATAATAATCAGTGCAATTGATATAGTGCCTAATCACATTAAAACATTTCAAGGTGCTTCACAAGATTTTACTGTAAAATGCAGTGACTGTATATTGTAGTGAAGGTGGCAGTCAGTTTGTGTACAGCAATAATAATTAATAATCCTTGCATTTATATAGTGCTTTTCATGTCTTCTAGAACTCTCAAAGCGCTTCACAGAATATACTGTAAAGTGAATTGACTGTATATTTGTGAGTGAAACGCAACAGCCAATTGGATTGAAGTGACCAATTTATTATTGTTTTTTTTCTTGAGGGATTATTATCAGGACACGTAAATAAGGAAACTTGGACAAGGTTTTGCCCTGCTGGGAATCAAACCCAGGTCTCGCTTGCGAGATGAGTGCTCGAACCACCGAGCTATATACGACCATACAATATCCCATAAATAACAAAGGACCAATGTTATCCAGGGGATTGTTGGCTAGGATGAAACTCCCCTTTTAATCATTAAGCTTGGTCTGTACATTATTGTAGGAAAAAATGTTTTTTTTTAAATAAAATAACATTAACTGATTGTGTGATTCCATTCCTATTTACTCGTATTTATTTAATGCCATGTTATGTTGCAATGGATATTTCTGTAAAGACTATATTCCTTTTATGTTGGATTCCCTGCTGTTGTGGTACGTGTGAGTACAGTTACAAACTGCAGGTGAATAGTGGGAATTTCATACACCAGTGACTTTGTTGTGCAAGGTAAAGCTGAATGATGAAATGACCATAGGTTCAATCCTGGGATAAATTTGACAAAATCCATTCAGATTAAACTAAAACTAAAATGTGCACATGTAGAGAGACTGATATGGAATTATTTTCTACTGACAAATCTCCAATTCCTGCCCTCCCCACAGCTCGAGTACAGCACCTTGCATTTACATAGTGCCCATCACACAGGGCAGCCTCCCAGAGCTTGTTAGCTCCTCTAGAACATCATGGCACTAAGGCCGTTGAACCCACTGGTCTGTTCCATCATCATCTCTTTTCATCCCATTTTTCCATGTTTTTNGCCATATTAATATTCTTATTTCCTAAATATCCATCTATCCATTTTAAAGAAGTCCAATCAATTCTACGTTGTGTCAGCCTGGCTGAGTTAGTCGCAGTCTTGCCTCCCT